CATTCGCTCTCGAACCTTTCGGCCCCTGCGACATCCCGGTACATGTACCACCATGCTAGCAACGACCACTCGTTCAACATGGCTGGCAGCAGTGGAGCGTCTTCTGTAGTCAACCCGTCCGGATTCAGCATGCAGCAGCAGCAGCAGCAGCAATCACAATTTAGCCCATCTACCTGTCAACCCATGACTGATTCTTCTGCTCGGCCATCAACCAGTCTATCGTCGGCAAAGGGACATGTGTTCAGCTTTGGCGGAGATTCAGATAATGAAGAGGATGCTGGAAACGTCTTTCTGGACCGTAACATGGATCTCTCTGCGGACTTCAGCATACTCGACGACGCTACTATGAACTTTGGCTCGGGTATGCAGTGGGAGGGAAGCTATACTGGCTCCATTAATTCTATGCCGTCCGCCCACAGCCAACCGTCGAAACCGCTAGTGATGGGCGCAGGCGATCTAGACGAGAGAAGCAGTGACTGGGCTCAGCTTGGAAGTCTAAACCGAACACACGGGTCAGCCGCGTCTGTAACCGAATTGCGTAACCGCGATCCAGATCCGAGAAGGCAAAAGATCCCTCGCACGATATCTACTCCAAACGCTCTTCAGCTCCTTCGACAAGGGGGCGACAATACCAACAGCATCACTGCCAACAATAACGCAAACAACAGCGGCCTCAAATCACCGCATTCTCCCAGCTCCGGGCCTAACAGCAACACCCCCTCCCGGCCTGCAAGTCCTGGTCCTGGTGCCACGAAGAACGCCGAACCCGCTGGTGCAACAACGTCGTGCTCCAACTGTTTCACGCAAACTACTCCCCTCTGGCGTCGTAATGCCGAGGGCCAATTCCTATGTAACGCTTGTGGCCTGTTCCTCAAACTCCACGGCGTCGTACGGCCTCTCGCTCTCAAGACGGATGTCATCAAAAAACGCAATCGTGGTGGAGGAAGCAACGTCGCTGCAGGCGCTGGAGCTAGAGCAGGCAAGAAGACTTCCCGCAAAAACTCCACCAACCAGACTTCTGTATCTTCGGCCCCCATCCCCACCCGGCCATCGGCCCTGTCCCAGCCCCCGACTCCAATCTCGAGCACGCCCTCCAGCACAGGAACCACCCCTACATCTAGCTCTGTGCCTACAAGAACTACCGTGCCAATAGCCGCTGCTCCCCCCAGGCAAACTCTCCCCATCACTTCATCCGGCAACAACGTCAACGTCACCCCTACCACAGCCTCCGGTACACCATCACGACTCATCCCAGGCCGGCCACGGTGTCTCGATAAATCGTCAGTCTCAGGGATGTACGCCAATGTCAGAAACCCTCCCGAGCAAGACCTGTCAGGCAGACAAAGAGTGACCCAGGCACCGCCCCAGCAACCCCGTCAACCCCCAGCAGCGTTCAACCCAGCTCACCACAGTTTGGCAGCTGGCGCAACAAGAACTAACAGCCAGGAATGGGAATGGTTGACCATGAGCTTGTAGCCAAGCGGTTTAACTCCCATTACACTCTCCTTCCCAGCGTCAAGAAATTATGACTCCTTACTTTTCTCAAATGCGGATTAAGGATTTCTGATAAAACGTCTCTGGAGTTCTTGCAATGGGGCTATTTATCTTCCAAAGCATATCCCCATGATGGAACCTTACGTTGATGAACTATGTTCTGCCAATTTGCCCCAGCTCTTGGCCAATGGCTGATAAAAAAAAACTCTTTCTTTAACCTTTCTAGGGCCGCCTTTTAGCCGCCCTCGCTATATATCTCTTCTTTTGATTTCCTTGCTTTCCTTGGTTCATTCTCGCCTCTCCCGCCGCCCCTCCCTTTTTTCTTTGGTTGACTGATTGATGACAGCCAGTTGATTCATTATACCTCTTGTTGAACAAGAGGTACATTCAACTGCATCGTCTTTTCTGGCTTTATTACCAACTCAGCTCTACTTCTAATAATACGATGCCCCCGTTCCCCCCCTATCTAGCACTTTTCCAGCACCATCTCTCTTTCGCTACGCAGGTTTTGTTTTGCGTACCTCCGTTCCGGTAACATTTATAGATCGCTTTGGTTCATTATGATCATTTTTTGCCCTTTCCTTTCCTTTACTTTCCCTTTGCCACTATCAACGCCTTTCCCCTCCTTGTTCCATTCGATTGATTTGATTTTTGCTTTGCTTTGATTGATTGATACAACCGCGTCTGTTCTGAATGCCCAACCACCTCCCCTTTTCTTAATACATCATTTTTTCCCCCCTTATGTTTTGTTTCTTGTTTTTCGGGTTGGGCATTTAGGCAGAAGTGCGCAATGCTGTTTTGTTTTGTCTATCTTTCCCATTCATTTTTTTCTTGCTTTTAGGTGGTGTAGTTCGGACGAAATAGTGATTCTCTCTGTCTACTCGCTTTGAATCTACATATTGGTACTCGTTTTCTCCCTGCCCAGACCGCATATAGATCAAAATCAATACTTCATTAATCAGTAGTATCCACCGGCTTCTTCTAAAAGAGTTGGGTATGGCTCCATGGGCCCGGTTCTAGCTGAAAGCTACTAGATTGTGGCATCGGTGATATCCGGCCTTTTACTATGTGGTTATCACCTCATATTGAATAAATCGGCGAATATTCTTTGTGTTTAGTTGACCTTCACACTTCCAGGCAATTGGGTTAATCCGAGAGCTGCTATTATAAAAACTGACGCAGCACTTGTGAGCCAGTTCTTCTCTTTAGCTTTACACCCATAACCCCAAAACGCTCATCTCTATCAAGGCCCTAGCAGCAGGACCTGCGGAAATCAATAAAAGAGCCGAGCATCAAGTCATGGAGCCAAATGTGGGTCGAGGCGTTTTTGCGCCGCTGGCCCGAATTGCACAGCTCCATGAACGCAATGTCCAACTAAGCAAAGAGGTCGACGATCTTCACACCCAACTTTTGCGAGAGGTATGCACTGTAGAATGTTGATATCCAACTCGGCATCTTCCTCCCATTGCAACTAACCAAAGCTCCGTTTGATATAGATTGCCAGACAGGGAGTCGTTCTTCCCTCGATTCCCATAGCGTACCCCGAGCCAAAGTCCCGGGTTCAAGACCTGAAGCGGATTGTCAAGTATATCAACAAAAAGACTCCAGCCTGGCGTATTCAAATACTCCAGAGACGAAACCGTCTTGCCGATGGAGACAATGGCCATGATTCTGATGAGGAGATGGAAGATGAGACGGAATCTTCCGCTTCCGGAATCGAAGATATAATCCCTGGCGAAAACCAAATGGTGGCCAAGAGAGTTACGTATGAGCTCACTCATGGAGGTGACATTGTCGATGATGTGGCGGCAATCCTTTATGCGGAGGAAAAGGGAATGCCGGATGTAGCGGAGTTTAAGCACGATTTCCTCTGTGCTTATTGTGTCACATTCGAGTCAGCCATGGAAATTGTGAAGAGTGGTCCGATAGAACTTCTCACAACCTTCGATATCCTTGCTACAATCACTGAGTATCCGGCTTGGAAGAAGATGGAGTCAGGGGAGGCCCAGAAGGATAGGGCTGCTATTGCAGAGATGGCGATGCATGTTATCCAGACGGCGCTGGTTATGAAAGATTCCTACCGCGCGGCATTATTTGGTCCAGATGGGATATTGGAAAGTACATATCATCGCATGCAGGATATGTATTTGAATATAATCCTAGGGATTCGGAAATATCCCCAATCCTAAACAAGGCAATAATATGAATTTTTTCTCTTTGCTTCTGGCCGTTAATTATAGTTTGATACACTTGATGACTAATAATCTAATCTCGATTTTGTAACCAATAGAATAATTCACTTAATCTTTTTTAAGTAATTCTATTGGCTAAAATTCTTAAGTTAAGAATGTGTATATCTTGGCAAGAGCTGAGTGTTGACATCTACATAACCATTTGGAAACGAGGGAGTTGAGAGATAACATGCTGATAATAACATCTCCATTCTTTTCAAAATATTCGGGCTACGCGGGTATAACGCTCACCTTTGTCCCATTCAAGGAGCATATCGTCAGTGTCAACGACTCTACCCAGGGTCCTGGGTCTCGGCTCTCCAAAGTCTTGAACTCTTGGGCCATACGGACGGTAACGTAGGCTGCTTCGATTAATGCATACTGTTGGCCTATGCAGATTCGTGGTCCACCGTTAAAGGGTAAATACTCCCAGCGAGGTTGAAGTTGCCCATCTTCCCAGCGCTCTGGACGGAATACTTCTGCATCTGGCCCGTAGAAGTCTTTCCGCCGGTGCATTGCGTATATATTATAGCCTACTATTGTTCCCTTTGGCACAAAGACCGGAGAGTTACCGTCTTCACCTCCTCCCATCGGAAGGATAGAGTCTCGCAGAGTGATACGGTCGTTCGTCGGTACAACGGGATGGGTACGTAACGCTGGTAAAGGCTAGTTAGACTTGCAAGCGGCTTTAAACTGGTATAGCCCGCCCTACTCACACTCATTCAAGCAATATCTGACATATTTCAGGTTCCGCAGTTCATTGTAGGTAGGCAATCGGCCATTGAGACTAGAGACCTCCGTACGGAGCTTTGCCCATATCTCTGGACGCTTAGCCAGTACAAAAAACATATTACTCAGAAGACTGGCCGTGGTATCACGTCCAGCGACAAACACGTTCATGACCTCATCCAAGATACGGCGCTTGTCAGATGTACGTGATGCCAGTTCATGGAGGAATACATATCTCTGGCCGTTCGCCTTGGAGTCTTCTTGGTCTTTGTTTTTGTGGGATTCGACTGTGAGAACTGCCTTGTCGACAAACTGCTGTGCAAACTCACGACAAATCTTATTGCATTTCTTTGCTTTCGGGTCATAGTAAAGCAGGCCTAGTGGCCCCAGTCTAATCTTATGAATAATACTCTTCAAAGAATAGTCAAAAGCATAGCTGAAACCAAACTCCGGCTGCGGCTTTTTAAGAGTTCCGACCGATTCTCCGAATAAGAATTCGGTGGCAGAATCTGTAGTGTAGCGAAAGAAAATCTTTTGTAGATCTACAGTCTTTCCGTCACGAGGTATCAATGCGAATAAATCTGGGATCAATTTCTCAAACATGGCTAGGTCTGCCACCTGATCGCGGGAAAAGTTGGGCCGGATCAGGGCTCGAGATATGGCCCAATGGTCGCCATTTGTGTCGAAAATGCCTCTGCCTAAAAGAGGCTCGAGTACTTTCAAGCGATGGTTGACTCCATAGTCTTTGAAATTGATCGCTAGGATGGACTTGATATTCTCTGGCTCGATAGTGGCGATGATGGGAGTTGTGAACACCTTCAATCGGAAGGTATATCCGAACTTGTAAAAATTCTCACTCATTTTTTCAAGGGACTTGTGCTCTCTAGAGTTCCCGACCCCTCGTTGTATAACATCAAGTCCTAGAAAAGGGTCTTTATTCGAGGATCTTGCCACTGGTTGGCAGCCGTGACGGCGCGCGACACGTCGACGAGCAAAAATATTACATATGCATGAAGAAACATATATAATTATTGCCAAACCAGCTGCCAACGGGAGTATACGTATAGGGAGAGCTATCATTTTGGCGATTTGTTTATCCCCAAGTTAGACGGAACGCATTTGTTAGAAATAACTAACGGGGTGGGAAGCTGGGGTACATATACTGCTGCCTGGGGACGAACTACAGGGATCATGCATTTCTTTTTCTCCCTTTTACAAGTCGAAGGGCGCCAGTCGTCTACTGCCAGGTTACGACCTCCTATCGAATCATAACACAGTAGCCATTCGGTGTAACCAACGCGCCCATATTTTTGCACAGATTGAAGTTTGCATAACAAGTAGTAGCAGCTTTATAGCCGCTACTCCCATAAATTGGTAAACTGCATCTCATAATAATATGCAGAGCTTAGCAGTAATATTTTCTCGGCCTAAGGGAGTTATGGTCCAATCCATTCGAGTCAATCTGATGCACTTCCTGGTGGTAGCTGGAGATAGATACCCATCGCATGGTACTCACTCTTCCGTCAGTCGCCGTAATATTGCTATTCGGTGTGACGTATTCACGCCGGGTTTAGCGGACGTTGACGTTGACGTTGACGCCATGCACTCTCGAATGCTTATGATGATCTCCTTGAATGCTAACCAGCTTTAAGCATTACAGCAAATGGGTATTGGGTGATATTTGGGCATGAAGCTGACATTGAATGTTGAATTAACATTCGTCCAATTTGCTTCGCCGAAACGGCTCAAGATCTACCTCCAAAGGCCAGACTTTTGAGGTCCTTGGAGGTTGCTCTCTATCGCCTGGCGAAGGTAGATCCTTCGGTCCGGGCCTGTAACGGCTGGCTACTGATAACAGATTTGGGAGGTACTGCACTAGTTCGCTTGCAAACTCGTCTTCCTCGGTCACAACGCTTCACTTAGACGAAGGTATCTCTTCTCTACTCGCTGTGTCCAGCCGATAAAGACATGCCCGTCAAGATAAGGAAAGGTAAAAAGACGGGAACAACGTCGCTTGGGGCTGTGTTGGATGTAGCGGTAGTTGAGCAACGACATTGTATGGCAGAAGGTCAAAATTTCCTCTTTTGGCTGACACAGACAATTTCTTATTTCAACCGACAACGTCAAACCATCGAACTGATGACGATGAACAGGACAACAGCCAGGGGAAAAAAGGGACGCGCAACATTATCACAACATTTTCGCAGGGAAGACTGAAACATTTGAAATGCCGATTTTTCTCCATGATCGGGCCCACTAACTAGTTAAATAACTCTGTTCTACCCCTATATAACAACCGAGAGTAAAAAGAGTGTATGGGTCTATAAAGTGATAGGTAAGATGACTAGTCACTCACATTTTGACAACTGAATGGCCGGACATGTTAATTCCAAGATAGGGATGGGAAGAAAAAAGGAATGAAAACAACTACGAGGCTAGAAAACCGGGAGCTGATGACAATTCCGAAGAAAATGGTTTCTTTTGAAAATCCACAGATATTGCTATGTACGGTGCGTGTCGCGCTTCCGAGAGTCTGACAACACCGAATTCTACCTGCCTTCTGGATAATTTCCGATGCTGGCTGTGCAAGTTACGCAGCACTGGGTGCTTCACGAGCTGAGGCTGAGGCTGGTTTTGGCACGGCTGGTGTCCTACTTACCTCGTGGTAGTGGCGATTCGGCAAGGGTAGGTATGGAGCATGTAAGTATGTATATATTGACCCAAGGGCCAGAGTCAACATGCAGCCGTTTTAGTTCAGCCCTAAGACAGCCTTGTGTGAAGCTCGATATCGGCTGATGGTCCCTGATCTTTGGGTGGATTCATCCTGAGATCGTATCTCCGGAGTACGAAGGACATACATACGTACCCGAAGCTCGGAATATATGTATCTGATTTATTAATCAGGGGTCATCCAGGTTCTAGGGACAGGTATCCATCCCCGATGTTATTTTTATCAACAAAAAAGTATGGGAATAATATCAGAATGTATGGAGGACGGATCGTGCCCCAATAAGAGTGCGCGCCACCAGCGACCAATGTCAGCCAGCAAGCGTGGCCATGCAAGGGTTTAAGAAAAATTACCTCGAGCCTACATATTTCGGGCGTGGTTAGTCCCCAAAATCGGGAGACTTTGCCTGCCAACCCTCTGTCAGAGCGAAGCTTGCTTGCAGCTTCAGGCTCGCTTCTTCCGTGGGGTGCCAACGTATCGGCCAAGTTGGAAGGCGAAAATGGATGAATGACATAAAAGATCGAGGAATACGACCGTGTGTCCGGGTTGGTCATGGAGTACTTCGTACATGCAGAGTATACGCTGGAAGTGACATAAACCGGTTTCAGCCCAACGAGGAAGGATAAGGACGAGCTCGTGGTTGTTTTCCAGGGATGGCCAACCCGTGAAACACTCCAGTTGGAACCGAGGACGTCTGTTGCGGTGAAGCTCCCTGATAGAAGTGATTCTAGCCTGAGCTCCTTAATATGTCTGTTACATGGGGGCATGCGGAAGAAAATATGCATGAGTGGTGAGCTGCAGCTCGACTTGCTTGACTCTCAACTATATTTTATATCTCGCAAAAACCTGGGAGGATGAAGTCTTAATGCTAAAACCGTTATGCATTTGGCGCTTTTAGCTTTGCTCTCCCTCCCTCTGCCTCTCCTATCTTTGCTGTCGTTTCTTTTCTTTATTTTCTGCTCCTAAACTCCCCGGGCTCGTGACATGATTGATACCTCATGCACCATACTGGATTTACAGTGACCACTGCCGTTTCTTTTTGTACGGAGTACCAGTTGACCCCTCGCTGATTTTTACTAGATTGATATAACCTTTGCGGTCGTTTGGTTCGACCGATTTCTTTAGTGTGAGAGGTGACGCCCAACCACTATTGGGCCAAGTCTTGCCAATTCAGCGAAATCGCTGTTGATCGAGGCCGTCTGCAGGCGAATGGTCTCCCTCTTAGCGTCGACCGCAGTCTCCCATCCTACCACCCTTGACCACGCATCCCTGAACCCTGCTGCATTAACTCTCGCCATTTCTTACGCTCTGCCCCGCCCGCCTGCCGACGCTTCCTGCGCTGGACGCGCTGCGTGAGCCGATCCACCAACATCGTCGAGAGACGAGAACAAGGGCGGTCACACAGACATGTACTAGTGGAAAAGGCGCATCCACATCCTGCGCCAGTGACAGACGGATGGGTGCGATCCGTCCCATTCTCTCTGCATAAGCACCAGCCTCTGGCCCACTACTAAGTGGGACCTGCGGAAGGAGGCCCTTGGGAGCCCAGTCAAGGCCTCCCCCATCCATGTCGTAACCAAAAATCTCCCTTTGGCCCACGCTCGTTGCTCTGTGGCCAATCCCTTCTGTTAAAGCAGGGCACGACGTGATTGGAACTGAATAAACGAGAGAGGAATTGAACCCAAAAGTCCTAGGCTGAAAGAAGACTGGGCTGTCGCGTGTGAAATGCTTTTTCGATGGCCTCGCTGTCAAGAGTCAACCTGACCACCCTTCGTAACTACCTGGATTGGGATAGGCAGAGATGTTCTCCGCTAAAGACAGGCTATGGGGAATATACTCTGTACGGAGTACATCAACAAGCAATCCCGCTGTCGATGAATGAGTTGTACGGCGAAAGGGAGAAAAGGGGCCTTGATCTGGCCTGTTGCTGCACCCCCAACCTCAGAGCTGATCGCCTTCGTCAGAGTTCCTAACATATCCGCTATTAGTTTCTCTCCTGCAGTACGAGCAAGTCGATCGATAAAAAAAGGGGATCGACAAATTTATCCAAAGCTCTTTCGTTTCTTCTTGTTATTTGACTGGTTGCTGGAGACGTACCCGAAAACAACGACTATTACCTTTCACCCTTGTCACCTTTTATTTCTTCTTGTGATAAGAGTGTTTTTATTTTTATTTTTTTTTTTTTTTTGTGACTTATCCCTTCCTCAACCAAATTGCTTCTTATTCTTATCTACCTGCTCTCCGCCCCATTTATACAATCTGGCCCCAGGATTATTTCGACTAGCATCTGCTATTTTTTTCCCACCTTCAGCTTATTTATTTTACAGTTCCCCCTGGCCCAGCATCCCATTTTATGGGGAGCTGACCCTTCTCCGCCTTCACCTCCTTTGTTTACTATCGATAGGCCAGCACGATACCCAATCCCTTACCTTTTGCCACCCACGCATCAGGGGGCTTGTCCCACCAGACACGTCGCAAACTCCTGAGGAGTGGGAAAAACAAAAGGGACAGACCTAGGAAAAGGACATCTTGAAGACCTGACAAAATCATCGTGCCAAAGCTTTGCGTCGCCATCTTTCTATTTGATTTGTCAAGCTGCAAGGTCAGGACCCATTGTGCCCAGCGGAGCGTCTACGGAGGACGCTACCAACTGATCACCGTCCCACCAACTCCACCCTCCCGATTCTTTATCAACTTTTGGATCCGAATCCATTCAAGGTATACATTTTGAGTCCATCCCCCCTCTTCCTGCCACTGTCGATCCTATGCAAACAAATTTCTCGATTACGCTCGTCATTGACTTTGACCTCTAGGTCATTAATGAATTAATACCCCAACTTGCGCTAGCTACCTCCAGCAGCAGAATCTACGAACGTGGACTGGTGGTTGAGAGACCTTCGGCCCACTTTCTGATCTGATATTATTTCAGCTGGACGCGTGATGCTGCTAAGAGCGTTCTGAGGCTCCTCTTTCTGTTTGCACCCAAAAGCAAACGTTTGTGCTGTCACAAGTGCCTTCCACATCAACAGCCAATCCGGGGAATTATTCCTTTTCTTTTCAGGGAGGTTTTGCGTTCCATTTTCCTGGGCCACAGTCCCCCAGCTCTGCATATTCAACCACATAGTGGATTTATCTCTAACCACTTTCGGCTGGTGGATTAAAGATAATGTTTGAATAGCTTGCTTTTTAGCTCAACACCGAAAATATTACTCGGGGAAGCAGCCTCACCGAACTTTGGCGGCATTATTAAGGATCTAGGTGATCCAGAAACGGTTTCTTCATTTCTCACTTGGAAGTTTCTTACACCCGAATGTTGATTTGCTCTTCGGCGTGGCGCAGGAACATCACTCTCACAACTCCACATATACCTTATACACGGCTTACAGCTCGATCTGTGCATCTCTGTTTATTAAACTGACCACCTGTTTGCATGGTAGCCCTTCATCAACTATTGTACCAAATAACATATCCAACGTCTTTCCAGGAGCCTTGACCAAGAGACATCTCGCTGGTCCGTCAGCCTCAAAGCCGAACAGGGCCCTTTGCAACCGTGGCTGCTCTTGCCGTATCCCCGCCCGGAATGGGGGCGGTGTTCCATCCACATCAGCAGTTTACTCAGTCAAACGATACAATACTACCAAGCTTTGAACGTAGCAACCCGCAACCGTTGCAGCCCCAACCGACCAACTCTTCGAAATACTATAGCCCAAACGCCCCATCTTCATCTCCCAGGGGTCAAAAGAGATCCATCGGGCTCGCATCTAAACCACAGATAGACAGACCGAACTCGTTCTCACTAAACCTGGCTCCCAGTACATCCGGTTCCACTGGGCAGAGCAGTCCTGCATACTGGCCTGGTGTCCCATCTCTTCCCTTCAACGCTGGTAGGACCCCAAAATTCTGTTTACTTGTGGATCCGTTAAACTTCTATAACTGACGCGACTGTGAAGGTCGTAATATCCCCCCATCAACAGCTGCAGACGGCTTGCCACAGTACAGCCCGATATCCCCATACCCGCCTTCCTCAGGGACCTCGCAAACGCCAATTTCACAATTACAACAGCATTCGCAGTCACAAGACTCTCAGCAGCATCCTTCCAACCAAGTCGATCAACACCAGTCACAACAACACTCGTCCCAAACAATGGCACAAACGTTAATGGATTCTCAGGCAAATCCTGGCCATATATCATCTCAGGCTTCCCAGCAGCAATCGCCGCTGGATCCATATGGACATCGTTTCCGTTACCCAGGCCCACAACAATCGCCTCTTCCACAACACCCTTCCAGTTTCCAACCTTATCCAGGTGCCTCAATGTCCATGAGCCAGACTTCCGTCAGCGACAGCTCCCAGAGACTTGGCGTGCCGGTACAAGTTCCAGTCGAAGGCCAGCAACCCCTCCCCCAATACACTCGGCCATATCCTTCATACAACCTTCCAGCCATGAATGGCCCCGTGATGAGTAATGTCCATCACCCATCTAGCCAGATGGCTCTGATAGGCTCTATGCAGCCTAACATCCTTCCTACATTCAACAGTGGACATGCTGCTAGCTTACAACAAATGTATACGCATCAGCATCCACAAGCTCACCATATGCATGGACTTGGACCCCCAGGCCCTCAAAATGATAGACCATTCAGATGTGACACTTGCCAGCAGAGTTTTAACCGAAATCATGACCTAAAACGACATAAGCGCATTCACCTGGCTGTTAAGCCTTTCCCCTGCAACCATTGTGACAAAAGCTTTTCGAGAAAGGATGCTCTTAAGGTATGCTTTACTATATCCTTGCAATTTTTCTTCCTTCTTGAGTTATAAACATGGTATTAATATTATTTTGCACAGAGACATATACTTGTCAAGGGTTGCGGCAAGGACCCCCATTCTGAAAGTGACCACTCAAGGATTATAAATCTGAATCATCGGCACCCTTTTCGGCATCTCATTCTGCAAAGGATGACGATGGAAGCAGCGCCACACCTCCCTCCGCAACTGGATCGCGCAAGGGTAGTAATGGTGGAATATAATCTCTCACTTGATCATCTTCCGTGAGGCTATTTCGTTTGTTCCCTGAATAAGCTAAGAGGTGGCTTAATTCTTCATTTTACTACTATTTCATTTTACTACATGGGCGGCTGCTTTTTACCTTCATTGATTGCTCCCGTACTTGTATGACCAACCCTCTACGATCTATATCATTTTAATCACCATTCCCTAAGTCTTCATCCCTTGGACTTTCGTTTCTCTCCTTCCTACAAGCCTGACCTCATTATCTCGAATATCTCATTACTTTCCACATAAGCGGTGTGATACATAAAAATGTTTTTCTTTCTTGACATTCCTTCCTGCGGCCGCATATAATTAGCAAACATAGCTTGCATTCTTTTGGTTGCCCTATCTTGGTGTTTGAGTGCTTTTTCGAAAACTATGTGTGGTGATACTACCCCGTTGTTCGGTTTATCCTTTTACTACTCGGTGTTGTTATAACGGAGTTTTTATTAGGATTTTCCTTAACTTATTCAGTCATCAGTTTAAGTCTCGTGCCTTATGATCCCTAGCGATAAGGTCTAGATATGTAATCATTCCTGGTTCGACGAAGTATGGTTAAAAACGAAGAACCGACAATTTAGCGCAAAAGACAGTTAAACATTAGGTGCTACCGAGCTGGTGGGATCATAACTGGAACTGCTCAAGCGTCCCAAGTCCCTGCAGTCCGCAATCCCCCATCACACATCCGGTCGAATTTCCAATCCACCGTGTATACGATGGCCCAGCAGAAGCGATTACCAGGCCGTTGAATATAGTTATATTAACCAGAGGTGAATGTTCTCCAGGAGTGTTGAATTCAACGCGAAATCCAATAGGTAGAGTATCTGTAGCAGAGGGGGCATTTTTATTTAGTATGGGCGTAACTATTACCCCGGCGCACGCAGCATGGCGTACTTTCCCATTGTCGGCAATATAAGCACTGGCGTGCTCCGTATGCTGTGGAGTAAGCACATAGAACCAAACGACTGAGTATGGGCCAATTCGAGTACGGCCCCAATACCATGTTCTTGTTGTCGACGTGAAAGGCACATCACTCCAGTTCTATATTCGAGTGAATACATCATACATCAGCAGAAGCAAACGAAGATGTTGATGGTTGGTTTGGCTGCAGTGGCTGGCTTCCACAAAACGCTTACCTTATCGTGATATGCAGAACCATGAAACCGGAGCCTTGACCCTGCGATTGTCATGTCAACCGATGCATTACCATCGGGTATGGCGTTGGCCCACCCAACATGTGGGCAAACTTGCACATCCACATTCCGAGACGCGGCGCTGCATGGGTAATGTGGTGGCGCTACCTGAATATGGCTGAAGTTAATTATCAAACATCGAAATGAATGCTAACACATTGCCATGGACTAAGGATGGGGACATACAGATCTGATATCAAATGTGCCTTTGATTCCATGAACTGTATCGTTAAAGAATACACGGTACCGTGAAAGATCTGCAGAGCCCTGCCATCCCATTTCTATAGGGTGGTATATTCCTGCGTAACCATCTCTAGATGTTTCAATAACCGCTTTTTGGGAGTGGACCGCATATACAGACACGGTCCCATTGGGGAAGGATGCCCATATATAGACGGGTAGAATTCCCTTGTTAGGCACCAGAAAAGGAAATGCGGTAGAGGAACTTGTAAAGAAGCAGACGGTTATAGAAGAGTCTCCATCATCTGACACCGCGTCAAAATACCACCAGTCATAGACAGTCTCGTTCACAAAGTTAAGTTTCGGAGAATCAAAATCCCCCTCCCCGGACAGGAATTGAGCTTTGCTAGGTAAAAGAGAGGCAGTAAAATCCAGAACTGTAATGGAACCTTGAGTATCTCTGTGATATTCCGCCGCTGTCACCAAGAAGTAGAATTTAAACAGTAAAACGCACAATGTGAGCGGGTCCATAATGATATTGCCGAAGAAATAGCATAGACACACAACGATGAAGAAATAAAGTAGAGGAAATCTGATGTTCAAATGAAGCCATCACACCAAGGATAAGTAGTCTTACTCTGGGTCCAACATCTCACACAATGGCGAGGATCAGGGTATTAACATGGTTACCTATGTTGGCATGGGGCATTGTAGCAGCTAATTCCACGATGCATATTATTCTCATATCCCACTACTACAATAGGTAAGAGTATCCAACACGAGAGAAGCGAAATACGGATGGCATCTCAACTGCTCCGGATCGATAGCCGAGCTATACGAGATGCGGCGTACCTAAGAGTGAAGACAAACAAAAACACAGGGCCCGAAGGGAAAACAAATCTGATGTAAGAAGCTCTTCCATCACGTATATGGACACATGCATAATCGAAGGCATGCAGCTAGCCATACTGTAGCTATCCACGAGCTGAGAATTGGGGCGTTTGCATTCATTTCCTGAATTTGGGATATCACCGTCACCGACTGCCACAACGTTGATGGCTGAATGTTGTGTACTGCAGATCGGTGGCACATATCCAGACAGCCATGCCGGCAATTTCCGTTGCTCGCATCGGCTGCTGATGGAAATGCTTGTAACACACGATGTCGTAGCCTGATCTGTTGCTTTTTCAATAGTTAGTGGATGTTATATAATTTTCATCATGGTTGATGGTTGATCAAAAAAGGTTTAAGGGCTGCAAGCGAAGGCTGAGTTCGGACTTACTTCGGCCCGTGCGGTTTATCCGAACCTTAACTTTGTCCGAGCGCTTAATCCGAAGTTGTTTGTCTGGTTTGCACTTTATTATATAATTATTACATAACTCTGGTGCAATTGGCTGGAACTTACCTCGGCACAAAACAAAAAATGAAAATTTTGAATCCTCGCTTAGCGTTAGCGCGGTTTGCAAAAGGTATAAAAGGCTCTTCTCCCCTTCAACCTTTTTCCAAAAACCAGTCGACTTTACTTCAAAGAATGTGAGTACACATTTTGCTTTCCACCACACCATGTCGCCCTCTATGGTCGACATGTTGATGTTCACGAGATGATGATAACTAACTTTTCTCTTTCCAACAGCATTTCTATAGTAAACGACCCTACTCTGTAGTTTTTACGAAAGCGACAAGAGTCCCAACCTTGCTGATGACCCTAATGTCCTCGATGCCCTAAAGTGAAGCCTTTTTTATTCTCGCCTATACTTCGACAGTGATGATGATACTTGACAATGCCTCGGTGTTTGATTGAATCTCATCCTGTTGATTTAGAGAGTGGTGATGATCTTTACCTTGCCGTGGCGTCTGACTTCGGTCGGCCTGGCAAGGTGGGTGTCGAGGAGGTCTGAAAGGTTCTATTTACCCCTGAATTGTTAGAGTGGGATGTCTGTTGTTTAGTTTATAACTCTTAGTAGAATTTAATGAGATTTTTGAAAAAAAAAAAATTTTTTTCCGCTCCTAGTAGAAAGATGTAGGCTTCTTGTAATTTCGAAATTTGTGTTTATTGCCGGAGACTTGATCTCCATTCTATGCTGATTTGTAATTGTGGGAGAAGAGCCATGCTGTCGCCTGAGAACCAGATATGAAACTATTTACCACGTCCTCCAGCGCCTCCACGACCATATCCCCTTCGAGTGCCTCTACCACGAGGACCTGGAGTTCCACGAGAAGCAGGAGATGTTGTAGGTGGAGGTGCAGTTGCAGCTGTAGGCGAAGATCCGGCCTGTGCTGGTCTCGACCCTTGCGGTGATGGCTGTTGTTGGGTGTTCGCATGAGCTGGACCCTGCCCTCCTCCTCCTCCTCCACCGCTGCCGGCGCCACGGTTGCCATGACCTCTGTTCTGTGCTACAGCGGCAGACGTCCTCCGTTCCAGCACGACTACCTGACTTTGGGCAATAGACACGGGGCTTGCATCAATGGCTTTCCGTAGGCCTGCCGGCTCGGCAAAGTCGACGTATCCGAAGCCTTTCTTCTTGTCAATTTCTACACGTATGACTTTGCCAAACTGTGAGAACCCTTTCTGGAGGAGATCTTCCGTCACTCCTTGGGAGGGATTGGCGTGCTTGAGAAATGCCTGCGTTCCATTTGACGACGCTGATTGAGAAGACTGTTGTTGTTGTTGGTTCTTTTGGGCAGCAGGAGTTGATGACGCTTTCGTATTTGGAGTACTTGGAGTAGTTGCTGCCTTTTTGCCAGCTGCATTATTTCGAGCTGCTGCTGGCTCTGCGGGTGGGGTACTTTTAGATTGTTTGCTCGGTGCAGACTTGGGCGTGGAATCGGCGGTGTTCTTACCCTTGGGGGAGGGAGCAGGATTATTAGATTCTGATTTTGAGCTTGATGGTTGGTCCTTTTTTGCACTTTCTCCAGCAGCGTTACCGCCCGGACCAGAAGAAGCCTGACCAGCCTTATCCCTTCTTCGTGTAGGTGTAGTGAGGCCCAAATCACGTCGTAATATTTTAGTAGCTGCAGTGAGGCTTCCCCTTTCTCTCTTCCGTTCTGGTGCCGGAGACGCTTGGGGTGGTTGATTGACAGTGGTTGCGGGAGCTTTGTTTTCAGCTTTGGTAGATCCGTTTGCAGCCTGTTTATTGGCGGCCTTTACGGCATCCTTAACAGCAACATCCTTGGCTGCCTTGTCCTTTTTCTGCTTTTCCGAAGTTGACCTGTCTGCACGGCTGAGGAGCTGTTTCTTCCCGATCGACTTTTCACTTTTGCTCTCTTTGGCAGCAGCCGAACGGGCCTGCTTGGCTGCTTTTGCAGCAGCAACCTCCTTTGCCTTGTTTGCCTTTTTCTCTTTTAGATATTGGATGAGTGGGGTGATCGTTTGCTTTTCCACTCTATCTGCTGCCTCGGTCGTCTCTTCCTCGGACGGTTTGGTGACTGGGTTGGTCAAACTTTCAAGGAAGGATATGAATTCGGCATCCTGGTCGATAGTGCCTACTCGAGCATCGTTTCGAACTTTCCCACTAGGCACGCGGGAAAATGGGGCATATTCCAGGGTCGGCGGTCCAAGTAGGGCGGAATCATTGTAGGTATTTCGAGCGTCGTGAAATGTGGTTTGGCGGATCACATCCGAGAGTTCAGGGATAGTTACTGACGAGGTAACTCGTAGGTACGCCCTTCCGGGACGTGACGGTTTCGATGGGCTAAAAGCTCAAGAAAGACACCATTGTTAGACATAGATAAGGGCCTTGGTCAATATGGAACACTGACTCGGTAGAAACCTTCCCCGCCTTGAAGAGAAACCAGTCGACTCTTCCTCGTCCGACTTTCCAGTAGTCTCCCAGCGTAGTCTCGAACTCAGCCTGTGTCAGGCCGGGGGGCAGACGCCTCACATGTAGCTTTAGGCGGGGGACATTCCCTTTGCTAGAGTGGCCCTTAGATGGTGTGGGTGGAGGAGCAGCTTTCTGCGTTGCCGCCGGGTTGATAGCAAGGACCCCCGGAGACGCCTTCTGCTGATTCTTTTGCGACATGGTGTTCAACAGCAGTCTATAAGGAGCAGCACTATGCCAGACTTCTCCTCCAGCTCCGTCTCTGCACGCTGTCTGATGGATGATGAAAATACGTGCCAGCTGTCGATGACATAAAAGCTGGAACGTTGATGGAAAAGGCAAAGTTGACCACGTGATGCTCTTTCTGCCCGCCGAAGGTTCCAGCCGCCAGCCAATCTCCCGAAACGGATGTCAATGACGACAGTTAAACGCTTATTGTGCCGCTGCTACATCGACATCGCCTACATCAACGACATCATACATGGCAGATGGGAGCTGGCGGCGGTATCATCGAGTCTACCAAGCAAGACCATGCTACGGGCCGGTGCTATGAAGGGCGCGCGTTAACTAGCCTGCTAGTTACGGAGTCAACCCACTTCTTCTGCCTCCTCAGAGCTTCAAATACCATAAATTTATTTAAATATGTGAGAGATCCAAGGTTGCCGAGCTGCCTCTCTATCTAGCGACGAGCCGTCTGTCCTGCCTCGACCACGGCGCCCTTTGTGCGACCAGGTCGACCTCCGGAGCACCTTTGCAGGCTCAATGGACGTTGAAGATGCAGCCGAGCATGTTTGAGCATGTTTTCGCACGTTTGGTTTTTCCCTTCTCTAACTAACTCGCTCACTATCGGTGCGGTGGAGTTGGCGCAGGCGGTTGTTTGTCCTGTTTTTTTGTTTTGACGGTCACGCCAATGGTCAATTTACAAGAGGGAAAAAACAGCTATATATGCCTACAGCCGGCCAGCCACCAACCTGCATATTGTATATGAACTTCTTCTGGCCGCCGGCTTTTTTTTTTCACCTACCAGTTGCACGCAGCCAAAACAGGCGCACACACGCACACACGCACACACACACACACACACACAAGTAACTAGCCAAAGTACAAAGCCTGCGAAGATGGACATGACCATGGCGATGACCAGCAACATGCCCATGCCGACCGGCGCCCATGATATGCATCATGGAGGACATGGAATGCCTGCAATGGATCATGGAGCGCACAGCATGGACCATGGAAGTCACGGTATGGGCCAGTGCAAGATATCTGTAAGTCAATTCTCATCCCACGCGGCTATCAAACCATTAGCTTCCCCTGCTCATATAAATATTTTAGATGCTTTGGAACTGGAATGTCATCGACGCATGTGAGCACCCTTTTCTCTGTTAACAGATCCTGGCTTATCATGAGCAACCCTTCTTACGATGTGACGGTATAGGCTTCATCTCATCGACATGGCGAATCACGTCCAGGGGGATGTTTGCCGGCTCATGTATCGGCGTGATACTCCTTGTCATGTCCCTCGAGTTCCTCCGTCGTCTAGGACGAGAGTTTGATAAACACATCGCGGGCCAACCATCTTTGTTCAACAAACTCGGCTTCGGAACTTCCACCATGGCTGCTGCAAACTCGCATCCAGTAGGCAGTGAATTTACCGATGATCCTACCAGCTCCAAGCCGACGGATGCCAGTGGATCACCCAAGCTTGTGGGAGGACGACGTTCGCCAACGCTCTTGCAGCACACGCTTCGATCCCTGCTGCATATGGTAACTTTCGGAGTAGCATATTTTGTGATGTTGTTGGCCATGTACTACAATGGGTTTTTCATCATCTGCATTCTCATTGGAGCATTCCTGGGCCACTTTGTGTTCTCCTGGAAGAGCAAAGATAAAAGGTGAGCTCTTGATCCCCATTATTTAGCCTTTTCCTTCTCTCCTAAAAATAGTCAAAACATCCTGCCCTGTCGCCCGCGCCTGGTCTGGCTAACGAGATTCCTTTCAAGCGACGCATGTGAGATCACCGTTTGCTGTGGTTGAGGAATCGGATTGCAAAGCGAAATTAAAAATAACCCTCTACCCATGATCGCTGTTCGCTACAGACCCACTGTTCATGATGTTCATGGACAAAAGAAAAAAGAGATGCTCGATACCCTTCCCTGCCATGCATCTTGGCCTGGCCATTACGGTTTTCAGAATCAAATTATGCATGGAGGACTTTTTTTTTACTCGAAAATATGAGATATTAATGTAGACTTAAGACAGAAGAAATTCTCCATTCGGATATGACCAAGATTAATAATATATTCTTTTATGCAAAAACAGTATAATGACATGTCTATAAAAAAGGCCTTTTAGTACGCGCGAGCATGTACTCCATGTACCAACCGTGCTCAAAATGTAACTCCAAATAGCCTCAAATATCCATGAAGTAATAATATGACAGTAATAATATCAACAAGAATAGAACAGTCCCACCTGGGAATCGATTCTCTAAGAAATGCGCACATTCCTCCATACATCGTTCATTACCGATCGTCAAAATAAAAATGTATATATGTAGTTAGAGCCATCCGTCTTCGCGCATTGAGCTACCTCTTTTGTTTGAAGCGAGGCGACGAAGGCCTTACCCACCCCATCCCCTCGAATACCTTGCCTATTCGCTTGCACTGGCTCGGAAGCTCACGCGAGCTTTTGTGCGCGGTCATTGGTTTTGGGACAACGGGGATCCCGGCAAGTTGTTTCAGGATAACGTCATCTTCAGGCCGAGAAAAGTAGACAAGTGAGTACCGAGGGCTGCTGGCTTGCATGCCGGGCACAGCACATACACGATGTACGTTTGCTCGGACGCCGCCTTCCGTAAGTTTGGCGAGCTGTTCGCCCATTAGGATAATGCAGTGGCCAGGGAGAGGGTTGGCGGGTATCCAGTTAGCAGGGAGATTGGGACCCCCCGAGAAGTCCATTGTGGGTTCCGGAGATGGTGTGGGATTAGTGGTGTGAGGCGTGGTGGTAGGAGTAGTAGTGGTAGTGGTGGTTGTAGTAATTAATGGATTGTCCCTGAGTATGGGGAGGTTGTGGAGTGAAGAGTCTGGCTGGGGCGAACGGAACTGCAGTCCACCCGATTGGTTGAATATTAGTGTGACGCTGTTTGAATCAGAATGTTCATCCAGCAAGACATCATTCTCTGGTGGCGGGCGTGCTTCTTTGCTTGCCTGAAGCTTGATCCACCGTATCTGGTCACCGCTGTTTGCGTCGCGACGGTGAATGTTTTTCAAGGACTCCGGCGGTAGATCCAAAGCCGAGGCTAGACGAGCGAGGATTAGCGATATTATGGCGTGGGAGTTTCGGATATAGGTTTGTATTAGAGGAAGTGATGATTGTATAGACTGAGGTTGAGGTTGGGGAACTTTTGTCGGACTTTGAATGCCCAATATCTCGTCCTTTGAGACGGTGTAGAATTCTTTGAAGTCAAGTGCTCGGTTGCGGTATCCTTTATATCTGTAGACAACTCTGTTAGCTATGATATAATTCTAGGCAGACACTATGGACGTAGATCTCGTTCTTACCCGTAGTATCCGCCAAACTTGACCATATCATATTCCCTCTTTTCGTCTTCTGGAAGGTTGAAAACATCTCTTCCCAAACTAAATAACCTGTCTGCATCGGACATGACATCCTCACCAAGGCCTGCTGCCGTTAGGTCTAAGTAGAAGTCACCGAGCTCCCTACATGCCAGTAGCAGGCGATCAGCTTCAGCAGCATCATTTGCAATAAGTCGAGCGAGCGATATTTTAGCTGGCGAGGAGATATGCTGGTGATTCTTATCCAGTGACTGTCTTTCTGTGCCCTCAGAGGATATAGACGAAGAGGAGAAGTTAAAATCTTTCTCGATCCCGAAGGCCTTTTGCTGATAATGGTCGATATGGTGCTGTTTTCTTGAACGCGAGGCCTTCCAAACCCAGGTCAAAAACTGGCATTGTGAGTTAGACACCATGGCTGCAGCCGTCCACAAGCAAGAAAGACAACGAGACAAAACGCATCATAATGCGATGGACGAAGAGGAAGAAAAAAGATCCCAAAATTCAATTCCAGAATATTATCATGAATCCACACCGCAAAGATGACATAAAAATCAGAAGCGACTCGACCCTCGGCGCTTGTCTAAGTAGAGAAGTGGAGCGAGTTTGACATTCGGATGTCGCAGTTCACGAAGTAACTATTTTTTCCCCATCCCTTTTTTTTTCTCTTTCACCTCCCTCTTTTCGCGGGCTGGCACTCCATATATCAGATGCATGTACGTGTCCTTCCCTCCCTTTCAAGGATCGGAGGTGGATACTTGTATCACGATGCATGGAGGGAGTGATGATAGGAAGAGAGAGGCCGGTTTTCTTGACTAGTTGGGTTGGTGATACTGACGTCGCAAGGCTGGGGGCTTGCATGGAGTAGAACCACGTTTTTTTTTCTTGTCCGCCGGGGTCGCCTCTGGTTGAGTGGGCTGAACGTTTATTCGACTGGGGCTCCCTTCACTAGACGCACACTCTAGTGCAGCCACCGGCGACCAGAAGAGAATAGATGAAGAAAAATGCCCCCGCCGGTCTGTAACAAGGGCTTGCCACCCCGGCACCAGAAAACGCGAGGCCTGCCACGAGACGACGCTTATATCTCGCAAGCATTAAGGACTAGGGGGAGGGAACGTTTCCTCCGAACACGAGTAAACAGCCTCACGAGCATGGCTGACTCAGATATGCTGTTGATCTGCTCTTTGTCTCTATCTTTTCAGCCCTTTTGGCGTCGCTTGATGTGTCGTTGAAAAATCAGAAAGAAAAAAAGTCAAAAATTACGCTTAATATTAAAGTTCTTCTAGAAAAACGGGCGAAGGGAAAGCGATGACTAAGCACAACGTCAGAGAAAAAGACGAAGCGGGCAAAAGACGACGATTGGAAGACCAACAACAAGCACCGAAGACGAACCAGGCACAGACGGCGGCGAGGTCGACGTCAGCAGCAGCAACGAAGTGCAGACCCTCTCCCCTTCGGGTCTTTTCGGCAGACGAAGAGCGACGAGATACGAAATAAGATAGGACAGCCATCCCGAGCAGCTGAACTGCCACGTCGATGACTGTTGTGCCTCTCTGTGGTTGAGTCCCCACGATGGTCGACCCGTCAGTCCCCCAGCCTGGCCCGGCGCGACTGAAGCCCAATGCCGGTCCAGACGAGTGGCTAGAGGCAGCTAAAAACTGCAAATACTTGTCGGAACACCACATGAAGCAGTTATGTGAGCTGGTCAAGGAATACATGATGGAGGGTATGCCACCGTGCCATCACCAACACCCACATAACATACATATGCCCACGCCCACATGAAATTCTATCAAAGGTGATCGCCCAGCTAACTAGTCAGAGTCCAACATTCAACCGGTTTCCACTCCGGTGACGATATGTGGTGACATACATGGCCAGTTCTACGACTTACTCGAGCTTTTCCGCGTAGCCGGTGGGATGCCCGGTGACACTCGTCCTGCCGCCCCTTCCACCCAAGCACCGATAATAACATCCGAAGACATCGAGCCCCCGTCAACCATCACAGATCCGAAGTTGAAGCGACGACTACGGAAGAGTTCGCCGCCCAACTCTGTAATTGAGGATGATGGCGACGAAGAGACGGGCGGACAAGCAACGGAGTCGAAAGGAGATGATGAGGCGGGGGAAGAAGACAAGAGCGCTTCTCCCATCGGCAACTTCATCTTTCTAGGCGATTATGTGGATAGAGGGTACTTCAGCCTGGAAACCTTGACGTTATTGCTGTGTTTGAAAGCACGGTATCCGAATAAAATCACTCTTGTGCGGGGAAACCATGAGTCGAGGCAGATCACGCAGGTGTATGGCTTTTATGACGAGTGTGTGCAGAAATACGGCAATGCATCGGTATGGAAGGCATGTTGTCAGGTGTTTGACTTTATGACTTTGGGCGTTATTGTTGATGGCAAGGTGTTGTGTTTACACGGTGGGCTGAGCCCGGAGATTCGAACGCTGGATCAGGTGCGTATCGTAGCGAGGGCGCAGGAGATTCCGCATGAGGGTGCATTCTGTGATCTTGTCTGGTCTGATCCAGATGAGACGGAGGATCTGACATGGGCCGTCAGTCCTCGTGGAGCAGGTAAGATGACTTTCTTCTTATGTCGTTTTGTCAAAGCAGAGGTTTGCTAACTAATGTTACTAGGCTGGTTGTTTGGTAGCCGAGTAGCCGACGAGTTCTGCGCAGTCAATGACCTCAATCTGATCGCCCGAGCACATCAGCTTGTCAACGAAGGATACAAATACCACTTCGACAGCCAGGCCATGGTTACAGTCTGGAGTGCACCGAACTACTGCTACCGCTGCGCCAACATGGCGAGTGTATGTGAGGTGCGGGAAGATCTGAAGCCGGTATTCAAGCTCTTCGCTGCCGTACCAGCGGAGATGAGGCATGTTCCTGCCTCCCGGCCGCAGAAAGCAGAGTACTTTCTTTAGGTGTTCTTTCGCCTTGACTAGCTATAAACCTTTTGACCTCTATTTGACTTTGGCCTGCCTTAGTAGGCGGGCTGTTGGGCATGGGTTGGCGTTTCGATCTGTTTTCCCTTCATTTCCCCCCTTTCTGTTTCTTTTACGAGTATATGAGCAATACATATCATGAATCTATCTAGGATGTATGTGGTCCATGCCAAGAGCTAGATGCTTGCATGCATTTGCTGCCGGAGGAGGGAGGGTTTTACTAAGTTTATTAAAAAGGGCCAAAAAGGACATTGTGCATGGGGTGAAGATGATCCATTTGATTCATTTCATTGCATTTTGGCTAATTCCTTTTTGAATAAAACACCCCAGTACCTGGTCGTTAACACGGCGTGACAATTTAGCATACTTCTACTTACTCTTCCGTTTAACCGAACATGGCGTCACCGAGACGGATGCGCACGGTCTTGATCTGGGTGTAGTTGTCGAGAGCGTATTCTAGACGGAAGTTAATAATTATACTTTGGGCTAACGCAGGGGAGTGGAAAAGTTGATAAGACTACGACGTACCTCCCAACTCACGGCCAATACCACTCTCCTTGAATCCACCAAAGGGAGACTGGTAGGAGATGAGGTTGTAGCAGTTGACCCAGACGGTTCTACAATTGTTAGCATATTTCTGTCTAGACAAAATGAAAAGAACCGAAACTTACCCAGCCTTGAGGGCGTTGGAGACACGGATGGAGGTGTTAAGGTCCTTGGTGTGGAGAGCGGCAGCGAGGCCGTATGAAGAGTTGTTGGCAATGCGAATGGCATCCTCTTCGGTGGAGAACTTCTGGACAGTGCAGACAGGTCCAAAGATCTCCTCCTTGACGATCTTCATGTCATCGGTACATTCACTGAAGATGGTTGGCTGGATGTAGTAGCCCTCGTTTCCGTGGCGCTCACCACCGACCTCGACCTTGGCACCGGCCTTCTTGCCCTCCTCGATGTAACCCATGATACGGTCGAACTGGAGCTGAGAGATCTGGGGGCCCTGGAAGGTGTCTGGCTTGAATGGATCGCCGACCTTGTTCTGGTTGGCACGCTCCTTGAAGCGGGCAAGGAACTTGTCGTAGATGCCCTCCTGGACGAGGATACGGGAACCGGCACAGCAGCACTGGCCGTGGTTGTAGTAGATACCGAAGTTGACCCAGCTGATGGCATTGTCAATGTCTGCGTCGTTGAAGACGATGTTGGGGCTCTTTCCACCGAGCTCGAGGGTGACCTTCTTCAGGTTAGACTTGGCGGCGGCCTGGAGGATCTGGCGGCCAACGACGGTGGAGCCGGTGAAGGCAACCTTGTCGATGTCCATGTGGGAGGAGATGGCGGCACCGGCAACACGGCCAAAGCCAGAGATGACGTTGACAACACCGGCGGGGAAACCAGCCTCGACGATGAGGTTGCCGACGTAGAGAGCGCTGAGAGGGGTCTGCTCGGCGGTCTTCATGACAATGGAGTTACCGGTGGCCAGGGCCGGGCCGATCTTCCAGGCAAACATGAGCAAGGGAAAGTTCCAGGGGATGATCTGGCCGCAGACACCAACGGGCTCGTGGCGGGTATAGGTGAAGGTCTCGTGGTCGGTGTCGATGACCTTACCCTCGACCTTGTCGGCCCAGCCGCCGTAGTATCTGAGGCACCCGGCAGCGTTGGTGACGTCTGCCTTGGCCATGGACAAGGCCTTGCCGTTGTCGAGGGCCTCGATGGCGGCAATGGTCTCGATATCCCGCTCGAGCAGGTCGGCGAGCTTGGTCAGCATGCGGCCCCTCTCGCTGGGGGTGACCTTTCTCCAGGGACCCTCGACGGCAGCGCGGGCAGCCGCAACTGCAAGGTCAACGTCCTTCTCAGTAGCTTCATGGACGGCACAGATGGCCTTTTCATTGTGAGGGTTGATGGTCTCGAAGGTCTTGCCCTCGGTTCCCTTGACGAACTTGTTGTTGATGAACCTGTCCAGCCTGTCAGTAAATACAAACGAGCTCTCAAAGACCATGAAACTTACAGGCCGAGCGGCTGCTCGAAGGTGGCGGTGGGCGTCTCGATCTTCTGCGTAAGAGCCATGGTTGCTGCTGATGACGACGAAGAGTGAGGATAGTTGTTGAGGTGAAGTTGAGATGAAGAAGAGGAAGAAGAAGAGGAAGAGGAGGAGGAAGACGGAGGTGGAGGTGGAGGTGGGAAGGGACCAGGTAGAAGTGGGGTCGGCGGTGTTATAAGTCCATCGTCGCTGGCTGTTGATGCCCGGGCGTCGGCCTATGGTGAGGTATGCGTGGGAATGTTGGGCCATGCTGGGCCATGCAGCGCCGTGGAGGAGCCATGGAGCGGGCATGGCAGGGTACCTCGCGGCCCAGCCAAAGCACCGCGGGCCCGCATGTACCTTCCCATTCCCCCTCCATTGCCCGGCCATCGTCCTGCATAGCTGTGCATAGCTCTGCATGGCTCTGCATGGCCCTCCGTCGCTCCGTATGGCTCGCTATGTACGAGAGAGAGGAAATAGAGAGGTCGCCTGCGCTGTCCGTCCCCCCTCCTCCATGTCCTCCTCCATGTCCCGGTCCGTCACCTTGTCTTCCTGCCCTCCTGCCCTCCTGTCCGTGAAACCGCCTGAAACCCGGCCGATAACTAGACAGGAGAACCTGACCAATCTCGAGCACCAGCCTGCGGGCGATGGTCAGAGATGGTCAGAGATAGTCTGCGATGGTCTCCAGCTCCCGGCGGCAACGGCGCCAGTTAGCTGTTGGTTCGGCATCTCGCTCGGCGTCGCTCTCGCCGACTCGGCTTTCCTCCAGGTCCTTCGCAGCGCTGGGCGTGAGATTGCGATATGTCAGCAGCATCTCTTAGCCGGCGATCCTGCGGCCACCCGCGGTTGTCATCATGGATCTCCCCATGGATTTTGTCTTCATGGGTGTGTGTGTCTAGGTCTCTATTTAAACATGGGTCTGTCAATGGAAGTAGGCTATGTGCGTGGCCAGAAAGAAACCCCCAAAGACGGACCCGTCAGTGTCATTAAAGCAGCAATAGCGAGATGGCACTACACTAGGATTCTTTGCGGGGCCTCCCAACTATGTTTATTTTATTTTTTTTACTCGTGTGCCCTAGTCTCAAAACCTCCTTTTCCTGTCTTACCAGTCTTTTTCGTGAGGACTACAATACCAGAGGGAGTTTCTTCAAGATGTCTGACAGGAGGCATGCTCCATATACGTGTAGCTACCAGTGCAGTGCAGGCATCAGATAAGATCCCCGACTTTGCTGGAGATTGAGCTTCAGCCCCGCCATGCTGACTAAGATGAAAATACTGACTAAACGGATTAGCTAAGCTGATTAAGCCAACCACCTACTTCTACCGTTAACTGCGATCTTATCCTCTTATAGCTGTAATGGCCGAAGGGAAACTGTCGCGTCCTCGTCTGCGACCCGATCCACTTCACGTGACCACGACCTTTGACGCCTGGTTCGAATCCTCGAGTCGCGACTTTTATTCCTCGGAGTAAAAGTTCTCCCGCACTCGTGCTGAGTAATCCACGAACGGCTGCGGCGCGCTAAGACATGGAAGAGACACTTGAGGGAAGCAATTCTGCAGAGGCCTTCCACTCGGGGATGGCGGCACCAGATCACGTCGGCGTGCGGGTCGCGGGGAGGACATTTGACAGTTGACTTTTTTTTATTCTTTTTTATATTATCATCATTCATCATATGCTTCTGCTTCCTGCTTTTGTATACTCTTTGTCACTGAAATGAGAATATGTTGCTGCCTAGATTGAGTCGGCTTCGGAACTAAAGATTGGTAAGCGAGAGCGGATGAAGGATGACTGGCAGGGCTGTACCCCTGGCTAGCGAGGTCAAAGACGGAACATTTCATCGGACGAGCTGAAAGATGGGCCGTCCATGAAGGCGGACGGACTGGAGAGCTACCCCGACACGGGCGAACTTGCCGTCCGTCTTTGGCATAGATGGACATCTCATTGAACAGGACGGAGTACAGGACAGGTATACAAGATGTAGCATTGCGGGGGGAGGGAGAGGTATATAAAGAAGCACCTCTTCTGCTGTAGTTAGCATTACCATCACCATCAACATCAGCAGCAACAATAACAACATCAATATCGATATCATCAAATATACAAACTACCATCCAATATGCCTCAATTCACCTTCTACGCCCACCCCATCGCCACGGCACCAGACCGAGTCCAGCTCGCCATCGATGAGGCCGGCTTCACAGACTACGAGCGCATCACCGTTGACATTCCCAACAAGGAGCAGAAGGTAGGCCTACATGACACTAAATTACTTGTATGTATATAACTAAACAGCTCGTAGACCCCCGAATACCTCGCCCGCAATCCCTTCGGCAAGGTGCCTACCATCGTCACCTCCGATGGCATCACCATGTACGAGTCCCGTGGCATAGCCCGCTACCTCTGCACCCGCTACAACTTCGACCTCCTGCCCAACCCCAACGACAACGCAGCAGTCGCCCTCTTCGAGCAAGAATACTCCTGTGAAACCGCCTGCTTCGACACTCCCGTCTCAACCGTCCTCTTCGAATCAGCTTTCAAGCCGTTGCTAGGCTTGGAGACCGACCCGGCTTCCTTGGAAAAGAACAGAAAGGCCCTCAGCGAGTACCTTGACGTTGCCGAGTCGATCTTCTCCAAGACCGGGAAGAAGTTCTGGGCCGGTGACAAGTTCACGCTAGTCGATATTAACTATATCGTTCCGCTAGCTAGAATGTTTGAGCGCGGACAGGGTGATGTGATCACATCCAGACCCGCTCTCAAGGCATGGTGGGATCGTTGCAACGAGAGACCCGCCATCAAGGCCTTCATCGCCAAGGTGCCGAATGTCGATGAGCTTATGGCCCAGTTCAAGCAGAAAGCAGAGGAAAAGCAGTAACTAGTTGGTTATCTCTGATTGATTTCACCACTTAGCATAGATAGAATAGCCATATGCTCGTAGAATAATAGAGCGCTCTGACTGCCATATTCCTTGCATCCTATTGTGTTGTCGCCATGTTGTCCCTTCTCTGTCGACAAAATAAACAGTGATATTTGAGTTTGGCCTGTTAACTCTAAACATGGGATTGGCCCAAGCTCCTAGCTACCCGCTGCCGTCTCTGTGCGCAACGAAGTACCCAAAAGTATCTTCTGCCCGTGAAGGAACTCTAATGTACTTTGGAGGCAAATGATTTATAATAATGGTATTTATTACCTCAACATCTTGGCTATTGTATGATTGGAGGCGATGATTAAACTGAGGGCTCCATTGGTTAACTGTCACATGCACAGAGCTTAACTAGTGGGTTCTTGGCCTCAATATTATCAGATTTCCCCCCTATCAAGCTCATCTTCTCACCAATGATAATTGACTTCTATGTACATCCATTCCTTCATGACCAATCATCGTCATTCATCTCCATAAATTGACACACAAGGTTGTCAGTGGGCTGCTGATGGGATGGGACCTCGCCCTTTTCTCAAGAACTCTTCCTGCTCGACATGCTCCAAGGATTGTCATCATTAGTCGCAAGGCGGTGCGTATCCCTATGCTCATCGAGCCATCCCCGAATAGTTCTGATTGTTTGACGGATATCCTTGTGGTTATAATAATGGGAAGCAACAAACCCATAGATAAGGCCATCAACACCGACTTCCATCATCTTGTAAACATGATCCTTCCTGGTATATGATGAAACCGTCCAACCAAAAACTTTGCCAAATTTGTGTGATTCCTTGCCTTCGCGAAGTTGTGTGCAAACACCACTTGCGCGGTCTTGACAAGTGCCGAAATTGAAGTCTGGATTAAAAAGGCCTGAAGAGAAAACGCGCTTCTCGACTCGGATACCATTCTTCTCGAAATCCTTTTCAACAGGCTCGAAGCTGCCGTCAATACCAATGGCCTCATTCTCGTTCAATACCTGTTTGACGAATCTGAAGGCGTGTCCGCTTGTTTGGGAGCTGTAAAACCCAAACAGAACTCTCACTCCGGCTGGTTCAAGTTTCTCTCGACAAAGAGTCATCAGAGAAACGATGTTCACTCCATTCTTGTTGAAGTCGGGATTCTTAAGGTCCAGCCATACAAAGCTCACTTGGGCTCCTTGACGGCGTCGATACGCAATTTCATCGAACAAGTCCGCCACCTTATCGCCTGCGCTCGAAGGTAGTCCATCGTGATCGCCGTACCATCCATTCCACCACCCCGTTATGTCCACCTCGAGAGCGTTGGCTCCATGGCCCAGGGCAGCTCTAACACCACCCTTGGTCAGCACGCGATGTCCGATGAGCCAGAATGGGGATGCTTCGTTTCCAGGTTTGCTAGTGAAGTTACTAGGGCTGGTGAAGTTATTGGGAGTATCCCAGGTTGGTGCAGAGGGAGCAATGATGGGTGAACCCTGAACAAGTATGGACCCAGCAGCCAGGAAGCTGCAAAGACGGAGGAGAGATATCATGTTCAACAGTGAGTTGAGGGCAAATAGAAATGCTCAGAGTATGTGACAATTGTGACGATTGACTTGACAGGTGGTTGAAGACCGTGAGTTGTCTGGCTGGCTTTAAATATCCCTTCCGCTATATTGATATAAAAATGCTATATTAATGCCGCCATGCTATCTATCCCCCCAAGGCAGATTGAGTGGAATGCTTTTCCTGGCATCAGGCAGCCCTGCAGTGGCAATGCCGGCTGCAAAGGGTCTCTACAAATATCCACAAGATCATAACTACGCTAAAAGCATGTCGACTGACCGGTATCTTTTCGTTATATCTTTTCTTGGACGTGTTATATGTTGATCTAAGAGCAGCCAAGAATCGTGGCATTGAATAACTATCACAGCAAAGCAACTAAGGATATCCCCCTAATTGCGCGGGCAGGCTGATTTTGGCAGATCTATAACAAAAAACGCATAGCCATGGGGACCTTGGATTGTAACGAAAGTCTTCTGCCAATATCGTTACTCTTGGGTGCGTGAATTGATATGCACCAGATCGGGAAGTGGACAGACGATTCATAATAACTATCTTGGCGATCTGCGGTGCCTATTCCTATCAACGTATAGATATATGGCTATGATGGGTATATATATCACAATCCACGCTACGTATGGCCAGAGCTAATGCTAAAGCCGTTGAAGTCCCACCTGATTCTTTTTTTGATCATCCCACAAACAAAAAAGCAAAGTGTAACTACTCCGCTCTGATGGTTAGAACTAACTAGTTATACGTTGGGGCAGGAGCCTAGAGCCCCACGTTATTTAACTGTTCATAGAAGCTGTTAACTATGGATGGCGTTGATTGGTTGCGGCATGTCTGTTTTCAGGGAAGCGTTTAGCTGTTATGTATCTGCGGGCAATATAAAACAGTCGAGGAGTTTTATCTTCTTCATCTTGTCTTACTCACCTCTGCAGCTGCTGGCGGAGGAAGGTGAGAAAAAGCACAGCCATGATTCTCCAAGGGCGGTCTCGGGGCTGGACGGAGGCTCGTCGATCACCATCTAGCTACCGATCCACCGATCCGAGAGAAGTATATTAACTAATTAGCTACCGATCCACCGATCCGAGAGAAGTATATTAACTAATTAGTCAGTTACTCCGTATGGTAGTGAGGTATCAAGCTACTTAGACTTCCGTCCCGTCCCCGGGACCTTGAAAAATGTCACCTGAACACCTAAGTGGACGGGCATCGCGCCCAACAAATGGTTGGGCAAATCGAAGAGGGCATATTCTGATTGACAGAAATAATTGGTTTGCCTGCATAGAAGATCTGCCGTGTTATCCGTAACTAACTAGACGGGTAATGATTGGTCAAGAGTTCTACTGAGATGCTGCTTGGTAATGGTGTATGTTCTTAATCATACAACAAGTCGCCACACGGTACAAGAATATAGATACTATGAGTATACTGTCTTGATTGTATCTCGTGGAATAAATCTTATCTCCTCTTTGAATTACCCAATAATGAGGCAGGTAGTTATCGTCCTCCACTGGCAGATAAATATATAGTTACCTCCATGGAGGCGTTGGGCTCCTTAATCTTATATATACTATCTATGGCTGTACTAGAAAGGCCTGTATAAGTATAGAAAGAAAGGCCGTGTTGATACTATGGGAAGTAGTTAGAGGTGGAATGTTATATCATATATTGATTTCACTTCTTCATTGACCCAATGAGCTACAGTCTCATGGTTTGACTATGTAGGACAGATTGTTATTCTCTATAATCAAACACATTGCCCATCCCACTAGGCACACTGATATACAAGATATATTTGGAATTATCTTCTTTTTATCACACAATCAAGGGAATGTAAAAATTGATGGATATACTATGCGTACGGATCAAGACCATTTCTATATTCACTCTGTAGACAGGCTCAGGCATAGCTAGGCGCTGTAACTGCATCTTGCACGCAGGAGAGTAATCTGTATGGATTAGGCAGGGGCAACCATCGCATGGGCGTGTAAACAAATAAACAGTGTATCAGTGGAAGTTGCGAGTGTCATGGGTTGCCATTTCCTGATCGGGATAAACCATCGTGCTTTCCTTACTGAGGACCACCTTACCTTGCTCCTGGACTTGTTCTGATAGTTGTTTCTAAGAGTAAAAAGGAAAAGGGCGAAGTTGGGTTCGAACCCAGGGCGAAAAAAAAAGAGTTTAGGAGGCCCCCTAGTTAACTAATCAAAAAACGCATATCATCCATTAGTTATGTCACGTTGCCGTGGCCACTAGTTAATGTGTAATAATGATCCCTTTACTGGTTACACTAAGTAACTGTGCTAGGTACCACAGGCTAGACGATGAGAAGCGGACAAACAGTGTTGGATCCACGATGTTAAATCAATAATGCTACTACTTCATTTGTCTGCGCGCAATATCTGCTGGGGTAGAAAAGTGATAAACGATTATCCGTACAGCTTCTACATAGAGACTTTGCTTGACCTGGGCTCGATTGACTATACGAACAAGTTGCTGCTACATGAGGCAAGCAAATAGTTAACTGATTGTCTATCTCGCGGAATAAACCTCATCTTCTCCTTGAACTACGCCCACTACTGACAATGGGCGCTGGATCAAACGCATCTTCGTCATCATCATATTCAACTCCGTCGCTCATCACGCTGACGCTGCGAGCTGCTCTTGTGGCGGCAGCTCGCGTGGGTCTCGTACTAGAGCCACTGACACTGGTGCCGCCTAGAGTTTGGCTCTGGCTGGTCTGAGACCGACCGAAGTTCAATGTGCCCTGGACTTTCTTGCTGGCTGCTGTTGTCCGTCCGGCTGGTTTGCGAGTAGACGCCGCCTTGGATCTACTGGTTGTCGTGGCTGGTGCTGCTCTTCCGCGAGATCTTGGTGCTGGCTGCTGGACGAACAGGTCTTCAGCGTCGTCGATGTTTTCAGGGATATCATCTAATACCACGGGTTCATCGTCGTCGGGCATTGCTTCCAGGAAAGCTTCCTCATCATCTTCATCGTCATCGTCAAAGACATCTTTTCTAGATCCCCGGGCTGGTGGAGCGGTAGTTTTTGCTTTCCCCCGTGCCCTTGTTGTAGTGGTCTTAGCCGCAGCTCGACTGGCACCTCTACCTCTACCACGAGTTGACGTTGACGCAGCAGTGGATGCGCCCCGTTTTCTACTGGTAGTCGTGGCTCTGGCAGGGGCTTCTTCCTCTTCATCATCGTCATTGTTGCGGCCGTCTTCATAATCAGAGTGTATCAGTGCACCAGGTTGATCCTCCCATACACCGTCAAATTCCGTATCCCAGCCATCAGGTTTAGGCTTGAACCGCTTCTTCCCACCTGTTCTCCTACCCTTGCCTTTAGCAAATAGCTCTTCAAGCTGTTCGCGATATTTATCCATGGCAGTCTGGATAATTTCCTCACGTTCATAGTCATCCTGATCGATTCCATCTTGGTCACGATCTAGATTCATCAGATGCTTAATCTGGCTTTCCAACGAGTCGTTGACAAACATCTCCATAGCATACTTGTCGTCCTTATCAACGAATTGGGATACGGCATCTCCGAACGAGTTTTGAGGCAGAATTGTCAATGACTGTGCCGTAAGGAACTCTCGAACCAACTGTTCAACTTTTATCGCATCAAGGGCGACGAGATGGGACACAGCCGATTCATCTGGTGCGTCGGATTTGCCATGTGTAAGAGCCGTGCCTTTCTTCTTGCGGTGAAATAGCACAACATCATTAACATTGGCGACTTTGCCAACAAACCTGTTCGAAAAACGCTGTGGGTTTTCACAATCGAAATTTCCTCCTCCAGGCCTCGATGTCTCGACTTTCAGCCGTACGAGCGGTAGAGGGGGCTCAACTTCGTCGTCATCATCATCACTAGCGGCTTCTCGCTGCTGTAACCACTCATTCCTGGCTTCTTCAACCATCTCCTCGACAATACCCATCAAAAAGCGTGTCGTCTCTGTCCGCGTATCTTCCTTTCTAGAAAGCTTTTGCATCTCTCTTTCATCGCTCAGAACAACTTCTCTGGTAACAAATGGCCGAACAGACTTTAGTAAAATGGGCTCCGATTTGAATTCGCGTCCGGTTATACTTAGTATGGTGACATGTTTCTTTACGGCTTCACCAGGAACTAGGGACGTTGCTACTGAAGAGCCTGGCTGTATAACGTGGAAATTTGTCTCCGGGTTTAATCGAGGGTGTATCAGACATTCGTGCTCATGGCCCCAGATAACCAAGTCAAGAAAATCCGGCAAGAATGACTCCGGCAGATAACCTGTCTCAGTATGTGCATGGTGGTTCTGGTGTACGCTCATAAGATTGAACCAGTCTTCCTGCTGCATCGATGGTCGAAAGAACTTGACTTTGCCATCTCTGAACGTGCGAAATAACCTCTCATCTCGTACGTTACTCATCCCAAACAGGGCTAGCTTTGTACGTCCCTTTTGCAGTAGAACAGGCTTGATTTGGATATTATCAGATTCGGGAGTGCGGCCATAATAATTTATCAGGCCTGATACCTGCAGCAAATCAAGGGCAGCCAGGTGACCTTCACCAGATGGATCATCATGATTCCCATGTATGGAGAAAACAGGAATGGCCACGTTAATATCCAGATCCTCGTAGTTGACATGGTTGAAAGCTCCTTGAAAGTTTTCGCTGGCATCGCTGAGCATCTCCAGCTCGCATGGTTTATCTCCAAGACAATTCATGCGCAGAGACCTCATCACCTGGTACATAGACTTTCGGGACGGCTTATTCTCGTGGAACAAGTCTCCTGCAAGGAGTACCATGTCGACATCTCGTTCTTTAGCAAGGCACATCACCTCGTGGAAACTCTTCCAGCTGTCGTCGCCCCGTACGGGGTCGCGTTCATTGTACCCAACGTGGTTGTCCGTTGAGACAAGAATACGTATGGTGTCCGCGCCTGGACAAGTCAGTATGACATTGATTTCATGAGGAAAGAGCATCCATACCGGTTGGGGCCATCTTTGGGTATCATAAATCTACAGCTTCGTTTTGACTCCTCTTAAGCTTGTGGATATTGAAATTTATGCCGGTGTATTAGTTATGCGAGGCCACTATAGATCCATCCACCAGGCTGCAGCAACCGATCAGGCGACTAACTAACTAGCCACCAGTCACTGGCTTTAAAACGGTGATCAGAATGAAGTAAATGTAGAAGTCAACATGTATTTGCCAGGATAATGTCAGGAGTTGTGATGAACCACTTTTTCTCATCTTCAGTCGGTTCGTTCGATTGAATTGTTCGATTGAAGGATCTCACGTAGTTGGTAACTTACGAGTTAAGTTCACTAATTAACTAACTATCTGATTAGTTAGCTAACTAATTAATTCTAACCAATAACAGATAATTATTAAGTTATCTCCAAACCAATCAAGCCCAATCATACGGAATAATCCGTACTGGCTCATCCAATTAACCAAGCTACACTATAGCCTCGTCCCGAATTTATAACCATCTTATATTAACTCAATCATAAATCTTGATATGGAAAATGTTGATATGATGTCCCGTCGTGGAGTCGTTGGTTTGGTAGCACAATTATTGGAAGGACCAGACTCCCCTACAAGGTAGGCTTACAGACCTACCGACGTAATAACCCAATATTTTTCGCACCTAGCATCGCTATACTGGACTTTTTAATGCAACTATGAATGCAGCCTATGCGCTCTAGGACAGCGAGCGGATTTATCTATCTCGGGTCGAAGATCTACTCAATAAAACTCAACCGCTAAATAAAGATTATGCTGCTATTCAAGTTCAGGTGGCAGGATGCCTACAAACAAGAGAGGGCATAGAGGGTGAGCAACATAAGATAGAGATTAAGTGTGTTTTGTTCTAATGATGTATGAGTAATGCTGATGTTCAATACGCTAAATCTGGGGATGGAAGAAGTGCCGATGAAACCTATGCCGATAAACCAAGCCAATGAATGAACCAATGCTGATGACCCAATTCCGAGAATCATTGCTGATGAAGCCAACGCTCATGAAGGTAATGCTGACAAAAAAATGCTGAAACTGCTTTTCTCTGCAAAACTAAGACAAAATCTTAAACATCCGTTAGTATAAACAACTTATCGGACATAGCTGTTTCTAAATCGGTGGATCCATCGGGATCGACTTCAGAAGGATGGTATAAACTACGCATTATTTTCTCAAATCGCTCCTTCAGCCCACTAACTTGGAGAATTTTTCCAATTCTTGCATGAACTGAGAGAAGGAAGGGGCTAGGCATAACAATCGAGTTGTCGTGGCAGCGGAAGGTTACCTGGCCATTTCTGGGCAGGTAGGAGAACTCAGTGTAATTGGCCTGCTTATGCACGATATTGTAAACATATGGTTGATCCTGTTAAAGTGACATTTGTTATTTCCGCAGTACTCGCAGTTTATAGAACTTGTGTGACTAACTGTTTCCTTGAAGGTAATATTTAGAGAGCCGAATTGGGGGTGGAGAAGATGAAAAAGAGTAATAGAATTTGCAGGTGTGTTGATAGTATCTGGGGTTATAACTTTCTCCAGACCTGGGAAATATCTATACAAAGCTTGCCAGATGGTAGCCTTGTTTTCAACCTGTATATAATTTTGATTAGAATGTTGCGTATAGATATATTAAGAATATAAAGCGCTTACCTCAAATTCCTTGTCCTCATCAAAGCTACCAAGAGAAAAGGGAAGAATATGGGCGACCTCCGTCGCTGCTAGAGTACGTCCGTCCTCAGGGACGATTTTTCCAGTCTCTACAGAATGACGATCCCAAAGACCAGTAACCTGGCACCGGTATCCGTCTCGCTTGAGGCAGTCATTTTTTAGCTTAGCCTGTTGATTGCAGGACGAGGCATTCATTGATGTTATCATCAGGGAGTCAATTTGGACTTGAGAGTCGTGGCAGGGAGATGGGGTAGGGGCAGGAGTTCTTCCACCAACGGCTTGAACTGGAAAGCAGCAACTTATTAGATAAATTTTACGGAGTGCCTTTCTTGAAGTAATAGATAATTATTCTTACTAGGCTTCAGAATCGCGTCCACGAGATGTTCCTTCAGCTGGCGAAGCTTCTCATCCTCATCTAAGGAGATCACATCTTGCATAAGCCTCACAGACCCGTCTTTGGGAAGATATTTCATGAACGCATCCATAAGCTGAACAACATTGTCGCGTTCGCTGGCGGCCACATATCTCCCAAGACGTTCCTTTGATTGACGATCAAGATCTTCAGCTGTCCCAGCTGACACTGCAGTAAGTTCACTAAACGAACTGCTTGGGACAGGGCTAGATGTTATTGGAAGTTCAAACTTCTCCATGATCATAATATTATCCAGTAACTGGGGAAGAGGGGCCAAAACGGGTTTAAGGGGCACACGAAACGCGTCGAATACGAGGGTTGGAAAACAAATAATTAGTAAGCTAGTTAATAAAATTTGGTTAGGCCACAGGTAGCATAAATAGCCCTAAGTAAGGACTTCGCTTCTCTAGGGCTGCGCTAGTCATGTGATTAAGGCTTGGCCAAACCCAAAACGGATTTCCACGTGACTAAAAGCTAACCCCTTTCCTAGCTTACCTTGGAATGGATCTCCCTCTCCATCCAGGACGTCTTTCAGAGGCTTCATCGCCCATCGCGAGCCTTTAAACAACGTTACCACAAGGACTCAAGTCTTGCCCGCTAGGAAACACAGCATTGCATCTCCCGTTGATAGCCCCCCTACCTCTTTCCGACTGATCCGGCATATTCTGGTTCAGTCTTACGCTCTCCTTTCCCGCAGATTTCTTTCCCAACTTTTATGCAACCAGAGTGCTACAGGTCTACCATCACTGCCTCAGAGAACCACTCGCGCTACACCCAACCCGCTGCCCAGCATGGAAACTTCTCTTGCCAGGATTGCTCTGCCAGCTGTCTCCCAGGTCGAGATGACGGCAGCGGCGGCCATACCACCAGCTCGGTGGTGTTGTCGCCTTGCCCTCACGACTCGCAACTTGTTGGCGATAGAGCAGACACCGTTGAATTAGAGACGCAACTCCCTGCAAAACATGTATCCTCTCCTCGTCACCCAAGCAATGCCGGAGCCCTCGCGACGCGCCGGAAGTTGAGCGAAGATCTCAGCCCGCAGGCTATCTCCATCGAGAGCTTTCCCAATGGTACGAAATGAGGCTTCCACGTGGGGGTTTTCAGTGAGCTAGGATGTTTGCATGCTAACTTGTATGGATGTCTTGTTAGAGGTCCTGACGCATATCTTGTCGCACCTCCCGCCTTCGTCTCTGTCCTCGATAAGCCTTGTGAGCCGTCGGTTCCACAGCCTGGTGACCACCCCGCATGCCTGGCGGATAGCCTTCTCCCGGTACTTCCCCGGGCCTGCGCTTACCGGGAAGAATGAAGGCCGGCAAAGAGGCGATGATTGGGAGCACAATCTCCTGAAAAGGCGCGCATTTTGCAGGCTTACAGCCTTGAGCTCCTGGAGAAATGAATACATTCTACGGACCAGGCTATTACATTCAATAGCTCGTGGGAAACCTACCAGCTACCAAATCACGGATCAGCGCAAGTCGACGCGTGCTGGCTCTACGCCTGCTGCCCACGCCGTTGTGACATACAACTCCTTGCTCCAGTTCCCCATCTCTCACATAGACGGTACGTTTGGATCCAGCATAGAGAGCAAACCACCTGCGTTTGTCCATGGAGCAAGCGAGGAAGGGATCGCTACCCAGAGTGATCCGACGTCAAAGAAAAGTGGTGCCGGAAAATGGGGCCTTTTATCCGAAAGTCGAATGTTCAATCACTTTTCAGATAGCTACCCAGGTGAAGCCCCTTGGGGTTTGGGAGCAGGAAATCTCGTTGGAAATCCCAACGTGATGGACGTGAGCCAACCTCATGGTATGGTATATGGTGAGGGATGCCCCCAGGGTCGTACTTATTTTCTCTCTACAAGTGAGAAAAGAGGCCGGTTTTTTCCACGTTCAGTTCTGGATCCTCATTACGAACTTGGAATTCCGGCCGTCAATGCCGCACACTTCGGGATCTGCGCGACTTGGATAGCCAAATCGTCTGAAATCTTGAAGTCAACAAATGGGCTATGCGGAATGATTACAGGAACTTCGTCAGGCATCCTCACATCCTATGCGCTTGGCCCGCATCCTTCATATGATCAACGATTTGAACGAGGCCAAATGACAGCTAGATGGGCGTTATGCCCAGGAGTGCCCATTATTGCCATCAGAGTTGATGACAAACTATCAGCAAAGCGGCTGTCGCAGCGAAGGATATGGATAACTGTCCTAAACGCCCTTGGAGAGCTTTTCTATCTCACCAGTATTCCACGCGGTCTTGATACCTACCAGAAATTGGAGCCTGAGGCGCTTGAGAAGGCAGCATGGCTCACTGGCCGCACTGTATCCTGGGAGATTGTTGAAAGTAGTCGGCGCGTCCCTGTGCCCGATCCCTTCAACAAACTCTCCACAAATGCAACCTATAACCCTCGATCATCATCGGATGAGATGAATTTAAACCGTGATCAAATAATCGCTGAAACAAAAGATATTGAAAGATTTCTTGCTTTCAAACCTATACATTTCCGAACGATATATCAAGGATGGGACATGAGGCGCAAACTCGAAGTAGATTTTGCTGGTGATGATGGACAAGGTGCTGGTGAATCTTTCATGGTCGCCTGCTGTTCTGCCGATGATGACCAGGTTGCCTCTGTCAAGAGATTTACACGTGTCGGGACTGGTGAAAGCCCATCCCTAGACAATATTGGAAGTTCTTCTCCAGCATCGGAATCTGAAGCCGAAACCAATTCATCTCTCTTTGGCCAAGGAGAATCCAGAGGGGTTCTGTCCTCCGGAAACCAGGCGTCGCCACCAATGCCTAATGGCTCTAACTCTTTGCCAGCTACTGTCGAATGGCGGGTCTCAAATCTGACTTTTGAAGGTCCTAAATCTGCTGAAATCACTGCTTGTGCCTTAGATATGTCTACATTTGCCCGTATGACAAAGTTTGAAGACCCCTTGCTTGGGATGTGCGGTAATTCGGAGGTGTCCTCCCTATGCTCCACTCCCTTTTCAGTCTTGAGCAATCCGCTGGTTTCCTCTGCGGAGATTCCCGGTCAGCGAGGCCGATACATGGCTGTTGGCACCTCTCTAGGTTCCGTTTTCGTCTGGGATATCAGGGCCGCCATACCTGGGAATTCTCATATGGTGAATAATATCATGCCTATCCGCATCATTCATACAGATTCGCCCGAAATATCTAGCCTTGCATTGACAGCTCTCTATCTCGTTCATGGAGGCAACGATGGCTTAGTTCAAGCTTGGGATCATCTTGCCTCATCCACCCAACCAGTCCGCACACTTAATTCCAGGTTCTCTTCTCGCGCCCGTCGGCGGCTTGTACAGGCTACTACAGCGAATCAGAACGTTGGTCATAATTTCTTTGCTGCCGGAGCCATCTGCCTTGACCAGGATCCTACTCGGCTTAGAGGGATTGTCGCCCTTGGAACGCAACTCCGTTATTGGGCCTACAGCTCCTCTGCTGCTGATCAATACAAGAGTAATAAACGACGAGTTCGCTACTCCCACCACGGCAGCAACGGTTCACCAGAAACTCAGCGTTTCAGTAACTCAGGCCGAGGAGCGTTGATGGACTACATTATGAATGAGAAAGCTGAACTTGAAAGGCAAAAGATTGCAAAAGAGAAAGAGCTCGCTCACTTGCGCGGAAGATTTGGTACAGACCTACTTGGTAGTGATGCTAGTGATGAAGACCTCTTGGCCTACGCCTGTCTCTTGAGTGAGGAATCATACACGAGCGATGAGCGGAACAGAAGAGGGAGCGAGAGCAGCTCTGGTGGCAGTTCCTCTAGCGAGACAATTGCATCGGACGAGACATTCAGTGCCAATCCACTTACTCAACAAATATCAACACCTACTTTGGATACCGTTGACGAAGAATTGGAGCCTGGTTTAGCTGAGGCAATCCGTCGAAGTTTACAGGATACCAATGCTTCTCAGTCTCCTAAAGAAGGCAGTGTACTCACAGATGAAGGTACCACTGACGTTGGCTCCTATTCCTTCTCCCCTAGCCTCTCTGGGACTTCTTCGCAGGACAACGTTGGTGACCTCGATCTTGCTATCCAGCTGAGTTTGGCTGAGCAGGAAGGTCAGATAGCGCCCCAGGAGGAATTTCCTGCTCTCGGAAGTACATCTAATACTCCGTCCAAGCGGAGAGGTAGAGGAAAGAGGGGATTCTGAATTGTTTCGGTCTTATAGCTCCCTGCCTGACCACGGAGTTATTCTCCTTGCTTTCAACAGCCAATGCTGATTATAATCTTTTTCGGATTAGATGTTTACTTAGTTGATTGTTAGAGCTATTCTGTTTACACACTTATATTAATTGTGATTGCGTTCTTATATATAATTTGCTGTGCAGATGTAGTAGTGTGTATGCAATGCCTTTTCGGTGAAGAGATATATACTCCAAAAACTCCATTTACATTCTCCGTTCACGCCTCCAGGTGGACAAATCCAAGTTACCTCGTAACATAGCGAAAGACAGGTCATTAAAAACTGCGTAAACGGCATAAAAGAAGTTAAAGATGAGGGATAGTGCAGCTTTGATTCAAGCCTTATTAACTTTTGAGGGCTTCTAGCCTGCCTCTCATCTGTTCTAGAGTAGCTTCCTGGTCTTCGAACTCTTCGGGAACAGGTTCCTCTGTATGAAGCGTTTCTTCTGGCTTGATACCGCCTGTAGCAGCCAGTCTACCCTGTAGAATCTCCTGCAGGATCTTATCGACCTCATTGTCTGCCTCTTCCTCCTCCTCTTCTAGCAGCTGGTCCTCTGGCATGGCACTGTCAATGGTTTCCTCGATAATCCCGGCCTTAACTAGCTCCAAGCCTGTGTTGTATCAGTTAGCAGCCTATTGCAGAGGATACTATTAGGAAGGTTAAGGTAACTTACTGAGCTGCCGCATGGTGCCTGTTAGCTCTGGTAGTCGGACTAAGGTATTGACATCCTTCATAATACTGGTCGACGCTCTGAGACTTCCTTCAATCTTTCTGACTGAAAACGCCTCATTAACCTGCATCTTCACACTCTCAAGCTGGGCTTTACTCGTCGTCAAACGGGCGCTTTGTTTTCTTATCCGGATGAGTTCCCTCGCGAATATCCGTGTTTCCTTTGCTGCCTGCTCGGCCTGTGAGGGGTTCCGCTGCGCTCTTTTAGAAGCAGCAACAATAAACTGTTTCGTTTTTATCTCAATCGCCTTTAACTGGGATATATCTCGATCGAGTTTTCGTGTGTTTGACCGTATGAGAGCGTTGCACTTCCGCATCTGATGGGAGGAAATTAGCCGCCAGAACGTTAAGATATCTGTAACAAAATGTGTGTATTCACCTGTGCTGCCGGGTCAGGTTTGAAGAAGACGGCCTTGAGGGCCTCCATGGTCGGTAGATGATCAAAGAAACTACGAGAGTTGGCCTTAGGAAAGATGGCTTAGGCGGCGGATGCGGCTCTACTGGACAGTCGCAGACTTGTAGTGTGGCCCAGGCAGAGTAGAGGGTAATTAACACTTGAATTCATACAATCAGTATGGCCAGCAGACAGTAAACGGACAGATACAGGGTAATATCCTGGTAGTTTGCTTTGATCTATGCAACAATATAGAGCAATCCTATTACTGTGATCCTTATTGCCTGCATCACAGAAGGCGGAGCCCAAGGCCCGCGGGTTGTCTTTACCACGTGATAGTTCTGACATGCTTACATAAGTTCTTCAAGTAATCGCTTGGCATTTTTCCCACATGGCCCGAGCTCCACAATTGCGTTCCTTCCAGTAGTTTCTATATTCTGCTTCTTCTGAACCTCAAAATAACGTCAACTTCTTGACATCAAGAACTTCAGACGGCTTCACAGAACAACCACTCCTCAAGCCAGATATTGACAAACTTGCCGGCTTAGATACTTGTTAATACTCGGTCATGGCTAACCCAGAGAGTACGTACTATCACTCGTTTCTTGTCATGATCTGAAATAGAGGGGAGAGATCTCCACCTTACCTTATTGCGCACCTTCGACAACTGTTCATAGCTACTGATTTGGAACTATATCATGCTAATATTGTGTTTGTACAGTCACCTGGTGGCAGCGGTCATCGGATTCTGATCCCAAGAGAAACACCATTGGGTTGCGATTCTGGGTCCCTTCCCTTGGAACTAAGGAGGCATCGAAGAAATCCGACTCGACGGATACAGTCCAAAAAGACGCGAACTTGGGCATACCTTCGAAGGACGACTCGACGTCAGCTCATCCAGCCCAAGCGGAGGGTAAAATAGAGACTGACGCATCTGATGAGAAAATCTTTCATGGACCCGGCGGGTCTAGAGTCGTGGTTACTCCAACTACAATTTCATTCAAGGGCTATTCAACCGTCAAACATACCCTTTACGATGTGGAATTGAAGTTAGCAAGGGAGGTTGACCCAGGTAGTGCAACATGTGTCATCGGAGAGGGACTCTCGACAACTACTGTGGAGGTTAACAAAAAGGAGCTTGATGCATCGTACTGGAAGACGTTGGTTGAGACTAAAAAGCTTGGTTACTTAAGAACCGACTTTGACATGGTATGGATTTTGTTCTTCTGGACTAAGACCCTTTCAAGCTCTGGCTTTGCCGACTTCTAATGAGAGTTATAGTGGCGTGACGAAGATGAACAGGAACCCGTGAAAGAAGACTTTGGACCAACATCGCTTGAATATGAGGATGCCTTAGGACAATTTGCTGGTATGGAGGGCATGGGCATGGGGGCCGCAGGAGGAATGGGACTCGGGGGTGATGAGCAAGCTCAGACGGTACGTTCTCATACAATCCACTACCCTCCTGGATATTTGCTGATATATGACTATAGGGAGATGACGATAGTGAGATGCCTGGACTAGAAAGCGGTGAAGGTACTGACGAGGAGAAAGGAGATACGCCTTCTACTGACAAACCAAAGATCGAAGTGCTTCCTTAGATGGTTGTAAGTGTCTACTTCCAACTTTCGATGGTGTCTGTATTCAGCTCAAGGCTGTGACCGACCGTCCTATACTTAGTCAAAACAATGCTTTATGTTGTAAATGCGATGTTTTAATTGGCATAAAGTACATCGGTAGTGCTAAAAAGCAGATATCCGAGCTTCTCTCTTTACCACAACTTGAATGTATATCTATCCATTCCTTTTTGCTATTTATTTTGGTTTCGAATAGGAGCGTTCTTGTTGTGCTGGTAAGTATCTGGACTGTAAACAGTAAAATTTAAATTCTTCGCAACGTGGAAGCTATATAAATATACTTGTTTAATTCTGAATTAGTTTGTTAGGACGAAAGGTATCAATGTTAACCTTCGCCTTCAACGGTGGCGGGTGGTTCTCTACTTGAAACTGCGGTATCTTCAGGTGCATCCGTCGAACCTTGAAGTTTTGCAACCCGTTCTTGTTCAGATTTGTCTCTGAGTGCCTCCGTCTCTTTTCTCATGCTTTCCAAATTCCAAGCATCACCATCTCCCTCTTCATCGTCATCACTGGATTCTGCGTCACTTTCTTGGTTTCTCCACTCTCCGCTCTCAAACATAGCACGGCCGGTAGCTTCTTTGGCTTTGCGTGCTTCGTCTTCGGCAGCTTTTTTGTCCAACCGTTCTTTCTTCCACTTTGCAAATGACTCCTCGGTCACAGGCGTCAGTTTTCCAGTGAGTTTGTGCCGTTCGGTCTCGAGGAAGTCCTCGAGGGTGAGAGTTTTCAGTGGAGATTTATCCAAAAGGGCCTTTTCAGCTGCCCGTTGTTCCTTAGTCTTTAATACGAACCTACAACAGGGTTAGGATCGATCTTAGAAATGCACAAAGCGGCAGGTTAGGAAGGTAACATACCCTGGTGGTAGACTGTGCTTGTACATGCACTTGTCTCCGCCATTAGGACAAGTCCAGAACCATCCATACTTCTGATTTTCGACAGCTTCAATAAAGTACTTGCATACTTTATCCGTGGTCGTCCTCGGATTTCCGTGTTTACTCAAGACAACATCCCTCAATTTCTGCTCATCCCAGTTATCCATCGTATCTGCTTTCTTCGGGTCTTGTTCGTCTCGAGTATCTTGATAAATATTTTTCTTTTCTGCTTTGCGCTCAACTGCTAAATCATGACTGAATTTGCATTTACGGCCCTTTTCACAGTTGCCTTTCTTAAAGAAAACGCACAAAACAGTCTTCGGATCGACGCCAAATGGAACTTTTTGGACCTGTACAGGCTTGAACAGTTCTGCAACTTCACGTTTAGCCTGCTCTGCGGCGGCCTTTTCTTTTTCACGTTTTTCCTTTTCCATCGCTTTTCGTTTGGCATCCGCAGACTTATTCGAGGCGGCCTGCGCTTCGAGCTGGGCTATTTGCTTACGGGCAGTCGATCCTTTTTTCTTGACGGCATCAGCATCTGTTGATAGTGGAGAGGGAATCGAAGCTATTTGGTCAAGCTTACATTTTTCATGCCAAAGGTCTCAATTGCAAAAAAGTTAGCCGTCTTCACTTATTTCATATTGAAGTTGTACCGGATTCCAAATTTAAGGAATGATATACCTTATCCTGCACCGTAGGTTTAGCCTTCTTAGGCTGGTCGCCTTTTTTGGGAGGCATTTTCTATCGAGTATATTGTATCGCGTGTATGAACTGTGGGAGATATGGATACCGATGGGGCAAAATGAAAAGATCAAGCACAGAAAGAAGATAACTAAAAGAGTGTCCACGTCTTTTCCCACGCCAATAATTGCCGCTTGCTATTGCTTCGTTGACGCTTTCGCCGCCGGAGTGACCTGAGGGTGTGTTGTGAGCGAAGTTCCGAGATAGCGAGAGTTGGTGGGGAGGTAAAAAAAGCGCCAATGATGAGTCAGCAAGGTGGCGCTTACGAGAGTTAAGCGCGGCCTGTTTCCAACGCGCCAGATCATCAAGTTGTAGACAGACAGACTGTCAGAGAAAACGGAGTGACACACACTTTCATTAACGTCGACTGAACTTGCCCACCTGGGTTTGAGATCTCCTAGTCTATTATTTTATCTCGACCCCCTTCGGAAAGCAAGCCTCAATACTACAGCCAGGTATCGCATATCAACTCTCTTCCATCGTTAATATTATTTCTGCTAACTAATAACTTTCTTATGTGACAAGACTATTGTACATACACTTGGAAAAATGATAACTGATAACGAGCTGTACCAACTGGCCATCTTCCTTGGATCATGCGCTATGCTCCTCATTGTCGTCTACCATTTTTTAGAGGTCAATTCAAAGGCCTCATCAGATATAGACTCGACGCGGGTGTCTTCTACTACAGAATCAACAAAGCCCTCCGGATTGACGCAAGGGGCAAGGGATATGGGGAACTCTGACACTGGGGTACCGGGGAGGAGAAGCTAGTGTTAACTGAGTACAGTTATAGGGAAACGGGGTTTATGTATTGACATCGACAAAAGGTACAGGGGAACAGCTGGTTCAATGATGGAATACCTAATATTGAAATGCTGAGGGAACTCTTTCGTGGTTGATAGGAAGATCTCCCTGGTTGCTTTTGCACACTGTTTTGATGGATGATTTCTATTAATCTAAACCACCTCTGTAAGAGGAGCCATAGATAACAACACTTAGACTAAGTCATAGGACTGTCCATAACTTCCCCCTGCACTACCGAAATTGTTCAAAAGCGACCGCGCCAAATCTAGAGCTCTCATATGCCCAATGACTAAGTCAAGTAGACTCCCTACTCTTCTTGTCGCGCGCTGGAAAAACTTTGTAAACACTCTCGGAAGCAACGACGGTGCTTTGCCTTCGTTCGTTCATTAATATACACCCTCCTGGACCTAATCCAGGCCCTACATTTGCCTGCTTCGCTGAGTGCGCCCTCAAGATCTGCAATGCACTGGATTTATAACTGTCATATCCATGATTCTTATTGAAGTCACGTATTGGGCGCCATGTAGTGGGCAAAATTATGGCAGGGGTAGAGCCCTTAGTTGTCGCTTTGGATACCACTACACGGCCTTGATCATCGTAAAGGCACGAACTTGGATTGAAGCAAGGATGTCCTAAAGGGAGAGAAAAGAAAGAAAAATTCTAGTAACTAGGAAATAACAATGGGTAGATGGAACTTTCCAGTCTCACCAGAGGATACGGACTTGGGCCCGTCACCCAATTTCCAAGCTAGTGGGCTCAAATGCACACTGTCCAAATGCTGTTTGAGCCCCTCGGTAGAAAAGATACGCGGTGCTGTTTCCCCAGAGGCACATCCTGTCCACATACAGATAGCCTGCTCTTCGCCAGACTGGCTATGTAGCTTTAAGACATGCTTTCGAAATACCTCAAAGTTGTGCAGTTTAGCTCCACAGCCATCAAAACAGCATTCGTATATCGGGTATTTATTTAACGAAGGTTGTGGCGTGGCTCTGGGGACAGCAACTTCAACTTTACTCGCGACTGAAGGGATAGCTTTAAGCTTATTTTTCGCTCCTGGAGGACGTCCGGGTCGTCGTCTTGTCGGAAGAGAGGATGGAAACGTTGGCTTTTGGGGAGTTGGAGCCATGGGTCTTGGAGGAGTGGAAGATGAGTCGGCGTTGACGGTGTGAGAGATTCTTAGCTGTGAGGGTCCGCGCTCAGATTGAAATCGCCTTTCAGCGCTAGTTTCGTCACGTGAGATGAGATCATCACGTGAATCGAACTTGGGCTGGGATAAAAGCGGCTCAGGGGCAATTTTTGGGGGAGGAGGACCGCCAGGATCCACGAGATCCCATCGGAACGTCTCGAGGTCCGAGGTGTAATCAACAAATTGAAAATTTTCCTTCAGCTTGAGTAAGTGATAGTTGAGTGAACGTTCCGTAGGATGGCGGCCAGCCGCAATCAAGATATCTCTAGCGATTGTCCGAGGATCGTAGTATGATCTTTTCAGGGCCTTGGCTTTGTTCATGGGCTTAACAATACCATTGTAACGACGAAGGTCTTCCTTCCCAGTAGGCTGTGGCGTTGCGTCAACATGTTTAGGTTTAGCCATGCTGGTGGGTTTCTCTGGCATAGGTTGTCCTGCTGGTGACAGCTCGCGAGATCTAACAGGTTGTTTCTGGACGATTGGGACAACCTTGCGGTCTTCTGATGGGCATTGAGGTAGGATTTCGGGAGAATTACGCTGGACAGGGGTGATGTTAATTGCGTCTTCCATGGTGACATCGGGCGAGGTGTTCCTTGTGTCTTCAACAGCAATCTCTACCAGGTTCGGCTGATCTGGCACTTCGTCTCCGGCCTCACTCTCGTTCTCGTCACTAATGGTCTGAGAAAGGTCAACAATCTCAGCAAAAGTTCGTTTCCGCGCCATAGCCTCTTTAGAATTAGGAAATAGCTCTCGTGGTTGGGGTGCGGGTGAGGCTGAAATGGATGAGCGGCGCTGAGGAGCACTTTTTCTGCGGCGCTTGGATATATGGAGTAAATTAAGGGATTTCTGGCGCTGTTCCTCCCTTGAAAGAGGCAGAGCTGACACCGATTTACTAGGAACACTGCCTATTTGGAGCCCCGTCACTTCTGGGCTTCGCTGTGGTATTGCTATTTGTATTGGATCGGCAGGAGTTGACGAAACGAAGGATGAATCTGGTAAGCTAGGCTGAGAAGTTTGCACGGCCGGCTCAGAAGTAGCCTTCGTCGCTTTGTTTGAGCTCTCGCCGAGGTCGGGAAAGGTTTTTAAAAGATGCTTTGCAAAATGGACCTTATTTATCGTGTATCCATGACCCTCCAACATGTTGCAAAGCTGTACATAACTTGGATTCTGTTCAATTAGGCTTGACATAAAGTCAGGAGTGATTGAGTCATTTCCTGGAAATGTGGAGATATATTCACAAGCAGACTCGGCTAGCAAACGTCGCTTCTGTTCAGGCCAAAAAGAAGTCATTCTTTCTCCCTTTCCTGCTTCGTCTCCTACAGGTTGTGATTGTTGTTCTTGAGGCGGTGGCGGAGCGTCAAGAGTAGTGCGAGAATAACCTTCCTGGGTGAGTTGTGTGTCTTCAGTTGAAGATGGGGGGATATTAGGCGACTGGGGAAATTCAGCATGTCCCGTCTTGGTGAAGTTATCCAAAAGGCTCAGACGTTGTTCTTCCACGCTCAAGGAGGCATATGGTTGAGGCACAGAGGTAGCTGCTTCAGGAGCCGGCACAGATTGACCACTCAGGTGTACTGTGCTTATCTCATTTTCCGGTCCTAGATTACTATTAGGAGCAGGATTGGGCTCGTTAGCAATCAAACTAGCTTTCAATCTCCGCTTTCGGCGTAATGCAGGGAATTTCCCCAAGTCGGGTAGGCCATCAATGAATCCTGACTTAGCGATTTGCTCTGGTATAACGGTCTCAATATTTTCTGTTTGGCTAGGTCTGGTAGAGAGTAGTGCTGTTTGCTGGTGGTGTCGTTCAGCTTGTGTATTTTCAGCAGATATACTATTGTTATTGATAATTGTGGGTGAAGCTCCTTTTTGGGCAGGTGTACTTATTAGAAACACCGCGTCACCCGTTACACGTTTACTGCGTGCCTGTTTTATTGGTGGATTATTGGAGGTGCGCGGAGGTGGAAATTGCGAAGAACTAGCGCCGCTAGATTCTTCAAGATAAGTTTTCACAGATGTATTATCAACGTTGCTTGCTGGAACCTGTGGAGCTGTTTGTCCGCTACTCTTATGTTTATCCTAAGGAGATGCACGATAAGCATTGTATGGGCAGAAAGGAAGTAAGGATACTGGGCTCACCATATTCGCAGCCAAGATTGATTTAAATAGGTCCGGGTCTTTCTTGCGCATTTCATCCAGCATCCTTTGCATCTGAGTAGCCGTGTCCTCTTTTTCATTGGCCTCACCCTGTGTGATTGAAGTGGTTTGAGGTTGAGTTGACGGCGGGATTGAGGTGAACGCAGTCCCTGACTTCTGTTTTCGATTCGGTTTCTTCCTCGCTTTCTTAGGGGCATCCTTCGAGACGCCCTTAGGAGTTCCCTTCGAAGCTTCTTTCGTTATTGACGCCTCCAGCGCACTAATGACGGTAAATTAGAATTACCTTGAACGTTGGTGGGGGTAGTAGTTGATTGCTTACTTAGTAGCTACATTGGATACTGTTGTATTAGGCACCACTTCCGATGGTGTAGCATTTTGAGCTGGAGGCTGAGTGGAATTTTGCTGTGATTCCACCTGTATTGCTTCAATACCACCAGTCACGCCTGTTACGTCTGGTTCAACCGTTGCGTGGGCGGTGTTTGTTACTCCGGAAGTTCCAAGCTGGCCGTAATATGGGTTATATATGTTTGTTGGATCGACAAATCGGGGTAACGAGTTCTGAGTATCTGACTCAGCCGTTACAGAGCTTGTGTCTGTTGGCTGTGAATAAGCGCTTTGACTCATGGCTGGAGAAGACCGTCCGTGATCAAGTGTCGCAGTCTTCATAGCGAACCCCTGTGCTGGACGACGAATCTGAGAACTGGAGCTAGTCCTATTCGGATGCTGAAGAAGTGTAGGGGAGCGAGACGTGACTGGTTTTGTTTGATCAACGCGGTGTTGAAGTTGTGGTGAGAGCTCTGCGCTCGAAGTAGTGACCGAATGTGTGCTCATATCCGAGGTATTGCTTGTCTGATTTAAGGTATTAGAAGGAGCTGTGCCTGCTTCCATGGCTTGGCCAGGATTGGCCGTCTGGTATTGGTATGTGTTTGAAGAACTTAAAGTATTGATTGCGGGCGAGTTCTCGGTAGAGCCACCGGCTGAAGCATTATATCGAGCTGAATTTGATACCTGATAAGAGTTTGTACTGGCAGCCGGCCCATTCTGGGTATAGTTATGCCGAGCGGCGGTGGACAGGGCGGTCATGGCTGTGGCTGCAACGGTGCGAGGGTTTTGCATATAGTCAGATTGATGCGATGGCGTAATCGATTGATAAGACCGAGGGTTCTGAGATGTCGTAACGGGAGAAATAGCGGCAGCTTGGCCCTGAGGGGGGCTGGAGGTATAACGAGCACCAGAATTTACCATATCCCTTCTTACGCCCATGTTCGGGTTGGATTCGCCGTCATAGTTGCCCATTCCATGCGTACTGGTACGGCCCAGAGACTGTGCCTGGTTATTAAGTTGATGGGCAGAAGTTGTAGTCTGATTCGTATCTGATATGCGATATGACACTTGCTGTTGATAGGTTATAGGTTGACTTGCGGTGTTGTTTGCGGGAGGTACCCAGTAGCTATTCCTAGCATTTTGCTGACTTGATGTCTGTTGCCTAGACACGTTCTGTCCATTCCAGCTGTTATTCTGCTGTCCATAGTCCTGGGACCTGGTCTGGGGAGCCGGTGCGGCCGGTTTCGGGGTTTGAGACGGCGAAGAAGCGTACTGGGTTTGGCTCTGCTGGGCACGCGAGTTCGTATATTGGTATTGAGGGTAGCCATATCCGTTATATTCCATATCTGATACCGTCTCTAGATATGTTTTTCAGGCGACTCTTAGTTGCTCAGTTGCAGGCGCTATGAAGGCGCTGCGGAAATTGTTGCTGAGACTTAAGTATCAAAGGTCGCAGTGACATATAGACACAAGTAAAACAGGTGGGTAGAAACCATGTCTCCCGATCGTGCAGCGGCAATACTCCTATAGTCCTCTGTATATCGGCGCTCCTTCGTCTGCTTTTCCTGTTTCTTCTGCTTTCATCTGCGCATCTTCGCGCGCGTCGTTCTGGACGAGCTTCAAAGTCATGATGAGTCAGCAAACCCTAGCTCGCGCTTAAGTAGCGGGAAGCGCAGGTCAGCTGACCCACAAGTCTTTGCTCCTGCACCAAAAAACAAAATAACGTCGAACTTCAATTTTGAGGGAAGAGAAACACGCCGTCGACATCCAACAGACCACACTTCTCCCAGGGTCAGATCGCATATCACGATGGCTAAGGTTAACACAGGTATGTGAGAATCCTCAAACCGGCTGAGCTGTTTGATGAAGCACTGGTTACCGCGAGATCACTCTTCCTGGGACTGCGGGATGCGGGAGTTGAAATTTCGGGATGCTGACCATAGACTGTTCTTCACTTATAGCAATTGCCTGCTCCCGACGGAAGTCGCGCAAGGCGCACTTCAGCGCTCCCTCCAGCGAGCGACGAACCATCATGAGCGCCCCCTTGAGCAAGGAACTCCGTGAGAAGCACAACGTACGTTGATTTTTCAACATCACCAAATCGCACACCACACCACTGCATGCAGGACGAGAGGGAATCGCAGATAGAATATATTCTCCTAACCGGGTATAAACCATCTAGGTCCGATCGATACCAATTCGCAAGGATGATGAGGTCACTATTGTGCGGGGAACCAACAAGGGCCGTGAGGGAAAGATCACATCCGTTTATCGCCTTAAGTATGTCGTCCACGTCGAGCGAGTCAGCCGTGAGAAGTCCAATGGCCAGTCCGTCCCAATCGGCATCCACCCATCCAAGGTCGTTATCACCAAGCTCAAGCTCGACAAGGACCGTGAGAGCATCCTCGAGAGAATGGGCAAGGGACGCGCGGCCAGAGCCAAGTCCTCTTAAGCAGGTCGATTTGGGTCAGGGAAGTAGTTTATTTGGGTGTTATTAATGGATGGAAGCGTGGAAAAATTATAAACGACTAAGATAAAGACAATTTCACCATATTCGAAACCTTTCCTTATCTCTCCACCGTGGTTTGATATTGAAATGCCAGGACCCTCCTCTACTCCATTCCGTGTCTTTACTGCTTGTGTCGGGCTCTTTAACCAACCTGACTTAGTTTGGGCGTCACATCTTGAATGCTTCTACTTTTCTACGTGTTCCTTGCGTGTTCAAATGGACTGGAGATATCAGGGGCCTGCTCTATTTGTCTCATGAGATGAAATACCAAATACTTACATGACTCCCTGACCTTCCCGTCACCGATATGTTTCCAGCCTACACACCTTTCTCTTCACGCCTGTTTTATCTCCTCGCCAGCCTACTATCGTGGTTGTCGAGGTAAACGACTGGCGAATATCAAAATAATTCCTCACTTCCTCCCACAATATTGCGGGAGGTAGGTAAGTTGAATAACCCTGCCTGCAGACTTGCCTCTAGACTATTCAGTGATGAAAGCAGGTTTGAAGGCAGGGGACACCTAAAAGAAACACATCGCTACATTGACGACCTGAGTGCATGTGGTAAATTTATATCTTTATCCTGTTTAAAAAAGCCTCATGTTCGGCTAAGCCTGTATTTCTCGTAGTAGCTATGAACGCTATACCTATATATTAAGCATTAATCAGATAAATAACATTGCATGAAAAGAAAGTGCTGTTCAACATTCCAGAAATAATTGACTTGGAACTTTACGGTATCAAAGAAAGAAGCAAACGTGAATACGAAACATCATTCGAAACAAATGGGATTTGTTAGCTGTCCATTAGTTTGTCACTCCTCGTGGCGGGCTCCATGTCCAACACAGCTGCCCCATGCCGGCAGGCCACATCCCATGCCAACAAACAAGTATATCAAAAACAAGACCACGACTATCAACAAGACCATAACCTTGGTATTCTTCCACCACATCCGGCGCCGTAGATCCCGGCTACGTACTCTGAAATCACGAGCACTGCTTCCAAGCCTATCAGTCTTATCAATCAAGGTATCAATACGCTCTCCCCTCTCTAGAACGCGTTCAATATTCTCGGTCATGATATCCCGAACGTTATCGATCTCTCTCCTGGCCGAAGCTAGTGAATCGGATGGGGGAGTTGTGTTGAAAGTGTGTAGCAAGCCACGCAAGTCATTGTTAAAGGCAGCACATCCGTAAGCTGGCAAAGCAGCGTAATCCGTGCTGTCTGGATTATAGCTCGCAAGGAACTTCCTCTTCATCTCGAGTAGAAACGCGAAGGGGATGCGACGGCCCTGTTCGGCCGTGGCAACGACCAAGTAGCTCAAAGCCGAGTGGGAGTCCGGTGTCTGGCTGTTCCCCTGTGCCGAGGAGGCACTGGGAGAATCAGCAATATAGTGGATAAATAGCCGGTCATGGGTGTACGTGAGCTTCTGGGGCGAATCGTGTGATATCTTGGGCAGAATTATGGATGCTAATGAAGAAGCTGAGGTGGACGACGTTCCAGGCACCGAGTGCTCTGTCAGGATAGTTGTCCTATGCGCTATACAGGCACTTATATATGGATTAGCTACAGTTTCATAAGAATACGGTTAATAAGCCATATACATATAGATATACTTACTATAGAAGCGGGCTGGACGCTCTTGATGAGGACGCCATGATTAATGCTCTATCCGCAGATGCAAACCATAGACTCTGAGAGAGAGAGAGAAAGAGAGAGGAAAAGAGAAGATAAAGAGTAAAAAAGAGATCAAGAGGCCCCTGCAAAAGGATATGTGAAAGCTCTAATGGTCTTTCTAGACTGGTGTCTGCCTGCTAGCCTGACCTGAGATTGATCCCTATGTGCAACTGTAAAGCTGGAGAAAGCAAGTCGCAATCCAAGCATGACAAGATACGCGGGTTTGTCTAGTTTGCATGGCTTGGCCCAAGCTTCCTGCAACTACCATGTCTTGGCGCTATCAAAGAGTGATTTCACTGATACAGACTGCCTGAGACAACAATTAATATGGAGTATCAATTTGGGCCACCTTACAGCTATGCTCGGCGATATAAGTATCTACATTAGAAAGACCTCAATCTGGACTCTGATGATGACCCCAATTCCTCCTCACTAAGGGGATCATCTTTCGGCTCAAATGCGCCCTGCAGCTTCTTTTCGCCGCCCCTACGAGATTCCTCCCTGGTAGGCGTGCCCACACCTTGTTTCGGGCTGCTAGTAGCTGTGGTATTCTGCCTTCGGGACGCAGCCGGGCGAACCCTTTCCTTTCTCCCGGGAACATGGCGGAGATCCTTCACTTCGTTCAAGACATCCCTGAAACTCTCCTCGAGTGTCTTCATCCGTGCGAGAACAAGCCGGCTAAGCATGTCTCTGTTGTCGTTTCCTCTGTCCTGTTGCATCTCTCCCATGGCATATGCCATTTGAGTGTTGAAGCTTCCAGGTACGCCACCCACGAAGCCTCCGCCAACGGCCTCATTGTCACCTATATCAGATCCCAGGCCCAGTGTTAGGGATAACGGTCGACGCCGCTGACTAGGCAGATTTTTCAGCGACCACTGTATACCATGATCTGGGACAGAAAATGCTGCGGCTGTCGGCTGTGGGATTGGCCGTGGTCGCGTTGTCAGCTGTGAAGATTTCAGGTTGCTCTGCAGGCGTCGTCGATTTGGGGTTGTTGTTCCGGCCTTGCCTTTCTGTTTAGGCGATGGAGGTTTGGAGCCAGTCGTGCTCTGGGTAGCTTCCGGGGGAACCGGGTTATATAGTATCGTAGCGGCTGACGGATTCCTTGAATGATGACGACGAGGTGTTCGCGGAGTACGTGAAGGGCTATTTCTTCGTGAGAAGCGTTTGGCCGTTGAGGGCCTTGAAAGCATTGGAGATGAGTCTACCGAGCTCTCAAGCATGTTTTCAGTAGGGAAAACAGTCTCTTGGGTTTTCCTATTATCAGGTAAATCTCCATCTCTACTAGAGTCACCTCCCCCATTTTCATCGCTGCTCAGTTCGTCGTCACCTTGAACCTCAACGTCAGTTTGTGCGGGTGCAGTCATAGCTTCCTCACTTTGGAGGTAAACCCGAGACCTGGGTCCCCTGTTTACTTCTGTAGTGTCAAATGCAACACTCATAAAGTCTTCTGGATCCGAGGCAAAAGACCTAGTAGTATCTGTGAAAAAATTATGACCGCTCATTCCTCGGTTCCTTCGCCGTCGTTGTGACTGACCCGGCCAGACGCGCCTTGCTTCCAAGTCTTCCACCACCTTTCGGTCCTGGTCTTCAGGTGGTGCCCTAGAGCTTCCGTCTCCAATATTCCTCATCCAATTACTGACGTTGGCAGTGGACAAGCGCTGGCGGGCTCTACTACGCCGGGGTTCTTGGTAAGTGGTACCTTCACCAGATAGATCAAAGACCTGGTCCAGAGCCCGATCCTTTTGATGAGTAGCAACCGATGGTTCTCGTACACGGAACCTGGCGCGTGGTGTGAAAGGCGAAAAAGAGCGCTCTTGGTCCCCAATTGGGTCGACGGGATTGAATCTGCCCCTAATCAGGTCCGTAGGCTCAATGGCAGCAGGCCTCAGTATCGTGCGCTCATACAGGTATATGCAAAAGAGAATGGGAAAGTGTGTTATCTTGATCACAGTACGGTTAAGCTTCAAAAATCTTCGGAATGGGATAACGAATCTCAAAGGAGTAATCGCCCAAGCGAGAACGTTGGTCGGCGCCACATAAGAAAAAAGGGCATCCGATTTCACCATAGATATAGTATTAACGGCAAATAAAAACTGATGCTCCTCGTGGGCATTCTGGACAATCGCCATGAACGAGTTTGTGAGAATAGTGATCAGGATCGTTATGACAAGGAAATGGCATATGAACAGGAACAGTGTGAGGATAATCTTCCCAAGAAGGTTATACCTGTCCCAAAGAGTCCAAGCCGCCGGGGTGAATCCCATCACCATTTGGAACAGCGCATAGGCGACGGAGCTAGGAGAAGCATGAGTATCGCCAAATGAAAACGTGAAAGCGACGAAGAACCCGCTGCAAGCTATAATGATAAGTATGAGCACCGCTATTAAATCGGCAGCCATCATTCGAAATGCAATTAACAACTGCGAGAAGTATCGATAATGGTCAAGAACGGAAAAAAGACGTGGCAGTAGAAGCACCGCATTGGCAGCGAGGGTATCGTATGCGAGTCCCGCTGCATAGGCCTTCTGATTTTGAGACACAATTGCTCCATATAGACGCAAAACGTAGTAAATAAGAAGCAGAACTAGGATTCCAACATCAAACATATTCCAAAAGCTCATCAAGTAAAGGCTAAAGCCCTGCTCATTAAAGCCAACAATCTCGTCGAGCATGAACCCAGCGCTCCAAAACCAGAACACCATTTCAAATCCAGTAAGGTGCAATGGTCTCTTCTGAAGCAAGATCAGAAAGAGACATAGCAGAATCGCGTAGGAAAGTGTAGATAGTAATTGTCGATACCTAGGAACACGTAGCCTGGATAATTTAAATAGAGACGCATCGCGAGGATCATAAATGGATACCGAACGTCGGGATATGTGCTTATTTTGTACACTTGGAATACCCTTCGCATCAGCTCGAGATCCACGCCTGTAAATGGATCCATAGCCATGGAATTGTAAAGGGGCGTCTGGAAGAGGTTGTCTGTGCAAACTATCTGCGCCAGAGTAGAAGACTATAGTGCCAGCCCAGAGCGCTTCCAGTTGCTGGACCACAACCGGGTGGGCCAAGAATCGTTTTGCCTGAGCCCTGATAGCAATTTCTAAACAAGAGATTCGAACATCCTTAAGCAAAGCACGGGATCCCTGGTTACTATCCCAAGGTCGGCCATTTGAAGCTCCGGTAGACAACTTCGAGGCCTGGCCTTGCAGTGGATGAAAATCGTATGATAAAGCATCTATCAGACTTCGCACGGTGTATTCCTTTAGCAGCTTGATAGCCAGCAGCTCACAAACCATCGCCCTTGTCCGACTAGCGCCACTAATTCCAGGATTGGAGGTAGCCTCCTTATCAAATTGGAGGCAGTTGACCATCAAGGCATAGAGAGTTGCCTTAGTGAGATGCCTGGAATGAATGATCTGCTGTATCGGTTTCAGTAGAAACTGCGATACTTGCGGGGATCGAAGCTGATCCCATGTCAATGTCGTCTCGCAGCGTGATGCTATCAGTAGGCGTAAATCGTGCGTAAGTTGATAAACAGGAATAGCATCTAGATACCAGATAACATATACGTATTAATTCAGGTTCAAAGTACGTGTTATTAGAATATACTGAGTTTCATACCAAGATGAACAGAAAACATAGGCAAGAGAGGAGCTTGAGATTCGCTGTCGGGGCCATCTTCATACTGCTCCTCTTCAACCTCATAATCTTCAATATTTTCTTCCGAAGCAGCCTCTGGCTCGGTCTGAGCAGCGCCCTCGAAATCACGGTCATTTCTCTCGGTCTGTTCAACGGATCTTGACGACGAGAAGATCCCCGGTCTCTGCTTCCGCATTGGCCGGGACAGAGAGGAAAACATCTCGTCTTCGTACCGCCAAAAGAGACTGGTATTTTCTTTTCTGCTCGATGGCCACGTTTTTGTCAAGCTTTCACTCAGACCAGGGATCAGATAGCCCTAAGGCCAGCGATGCCAAAGGAGCATGGGGGAACAAAACAAACGGACTCCATCTAAACACGAAAACAAAATAGCCTCCCATAACAAAAGAAACAAAAGCTGTCAGACAATCCAACCCGGTCAGCAATCGCGGTACACTCAAAGAGTGGTTTGGCAGATGTTTGTCTTCCTTGATTTTGCGTGTTGATCCCTGTTGGTGGAAGCCCTGCAGCTCCAGCGCTCTCGGCGCATCACATGATAGGACCGATAAGGCGCGATATGCGAGGCATCCCCTGTCTCTGGCAGCAAACCCACCGGTCAGGCTTGCTTCTCACTTAGTGAGTTACATGACAGCTCCGGCTACATGGAGGCGATACCGCATCTGTGACAGGGTTGCAGGGGTTTAATAACATGAGGACCAGTGCTGGGCATGTTTAAGCGGCTGTTTGATGTCAGTTCCAAGAAGCTCGGCGTCTTTTGAAGGGCTTCGGCTCCATAGGATATCTAATGGTTATTAATTATCACTGACATCTCGATTTCTCGTCCAGTGCTAAGAAGCAAGCTAACTTTACTCCTGACTTGGCGAACGCTAAAGAAAGAAAGATTTCGGAACAGCTTACCTTAATAGTTCGTCCTGAAGCTTGAAGAACTGCCGCCTGTCTGGCCCAGGTACAACCGTGGGATGGGACAGGTGTTACACCCCACCTCGCGTGAAATGAACTGCTTATTTTATTTGTACCATTGAAGGGTCGTCGACTATGGCTGTGCCCCATCGAAAGGAGGCGAAAAGAGCGCGAAAAAGCGGTTATTTGGTGCAACAAACAACGGCTCTTCTGATGTTTGTCGTTGGTGGGCGAATGTGTTTATCACGTGACAAGTTTAAGCGACCTTCTTTCGAATGGGATGTTTTTGAGGCTCTTTTGAAGATTGGATGTCTTCGTTGTTGGAGGGTTCACCGCTGTCCTTTCGAGAGATTACGCTAGGATCTGCAGGGTACCGTGCGAAGCGATGTCTATGCATCAATGACAGAGCTCATTCACGAGTCATGAACAATATAATTCGAGGCCTGTGCGGAGGAATCACGATCGTTTGCCAACGGAGACAGACTGCCCTATTAATTAAGTACTACCGCGCACTTACTTCTTCAAGCCTAGAACTTTGGAGATTAATTCGCTGGACAGGACGCTTTCAACTCGAGGCAGAGGGGGTCGCGTCCTCCATGACGATAAACTTTTAAAACGACGGTTCCTGACAGAAAGCTTCGGCCTTTCTTTTACCCACCACATTTCGCTAAGGCCTTCTCGATCGGTATCTTCGTCCCGACTGGCATGAACACCGGTTTCTCACCCTAGCTCAAGTCGGTTAGGCGTTGTTCGTCCCACAGCGTCCCAAAAGCTGCTTTGCTCCAGTCGGTCCTTCGTTGGTAATTGGTTGGTGCTAAGCCAGTCTTGACTAGATGCAGCCCATCACATCGGGATCGGCCAGTCAAGCCACTCAGCATTCAAGATGCATACGAAGGTCCCGCGCATAGTCGTGATTCTTGTGGGAGAGACGGCACGCCACGATGTCAATCGTTATACTGTACTCCATACAGAGTATGGAGTAAAATTATCGCGATTGATTTTACCTTCCTAAATTTCCAAACGATGGGCTGTTACTCTCAATCAAGCGAGGACTTAAACCCAACCCAACGGTCTCGCTCATACTGTCGGTGTCACCGAGGGGCGACTGTACTAAGAACATGCGACACGAGAGGATTCGTTCTGTGACTGACGGACAAAATCTGTCTTGATCTCTGATCGGATCCCACCCCTGGCGTGCGCCACCAGTGGGTATTACCCCGTATCAAGCTCTAACCCAATACCAAGATCTATACCCTTTACCGATGAATCTCACTACGTTGGGAAACTAAGTATTCCAGCGAATTTTCTAGGCCTTGATTGACTGTTTTATGTGGGAGTCCTATACGAAGTACCCACACAGGCACGCTCGAGGAGGGTGATCAAAGAATATAGGCAATGCCATAGCACACCTTGTCCGTTATTTTGCTATATTAAATCTACTGGGTTCCCCAGAACTTTGGTTCACAACAGTTATACAATATTTCTTATATCTCTTGTCGCGTCTTTCGACATTATATACCCTTTGCGGTAGCGTTGCTATCTTGCCCGGTGAATTCTAATATCGAAGCCAGGTCATTAAATCGACGCGCTGCCAAAACTACCCACCACGGGAGAACTACTTAATATGGGGGCCGAAGATAAACTTGTTCTTGCACGGAAAATCGGCCGTACGGAACTGCTGGTATGTAATGTCTGCGGAAGTTACTAAGGAGCAGTGTCTTACTGAACAATTTCAATAATAATAGGTATCCTTATGGGTAGGCTCTGGCCTTGCGACCGTGTTACTTATTAGTCGCTTTGCGATTAGGTTGCGTCTCCATCGACGGTTATTTTGGGACGACATCCTCGCAGGACTCGCGTACCTGTTCCTTATAGGTCATAATGTTTTGGCAACCCTAGCCGTTCCGACAGTCTATCTACTACTCCATCTTTTTGAAAATAATAAGGGACTACTCATGCCAGGCCTCTTGGAGAAGTTCGATCATTTGGCTCGACTAGTATTCGCCAGCAACTGTTTATTCAGATGTTGCATCTACTCGGTAAAGGCCAGTCTTCTTGCTCTTCTGTGGAGGCTTTTCCGCAGTCTTCCCGCTTTCAGGAGAGCGTGGTTGGCTATTACCGTGGTCACCGTGCTGGGGTTTCTGGCCTCGGTCATACTGCCTCCAGTAGCTTGTCCATCTGTAACTGCTCGTAAGTGAGAGCTGCTACTCCCCAATCATGCGTATGACTGACGTGAGACTGTCTAGTCGGCTGCCTATCCCCAAGAACTTTGAAGCTGGAAGCCATTAGCATGTACGTGACTACCGTGTGCGATATCCTCACAGATATTCTAAGTAAGTAAATTCAACAAGCAAATATGTTAAACACACTCCGAAATACTAATGAAACAAATAGTCATGTCAGTGCCTGTTGCATTTGTGCTCAAATCTTCTCTCCCCAGGTCACAAAAACTTGGCCTTGTTGGACTATTCATGCTTGGTCTCGCTGTTGTCGTGATGGCAATTCTTCGTAACCTTGAGACTGATGGAAAATCTAAACACCCACCGCCATCCTGGCTGTTATTCTGGAGTGCTATGGAGTCGACTGTCGCAGTGATGGTGTCATGTTTTGCGTCCTACAAGTCACTCTTCACCACCCGCTCGCGTTCTACGGCTTACCATTGCCAATCCGGTTATTCTGCGTCTGTTGCTGTTTCCAGCAGGATACCAAACAAGAAAACTTGGACGGACACTGACTCAAGAGAGGAAATTATCCGCCGAACAGAGTTTGAAGTTAGCTACGAAATGGCCCCGATCCCTGAGCACCGAGTGCAGAGCCCAGAATGGGAAGGAAACAGAATGAGATGAGCAAAGGGGCCCCGTTTAAACGGCGAATTACCACAACCTAGCCTGGCACCACTTTTCGAACAAGAGCCTAAGGAACATATACACATTCCTACTTAGAAGTTCTATTCTATGGCGATCAGCTTCTGCACAAGTGGAGCAGTACAATCAGTACTATGTTTCGAAAGAATGATTGGCTTCTATGCCATGATCCTCTGCCGCCAGGTGCTTATGCAACCAATTCAGCAAAATAGGCTCCCCTGGCATATTACAACAATAGGTGCGATATCGGGACCAACCGCCTTACGCACCAACTGATATCTCACTTTCCCGCCACGAATGTTCTGAGCTACAGTCCTATGCAAAATTATTAGGGACTGAGTAATTGCGAATCATTGCGAAACTCTGAGAAGTAACCCAGTCGTTTGGTTACCGACTCCTGCTTCCATCTGGGACCGAGCAACATTTGTTTTCCCGAGTACAAACAGTACCCTTTGGGAGTAAACCAAGCCATGTCCTCTTTATTGTTAGAGGAAATTCTAGACTGTGAATGATTGGCTGATTGGTTTATTATGCTACAAATTAATATTCAGCTTTTAGAGTAACTACATAATTAACTAATTCATAATTGGTCCATGTTCACGTGCCCTTTTTCCTATTTGGGCTCATGCTTAAAACCTGGTCCATAGCATAGCAATTTAAGACATATGGCTCTGGTTTTTATGGCTTCCCTGAATGGGTCCATCATAAATAACAGACTTCATTAATTTATCAAGAGACTACATATCTTAGCCACTAGCCTATGGATTTTATCTACAATTGCTATTTAGCTAGCAAACAGGCTGCTCTGGATGGAGGCAACTACCTATTGATAGGCTCAGTACTCATGAATCTTCTTTTTTTTCTTTTTTCTTTTTGGAGATATGTTAGTCCTGAAGCAAACTGGTCTCACATACATATCTGCTCCTGGATGCTGTGTTAGGGGAATCGCGCTTGTCTCGCTAAAGCTGCATAAACTAACTCGTTAACTAACTAGCGTCCAAGCTCGGGACAGCAAACAACCCCTGCCACCAACTACGTCCTTCTCCACGGGTCGTATTGTGACCTGTCCTGTTTCATTCATTCCGCCAGTTTGACATATCCAAGCCTTTTCCTCTTCTATATGTGCTATGCTGTTTGCCATCCGGGGTCAACATGAGTTGATGAGGTCAAAAGAGGCTTCTCCCCACCAATCAGCGCTCGAGGAGACCAGATGGCCAGAGCTCCAGAGTTTGCATCACGTGTGCGACTTTGCTTTTCCGCTTTGCACAGTTTAACGGGTCTAACCCGATACGCCGCTTACTAATAAAGGCGAGCCTCCATTAATCCCGCGCGTCGCCAACCATGGGACCGGGATATTTTCCCTGCTGCAAAAATTTTTTTCTTTTCCTTCCCTTTTTCCCCCCAACATCTCGCTCTGCTCGGTCAACGATCAATTCACACAGGAATAGCTTCATCTTTTTCTGCTTGGTCCTGAATTGCGCTGGCTGAGCAGGCAAGAGCTCTTATTTTCCCTTATCTTCCTCTGGTTTGGCCCCACTAGTCGATATCATTTTCGGGAAATTTCCATGCTGGAGTGAAACACAACCGCAGCTCTCTTTATTTCCCAGAGAACAACAAGTCTCTACGAGGCGGCAACATGCCTGCCATTCCCTCTTCTCCCGAGCCCAAGGGCCTCTCGCGAGAACCACCATTCCCTTCGAGTCCTTCAACAGGCGGTGTTGTCGCATACAACAACGAACTCCAGGGTCCCCGGACTACCACAAGTGGAGCCATATTTTCTCCAGCTTCAATGCAATTGGGCTCAAAGAAGGGAAGATCCATCTGTCTTGAGCTCGAGGATGGCACTGTTTACAGAGGATTCAACTTTGGAGCTGAGAGGAGCATTGCCGGAGAGTTGGTTTTTCAGACTGGCATGGTGGGGTATCCTGAATCCTTGACAGACCCCTCGTATCGTGGTCAGATCCTGGTCATAACGTTTCCTCTCGTTGGGAATTATGGTGTGCCGTCGCGTGACAAGATGGATGAGCTGTTAAAGGACCTGCCAAAGCACTTTGAGTCGAACCGGATTCATGTTGCCGGCTTGGTAGTAGCTAGCTACTGTGGTGAGGCTTTCTCTCATTTCCTAGCTGAAAGCTCTCTCGGTGAATGGTTAAAAGAGCAAAATGTGCCCGCCATCTACGGTGTTGATACCCGAGCTTTGACTAAACGAATCAGGGAAAAGGGTAGCATGCTGGGACGCATGCTTCTCCAAAAGGAAGCTTCTGTTTCTCATGATAGCGCCATTGAGCAGCAGCCAGAAAATTGGAGAGAGAACTATGAAGTGCTCGACTGGGAAGATCCAAATAAAAGAAATTTAGTTGATGATGGTGAGAAGAATTTCCTCTCGTGAGTTACACTGATACATTGAGACTAATTCGTCAATATGCAGTGTCGATCAAGGAGCCCAAGCTTTATAGTCCACCCGGAAAGCCCATTTTACACCCGTCAGGACGTCCTGTCCGCGTTCTTTGTGTAGATGTCGGTTTGAAATACAACCAACTGAGGTGCCTGGTCTCTCGTGGTGTCGAGGTTCTCGTCGTACCGTGGAACTACGATTTCCCGCACCTTGCAGGCAAAGAATATGACGGACTCTTCCTCTCAAACGGCCCTGGCGACCCTGCTACCCTAACTTCCACGGTCTCTCACTTGAAGATAGCTCTCAAGGAGAACAAGACACCAATTTTTGGTATCTGTCTTGGACACCAACTTCTAGCAAGAGCAGCAGGTGCTAGTACTCTCAAGATGAAATTTGGAAATCGTGGACACAACATTCCATGCACAAGCATGCTCTCTGGTCGCTGTTATATTACATCCCAGAATCATGGTTATGCTGTTGATTCCAAGACTCTTCCAGAAGGCTGGGAGGAGCTGTTTGTCAACGCCAACGATGCTAGCAATGAAGGTATCAGACATGCTAGCCGTCCACTATTCAGTGTGCAGTTCCATCCGGAGAGCACACCCGGACCACGTGATACAGAATTCCTATTCGATGTTTTCATCAACACCGTAAAGGAGTGCCTTGAGTCCAAGGATGCTTTATCTAAACCTGTCAATTTCCCAGGTGGAACTATCAAAGAGAATACTGCTGCACATCCCCGAGTCCACGCCAAGAAGGTCTTGATCCTCGGCAGTGGTGGCCTTAGTATTGGTCAGGCTGGAGAGTTTGATTACTCTGGTAGCCAAGCTATCAAAGCGTTAAATGAAGAGGGAATATACACTGTTCTTATCAATCCTAATATCGCTACCATTCAGACTTCGAAGGGACTGGCGGATAAGGTCTACTTCCTTCCTGTTAATGCTGATTTTGTTCGCAAGGTGATAAAACGCGAGCGACCTGATGCTATCTATGTCACATTTGGTGGTCAAACAGCCCTTCAAGTCGGCATTCAGCTCAAAGATGAATTTGAAGAACTAGGTGTGAAGGTACTTGGTACACCAATCGACACTATTATCACAACTGAGGACCGTGAACTCTTTGCTCGTAGCATGGAGGTCATTGGCGAAAAGTGTGCCAAATCTGCGTCAGCTTCCAATTTGGAAGAAGCCATGGAAGCAGTGAAGGGTATTGGATTCCCAGTAATCGTCAGAGCTGCCTATGCTCTAGGCGGATTGGGAAGCGGTTTTGCCGAAAATGACGACCAACTTCGAGACCTTTGTACCAAGGCATTTGCTGCAAGCCCCCAGGTCCTTATTGAGAGGAGTATGAAGGGCTGGAAGGAAATTGAGTACGAGGTTGTTCGAGACGCCCGCGACAACTGCATTACCGTCTGTAACATGGAAAACTTTGATCCTTTAGGAATCCACACAGGCGACTCCATCGTCGTTGCACCGTCCCAGACACTATCTGATGAGGATTACAATATGCTTCGCACCACTGCTGTCAACGTTATCCGCCATCTTGGAGTTGTCGGTGAATGTAATATTCAATACGCTCTCAACCCTTTCTCGAGAGAGTATTGTATCATTGAAGTTAATGCTCGTTTATCGCGATCCTCAGCCTTGGCTTCAAAGGCTACGGGATACCCCCTTGCATTTATAGCTGCAAAACTCGGTCTCGGAATTCCACTAAATGAGATATCTAACTCTGTGACCAAGGTTACTTGTGCCTGTTTCGAACCTTCCCTAGACTATGTCGTCGTTAAGATTCCTCGATGGGACTTAAAGAAATTTACCCGTGTATCAACTCAACTTGGCTCCTCGATGAAGAGTGTCGGAGAAGTCATGAGTATTGGAAGGACATTCGAAGAAGCCATCCAAAAAGCCATCCGAGCCATCGATTTCCACAATCTTGGATTTAACGAAACAAGTGCTTTGATGAGTATCAAGAATGAGCTCCAAACCCCATCTGACCAGCGACTTTTTGCTATTGCCAATGCTATGCACTCCGGCTACACAGTTGATGAAATATGGGAATTGACCAAAATCGATAAATGGTTCTTGCGAAAACTCGAAGGACTGAGCCTATTTGGCAAGCAAATGAGTAGCTATAACGCTGCTACTGTGCCTATTCCTCTCATCAGGCAAGCCAAGCAACTCGGATTCTCTGACCGTCAGCTTGCTAGGTTCCTAAGCTCCAATGAGCTTGCTGTTCGGCGTATGCGTGTTGAAGCAGGAATCATTCCTTTTGTTAAGCAAATCGATACGGTGGCAGCTGAATTCCCTGCTTTTACAAACTACCTATACCTAACCTACAACGGATCCGAAAATGATGTGGCGTTTGACGACCAAGGCATTATGGTTCTGGGCTCAGGCGTTTATAGAATTGGATCTTCTGTTGAATTTGACTGGTGCTCTGTTAGAACAATTCGCACACTTCGAGCACAAGGGCACAAGACAGTCATGGTTAACTATAACCCAGAGACAGTCAGTACTGATTACGACGAGGCAGATCGTCTCTATTTTGAAAATATCACCCTGGAGACAGTCCTTGATATCTACCAGCTAGAGTCATCTAGTGGAGTAGCAATCTCTATGGGCGGCCAGACGCCAAACAACATTGCTCTTCCACTCCACCGCCTCAATGTTAAAATACTTGGAACGTCTCCTGAGATGATTGATACAGCTGAGAACCGCTACAAATTTTCTCGTATGCTTGACAGAATTGGAGTCGATCAACCGGCGTGGAAAGAACTTACTAGCATTGAAGAAGCTACTGCGTTTTGTGACAAGGTTGGCTACCCTGTTCTTGTCCGCCCTTCATATGTCCTCTCAGGAGCAGCTATGAACACTGTCTACTCCCAAGACGATTTGGCGAACTATCTTGACCAAGCGGCAGAGGTATCGCGAGAACACCCCGTTGTTATCACAAAGTATATCGAAAATGCCAAGGAAATCGAAATGGATGCTGTGGCTAAGAATGGTGTTATGTGTGGCCATTTTATCTCCGAGCATGTTGAAAATGCTGGTGTCCACTCTGGTGACGCTACTCTAATTGTCCCGCCTCAGGACTTGGACCCCGAGACGGTCAGAAGAATCGAAGAAGCAACCAGCAAAATTGGAAATGCTCTGAATGTTACTGGACCTTTCAATATTCAGTTTATTGCCAAGGACAATGAAATCAAAGTCATTGAATGCAATGTCCGGGCTTCGCGATCTTTCCCATTTGTCTCAAAGGTCATGGGCGTTGATTTGATTGAGATGGCGACTAAGGCTATGATTGGAAAACCATTTGAGGCATACCCACCAGTAAATATACCCCAACGTTATGTTGGCATTAAGGTGCCACAATTTTCATTCTCTCGACTCTCTGGCGCAGACCCTGTACTTGGCGTAGAGATGGCTTCTACAGGTGAGGTTGCCTGTTTCGGCCGCGATCGATACGAAGCATACCTGAAAGCGCTCATATCGACGGGATTCAAATTGCCAGAGAAGAATATCCTTGTCTCGATGGGCTCCTTCAAAGATAAAATGGAGATGCTCCCATCTATCACCAAGCTTCACAAGATGGGATTCAACCTTTTTGCAACTGCTGGTACAGCTGATTTCTTGCGGGAACATGGCATCCCAGTCAAATACTTGGAACTTTTGGCGGGAGATGGTGAAGACTTGAAGTCTGAATACTCTCTTACACAGCATCTAGCGAACAACCTTATCGACCTTTACATCAACCTTCCTTCTAGCAACAAATTCAGACGACCAGCAAATTATATGAGCAAAGGTTACCGCACCCGACGAATGGCTGTTGATTACCAGACTCCCCTTGTGACAAATGTCAAGAACGCCAAAATTTTGATTGAAGCCATGTCTCGACGCTATGATCTAAGTGTAGCGCCAATTGATTTCCAAACCAGCCACCGGACTGTATCGTTGCCTGGACTCATCAACGTTGCTGCCTTTGTTCCAGGCATTGCTGAGAAGGACTCAGCTGATTTCCAGGAAGTCACTAAGGCATCCATCGCTGCTGGTTTCTCCATGATTCGAGTTTTGCCTGTAGGTATCAACAGCTTTGTCACAGACACACAAGCCTTAAAATTAGCGCAGCTCAATGCACAAAAGGGCTCTTACTGTGATTTTAACTTCTCAGTTACCGCGACTGCCACGAATGCCGACCAGGTTGACCTTATATCCAGTGAGGTTGGCTCCTTGTTCATTCCATTCAATCACTTGGCCGGTAATATCAACAAGGTTGCGACAGTCACGACTCATTTTGCATCTTGGCCATCCAACAAGCCTATCATAACTGATGCAAAGGGTACAGACCTTGCCTCAATACTTCTTCTGGCTAGCCTTCACAACCGCAACGTGCATGTCATGAGCGTTACATCTCAAGAAGACATCAAACTCATCGCGCTTAGCAAAGAAAAAGGGCTAAGAGTGACCTGCGATGTTTCTATATACTCGTTGTTTTTGTCACAGGAGACTTTCCCAGAGAGCTGTCACCTGCCAACCAAGAAAGCCCAAGAATCACTCTGGGAATATCTCGGGACGATTGATGTTTTCAGCGTTGGAATTCTCCCATACGAGACCGCTGGTAAAGCGGCATCTCCCACGGTTGGATTGGCAGATGCACTCCCAATCCTCTTAACCGCAGTATCCGAAGGGCGACTGACCATCGACGACATTACCAAAAGGCTGTATGAGAATCCGAAGAGGATTTTCGAGCTCCATGACCAGCAGGATACTTTCGTGGAAGTTGAAGTTGACCGCCCCTATGTTTACAAGAGCCAGGGTGCTTGGTCACCATTTACTGGTAAAACACTGCGTGGCTCCATTCAGCGTGTCAATTTCCAGGGAAAGACGGCGTGCCTTGACAATGAACTACTTTCTGACGCGCCTAAGGGCATGGACATGTCGTCCCACACACCAGCACCACCCCAGTCACCTTCCACGAAAGAGATGGCCCCTCGATCTCCAATGGCAATGGGCTCGATTGGCAGGCGCTTATCATTCACGACTACTCCACAAGCCCGCCCATCACCACTGAAACAAGCGGATTCCCTTGCTACAGCTGATGAACTTGGACCACCACTATACGCTACTCCATCCACTGGAGGAACCCCCTCGCTCCAGGAGCTGCTCTCTCGCTCCACGTTTAGGCATAAACATATACTGTCTGTCAATCAGTTCAACAGATCAGATCTTCATTTATTGTTCACGGTAGCACAGGAAATGCGGCTCGGGGTCCAGCGTCAAGGAGTTCTCGATATCCTCAAGGGTCGTGTTCTATGTACTCTGTTCTACGAACCTTCTACCCGTACTTCTGCTTCGTTTGACACAGCAATGCAGCGACTGGGTGGTCGGACTGTGGCTATCGCCACTCAACATTCATCTGCTCAAAAGGGAGAGACCCTGCAGGATACTATTCGCACTCTTGCTTGCTATTCCGATGCAGTTGTTCTACGCCATCCTGAGGAGAGCAGCGCGTCTACAGCAGCCAAATTCTCCCCTGTTCCAATTATCAATGGAGGAAATGGAAGCCAAGAGCACCCCACCCAGGCGTTCCTCGATCTCTTTACCATTCGTGAAGAACTAGGTACCGTGAGTGGAATCACTGTTACGTTCACAGGCGACCTGAAACATGGAAGAACAGTCCACTCCCTCATTAAATTGCTTCAGTTCTATCAAGTCCGCATTCAACTTGTTTCTCCCAAGGCTCTGTCTTTGCCGGAAGACATCCGCCAGCAAGTTATCAGATCTGGCCAACTCATTGTTGAAACCAACGAGTTGACTCCTGAAGTCGTCGCCCGCTCCGACGTCTTGTACTGTACCCGAGTCCAGAAGGAGCGATTTGCAGACCAAGAGGAATATGAGAGGCTCAAGGACAGCTTCGTCATTGACAATTCTATCATGAATCAGGCGAAGAGCCAAATGGTGGTCATGCATCCACTCCCAAGAAACGCTGAAATTGACGAGCAAGTGGACTTTGACCAGCGCGCTGCTTACTTCAGACAGGTAAGTCCATTATTCCTTTCCGTGTCCATTATGTACTCTTGCTAATATTCTATTCTCTAGATGAGATATGGTCTTTACTGCCGAATGGCGTTGTTGGCTTTGGTTATGGCCCCTTAATTTCACTTTGCCTCGTCACAGACGGGTGTCTTTGGCACCCTTTACCAGTTTCTTTGCCATGTACGTCACAAAAGTTTTGTTTGCTTTCATGTTGGTTTAACTAGACAAAATATCACGTAGATACAAGTTTATCATGAAGTACTCCCTGTATGACTTGTGTATGTATGTATACCCAGCGTTCTATTTCGGTATATGTTATGTGTGCTATGCGTTTGCTTCTGGTTTGCTTCTGGTTTGTGGCGTTGGTTTTGTGTTTATTCATTTCTTTTTCTTGGTGGATGGAGGGCCTAGTTGGTTTAAGTACTGGCAGAGCGAATTCTCCATTTGACTATTCAGTGATTTAGAAGCTATATTGATCCAGGTCAAGCAATGATTCATGTGCTCATCTTATTCCGTTCTTCTCTTCGTGACAACCAGCCAGTTAACTAGTTGACTAACTAACTAGTTAGCCACACCAACTCCGGATCCCTCAATTTTCACCAACAACTTCCAACAGCAATTCATCGTATCTATCAATGGAATAAGTCAAATTACAAACAAGTACACCATTAATATTCATCAATATACAGCCATATACCTATCCCGCAGTGTACCTCGAATTCACGGCATGATCAAGCTCTTGTTCCGCCGCCAATGGCCGCTACCTGGCTATCCTGCAGCGTCAGCACGCAGATTCTCGACACAGACAAGCCAACCACTCATCAAGATAAAAGATGCAACTTTCTTCAGACATTATCCGATCTCTGGGGACAGCCAGAAGGAGAATCCCCCTCTCTATCCCAACCTAAGTTTTGAACTATTGCCTGTCGATAATGAAGCCAGGCGATCTGACAGCGCCGGAAATCCCCAGAAACAGCCGTTTTGGGCCGTAATCGGATCCTCTGATAGATCTGTTTTCCTAGAAATACTGTGTGGTCGGCATATATGCATACCACCTGCAGCCAGGTCATACCCCCTTCTCGCAACAGAGGAGATCGCTTTAAAGGATCCACGCCTTCGATTCCCAGGTCGTGCAATCCGCTATATCGGGTTCAATGGAGACGCAAAGAAGGATGCTGGAGGCGTCCGTGGTTCTTATCTCAGTGCAAGATATGAAAGCAGAAAAGAGGAGACAGACTTCACCGTTATGCAGTTTCTGAGAGGGCAGACATCTCTTAACCCCCTGGAGGGCACTGAAGACATACCTCATACCCATGACAAGCTATTGCATCAAGTAGTTGCCGACTTAGGGTTGCAAAAATTACTGGATATGCCATTGTCAAACCTGAGTAATGGCCAGACAAGACGGGCACGGATTGCAAAAGCGTTGCTAGACAAGCCCGAGGTGTTGCTACTCGATGATCCGTTCAGTATGTACTCCCATATCTAATGGTATACTCTAAGTCTAATTGAATATACAGTGGGTTTGGATCCTCCGACAGTCAAGGCGCTCTCCCCACTATTGTTCAGCATCTCTTTACGAGGTTCCCCGCAAGTTATTTTATCTCTTAGACCACAGGATACGCTACCTGATTGGATTACACATATGGTTATATTAAATAAGGACCATACTGTAGCCCTCCAAGGAGAAAAATGTGACGTGCTTAACCATCTGGAGATATGGAAAGCTGTTGCGCATCGGAAGTTGAATCTAATGTCAGGCAGACAGCAACTCCTTCCAAGAAATGAAGATGAAGAAAAGCAATATACTGCATTCTCCGCCCAAGACCGTTTGAAATATAATCAGGCAGAGATGTTATTCAAAGAACTCCGGTTTGAATCTGAAACTGCTCTGCTTCATGATCTCGAGATAATGTCAAAGCCTCCCAATTCCGGGCTAAAACGCACCAACAGCTATGGAGAACCAATTGTCGAAATGGAGGGTGTCAGGGTATCATACGGTGAAAAGACTGTCCTCGGAGGCTGGGACCAAACAATTGAAGGAAAGAAAAAGGAGGGCCTATACTGGGAGGTTCGCCGTGGCCAAAGATGGGGTGTTTTTGGACTGAATGGGTCCGGGAAGACAACGCTGTTATCCCTTATAACATCAGATCACCCGCAAGCATACTCCCTTCCGCTCCGTCTGTTCGGTCGATCAAGGTTGCCAGAAGCTGGTAAGCCTGGCATATCACTGTTTGACCTTCAGTCACGCATTGGACACTCCTCGCCTGAGGTACACGCATTTTTCCCTCGAAGTTTGTCGATAAGGGCATCGGTAGAGTCCGCTTGGGCAGATACTTTCCTATCAAAGCCGAAACTCGATCAGAAGAGACGCCTTGACGTTATTTCCGCACTAAGATTTTTCGAAGCGGACCTGAACGCAGACTTTCCTCTTGGAGCTAACCATGAGGCCCATGATCCTTCAGTTTCTTGGGCTGACAACACCCCCTTCTCATCCTTAGATGTGGCCCAGCAGCGTTTAATCCTATTTCTACGTGCTGTCGTCAATAAGCCCGAGCTGATTGTTCTCGACGAAGCCTTTTCCGGAATGCCTAGATCCTTGAGAGACAAGTGCCTGCACTTCCTTGAAGTTGGAGAAACATTAGAAGAAAGTACCGGTTCTCGTCGAGTACCTAACTTTAGTGTGTGGCATCTTCCTCGCTCGCAAAGCGATACGATGCATGAGGCTAGACATCGAGGACTGTCTGCATCTCAAGCTTTAATTGTCATCAGCCATGTCAAGGAAGAAGTTCCGGATGTTGTCTCGCACTGGATGAGGTTGCCTACAGGGTCAGAGAATGATAGAGGGTTAGTAGGACGTGCCAGCACTGGAACTTCATCAAACAGCTTTAGAATTGGTACTTTGAAGGATAACCAAACTATTTCTGGGGATGCATGGGATGAGATTTGGGCATAAATCTAGCAAAATTAATAGAGATGGTGTAGAGTCGATAGAGTAACACTGAAATTATAGGCATGTATATCAGGTTGTTTCATCAAGCGTTACACGGGTATTAAATCGAGATAATATGCAATTGATAAATTCTTCACACGGATGCTATAAGTCAAGTTCACTCTGTTGGGGTGCTATTCGGGGATTTGACGACGAGTCCTTCAACACGGATCATATCTTTAAAATCCACTCCGACCTCTGAAAGTGAGCTGGCATGTTGATATACTATCTCCATGCATTTCTCCCACACGGGGTTGCTGGGTTCAACACTGCTAAGCTGACGGCTTAGAGTAGCGTTAAAGTCGTCCAAATGATCCTTGCCCCATTTAATGCTGGCACTGGACATGGGTGATGGGAAACATTGCTGATAGATGGCGATCGTGTTCCGAATCATGGTGAAGTAAACAAACGAAATTTGGAAAATATATAACAGCAGGTCACCTTCAAATACGCAGTGTCTGGACGAGTGTTAGTGCGAAGGAGTAAGGTAAACGTTTACAAGAATGATTACACGGAGCATACCTAGCACGTTTGGTTATTATTTGGCTCCTGGCATTGAGGTAAGCTTCACGAGCTCGATCATCATAACCCAGCCGAGTCAACCAGGCAACATTTGTCTTTGTAACATTCATAAAAGAGTTGGTGTCGACTAGGGCTCGAAGGAGAATTTCGGCAAGCTTGTTTGCCCTAGAATCTACTCCGGAGTTAATGGCATCCTGAGCGGTTTGATTCCCTTTCAGTCCTTTTGCAATTTTTCGAAGTTTCTCGACTCGCGAAACAGCAGTTTCAAACACTTGGATTGCGATGTCAATATCAAGCTCATCAAGTTGGCCTTCCACCCATCTCATGTTCTGTTGCTTTCCGTCGACATCAATCAAAACTTCTAGTTTATCACGAGGGTCCATGGTATCTAGAAATTCAGAATGCCGGCGAGATGCAGGCTGATTGTTGTTCATCAGTGCCTCCCGGGATTTGGCAGCAACCTCTGCTTCTGATTTCAGACTTTTACGGAGCTCCTCCAGCGTCTTTCGGAAAGTCATGACCAGATCGTTCTTAGCCTTGTTATTTCGCTGGTCATGGCGATATGTAAAGGAGCTTTGGCCATAACGAATGTTAACGGCATTTGGCACGCCACGTTCATCCATATCTTCGCCAGAATTTAAGCCAGATCCAAGGTCAATCAAGTCGATATCCTGTAGTGGCCAGCACTCTTCTGCTACCAGTTTTGTTGGAACAGAAACGGACTTCCCGTTAGCAGTATTTGGATCCACTCGCTTTCTTTTCTTTGCAGCGATGAGCAGATGATCATTGAGAAGAACAATATGAACCGGACGTCTTGGTTTCCATGTAGCAGAATCAAGTTCAACCCATTGGCTCGATTCCATGACAATGTGTCGTCCCGGGATTGCTGGAAGATACTTTTGAGAACGTTCAACGTTCTTCCATAACTGCTGCAGCTGAATATTCCACATGCTCTCCAGATTAGCAATAGAGCTCCTATGTGCGTGTCTCCGACTTAGCGCATCATCAAAGCCCGGCTGTGAACCATTCGCTCCATTCGTTGTGTTGGCTTGGCCTAGAGTGGTAGTAAGCTCGGACATGAGGCCGCGAAGAGTGCTCATCTCCTCCCTTAACTTTTCAGCTTCCTTGCTGATTTTAATGAACTGGGTGCGGTTCTGATACACGCTCTGCTGTAGGTCAGAGGAAGTTTTGCTCTTTAGTTTCCGCAAGTCACTCTGATAGTCTCGTATGTCCTGTTCCGAGGCATGTTCTAACAGCCCGGTCACATCTATGCAAATAGGAGGGTATTAGCGCAAGTCGCTACACAAACGAGGAATCCAACATACAGCTTTCAATTGGTAAATTCGGGTTTCTCAAAGCATTCGCATCCACTCGAATCGGCTGTGCTCCCCCCCCGGATGTGGCCTCCTTGTCTGAGGCAAAGTGGTCTATAGGAGCGCTTGGAAGGCTGGGGACTGGAGGAGCTTCCGAAATGATGCCCGGGAGAGTATTGAATTTCGCAGAGTATCTTCGTTTAACAAGGTCCGAAGTAGCATCGCTGGGCTGCGGTTGGTGTCTGGCTTCTGGAGCCCGTCCTGCTGCTGGTGCGGCGGAGTTGTGGTTCGTGATAGGCTGCGGAGCACTGATCTTGGGGCGACGGCGGGAAGCCTTGCTTCGAAGAGTGAGGCCCTTCACATCCATGGCGACTCTGTCCTTTATTTCACTAGCCTAAAGCTGCTGCCGGCGGATATCGTAGTTGATATCGTGGTTGTCGCCGTTATGGTTGGAGTTGTTGTAGTCGTCGAAATTGACGTCGCGCGAAACCCAAAAGGGGAAGGCCAAAAAGGAAAAAAAAGGAACAAAAAATGATAAAACATCAGGAAAAAAAAGAGCTTCAATAACTTCAACTTTTCCATAAAAAGCCTTCAAGTCGAGCAACAAACAGCAAACCTACAGTCCCGAGAATTTTCTTTCCTTCTTGTCTGTCTGATTTTGCGGTTGGATTAATACCTCGCTTCATTTTTTGCTGTCGCTGATAGAGAAGTGCTGCTGTACCTTCGTCCCTTCGCCATCCCTACAGACTCATAATATACAGCCGTCGACAATGAGGACATCAACAATAGCGGCCGTCTCGGCCGGCACCATTATTACAGGATTGCTTGGTAAACTTTTCAGTTGTGCTATTGATGCTGTGTTTCATGCGGATTGTATAGCAAAAGGAGGATATGTGCTGACCTCTGAAATTTTCTGCTAGCCTATGCCATCTACTTTGACTACCGAAGACAGTCTGACCCCGAATTCCGTCGTGCTTTGAAACGAGACAACCGTCGGATGGCAAGGGCGGTGCGGCAGGAGAATGAAGCTCAAGGAGCACAGCAGATGGCGAAGATCAGACAGGCAGTTGCCGATGCAAAGGACGAGGGCTTCCCAGCTGACCTTGAGGAGAGAGAAGGCTTCTTTATGAGCCAGGTTGCAAAGGGAGAGGGACTATGCGCAGACAGTACGTTGGACAGACATCAACACCTTCTAACCCCCCTCTCTCGAAGTTCGGTTCTAATCTTGTGATTCTAGGCTCTTCGCATGTTGAAGCCGCTGTGGCCTTCTACAAAGCACTCAAGGTCTATCCTCAGCCCAAGGACCTCATTGCTATCTACGACAGAACCGTGCCAAAGGACGTCCTCGAAATATTAGCCGAGATGGTCGCCATGGATCCCTCATTGAAGCTAGGTGCTTTCACCAGTGACAGCGGCGCCGAGAGCGCCCACAGCGTCGAGTGAAGCTGTACAAGGGACGAAAAAAACAGACATAACGATGACGGATAAAAGACCATCTCCATAGCCGCACTTCTCCGAAATTCTCTCCATCTATTCTCTATCACGCGCGCCCCCTTCTCACCTGTCCGTATATCCTATTAGTAGCCGGATTTGGATTGATGGTCACTGGCCTCGTCTACCAGCAACCAGCGTCTGGTAATCCTTTCTTGTTGTGCTTCTTTTTGTGGTTTGGTCGGATTGGGGCTGTTAACACTGTACTTTAACGATACTTTCTCATGCCTGATAGGCTATCAAATGTATTATCTCCTTTCTCTTGCCTGGGTTCTGGTTCTAGTCATAGTAGTCGAACCTATACGTCGTACAGCCCCTTGGCCCGCAGACTCCTATAATAACTACCAGCGGCCACGACCCATGGTCCAAGGGAAGCATCCTGTGCTATTATCATTATTATTCGCTGCTCGGGCAGCGGCAACTTGAAACAGCCAAGATAGCAGGAAAGTTGCGTCCCGGGATCAATGAACCTTTATTAACGCCAGCCGGCCGAAGGGAATCCTCATTTAACCACCATCGCAGGCGGATCAAAATCACCCTCCTTTTCCTTTCGCGCAGTCATTCTTTTCAGAGTCGACCTCTTTGTTGGAGCGACTTGCTCGCTCGTTCTCTCGCTCTTTTCACTCCTTTGAAGCGGCCCTAAGCCCTTGCCGGTCCTTACATTTCTCTCTATTTATCTTCGTTGAACGAGATAAATTTGCTACTAATCTTCGATCATGAAGAAGGTGAGCGATACAAGAATTGTCCCTTGTTTTTATGCAATATATATGTCGATACTGATGCATTTGCGCCTTAGTTCGCCTTTCTCGCGTCGCTTTGCGGCCTTCTGTCGGCCGTTGCGGCTGTGACTCCCATTGAGGTCAAAGGCTCGCAGTTCGTGAATCCGAAGACCAACGCCCGTTTCCAGATGATTGGCGTCGAGTACGTTGTCTTGCCCCGTACAGTGCATTTACAAGAATGGAAATGAAGTCATGGGAATATCTGTTTAATGCGCGCTTCACTCGCAGCTATCAACCTGGTGGTTCATCTGGATATAAACCAGACAGCGGCAAGGACCCCCTATCCAATGCCGGTGACTGTCTGCGAGATGCCATTCTTCTCCAACGTCTTGGTGTACGTTCTCTGTAATACGTCATCATGATATCTACGGGATTGGTCATGCTGATCGCGAGGAATAGGTTAACACCATCCGCATCTACAACCTTAATCCTACCTTGAACCATGATGAATGTGTCTCCATTTTCAATGCAGCTGGTATTTACCTACTGCTTGATGTCAGCACTCCAGAGTATGGAGAGTACTTGAACCGTGCCGAACCAGCCTCTTCGTACAATAAGCAATTCTTGACTCGTCTCTTCACCATGGTTGAGGCATTCAAGGATTATCCCAACCTTCTCGGCTTCTTTGGCGGTAACGAGATCATCAACGAAGATGCCGCAAAGAATGTTCCTGCGTACATTCGAGTGAGTATCTACCCATTATTAAGATATTTTCCGTACCGACTAACAATGGCTGCAGGCTATCCAGCGTGATCTCAAGGACTACATTGCTGCCCATGCTAGCCGCACAATTCCTGTCGGCTACTCCGCTGCTGATGTCCGTGATATACTAAAGGACACCTGGAACTACGTTACCTGCCACTCTACCCTAGCCCCTTCTTCCAATGCTGATTTCTTCGGTATTAATTCTTACTCCTGGTGCGGCGACTCCAGTTACACCGAGAGTGGGTATGACAAACTGGTAGAGCTCTTCTCAAAGACATCTGTCCCGGTTTTCTTCTCAGAGTATGGTTGCAATGAGGTGAAACCACGTATATTCACTGAAGTTCGGGCTGTATACGGTCCAGAAATGACCAAGGCCATGTGTGGCGGCTTGATCTATGAGTACTCTCAGGAAGCCAACGAGTACGGCTTAGTTTACCTTGGTGGAAAGGACAATACCACCCTCCTTGTTGATTACGAGAGCTTAGCTGTCCAGTTCAGCAAGCTTGACATCAAGAAACTCCAGTCCCTCGACCCAAGCACTACCACTATCAAGCCACCAAGCTGCAAGCCCGGCTTAATCACTTCCAAAAGCTTCTACAAGATGTTCACCCTTCCATCAAGACCACCTGGTGTTCAGGACCTGATCAAGAATGGCATCAAGAACCCTCCGAAGGGTAAGATCGTCGATGTCAAGAAGACGAAGGCTGAAGGCAAAATTTTCAATAAAGAGGGAAAGCTCCTCAAAAACCTGGAGCTCAAGGTCCTCAAGAATGACAAAGCTAATGTTCCCGGAGAGAACACCTCTGGCACTCCTACCGGAAATGGCAAATCCTCGGACGGCTCCAAGGAAGAGTCTGGTGCAGGAATGAATGTGTTCAATTCTCATTTCGCCTACATTCTTGCTGGTATTGTTGTGCTAGGACAGCTCATTGCATGAAGTTGTCACGAATCCTTCAATTGATAACTAAGCCAAATTGTCAAGCTAGCGCTACTATACTAATACCTGAGATTGACTTACGACGTTACTTTCAATTATAATAGTTCGTGTGTATATGGATTCAACATTAGATTATTCAATCTTCAATAGAAACCCCCAATCTCTGGTGCTTCCCATTTTGGACCTTCGTTGAGGTCTGTTGTCCATAACTGGGGACAGGACTCAGATTTCCACTTAGAGCCTGGATAGGCCGTGTCTGCAGTATGTTTGCACATGAAACAGAGCACCAACCCACTTCTGCTGGTCCGATAGTAACGCGGCCCATATATTTCCTAGAGCCTTTGATCAGCGATTATAATCAGTAATAATTGCGGTGCGGAATTCTTACATGAAGGCACCAGGAACAGCCAGCTAAACTTATCGAATGATATCCCTGAAGAACGATCGTGTCGTCCAATTTGTATTTGGTTTCACTCCAGTCCCTCACCAAACTCTTGTTTTGGTGATATACAGCAATTCGGAAAGGAGTCCACTCCGCTGCTGGTTCGTCGGTAGTAGTGACAGTGCTCTCTTCCACACCGTACTCCAACAGTAAATTGACAATTTCCACAGATCCGCGCTTACATGCCCAATGTAAGGGTGACCAGGTGTTGTCAGTAAACTTGACGTCTGACGCCTGTGCTTCAAGCGCTACACGCAGAGTCTCTACAGAGCTACTGCAAGCAGCATGATGCACTATTCCGCGTCCCGTTATATCCAGAGATTGGGGATCAATTCCGTTATCAAGAAAAAATTTCAACACATCCGCATGGCCGCCTCTTGCGGCGAAATGAGCAGGATTTCTTCCTTCACTATCTTTGTACTGCGTAGGGCCGCAGATTTTGGCCAAACCTCGAATAAGGCTAAGGTTTCCACCATACGCAGCAGCATTCAGGAAAGTACCATACTTCTTTGGTACTGAGGCGTCTGTGTTGCTTTCCATATTCCGGATCAAATGGATAAAAATAACCTCATTGCCTCTGATAACGGCCTGCAGTAAAGGTGTATGTCTAAGTCGGCAACGTTTAGTAGGGTCAGCTCCCCGGAGGCGAAGTACCTGAACTATTTCAACCTGGTCCCGGACAATTGCCTCGCACAGCGGGCTAACCCCAAAGTTATGCTCAGGGTCCACGTTTGCTCCCTTCCTGAGTAGTGCTTTGGAAATTTCAGTGCAGCCCTTACGGATTGCACGAACCAACATTGTTTCGTCAGCCACATCTTTTGTCATTGAAGGATGAAGGTTAGGGCTTGCTCCTTTCCATAATAAGAGCTTCACGATGTTAAGATGACCGTGAAATACCGCCCAGAACAACGGTGTATAGTTCTCCGCTGGGTCGCGGACGTTTTCTGCTTTAACTCCTTCCAGAAGAAGAAACTTAACAACCCAGGTGTGACCATGAACAGACGCCTTATGCAATGCTTCGTCACCCACCCTATCTTCAAGGCTTACTCCTGCTTTAACAAGGAGTTTTACGATAGCTGTATACCCTCCAGAAGCTGCATCTCTCAACGCTTTACTTTCAGCCGTCACCACCGCGCCTTGGTTGATAAGGTACTGGAGAGTCTCAATACGCCCTTGACGTGATGCTTCATATACTGGGGTATTTCCGGATGATGGAGCATGGTGAATATCTGCTCCCTCTCTCACAAGGAACCTGACCATGTCAGTATTGCCAGCTTGGCACGCATAACACAAAGGAGTTCGTCCTGTCGACGTAACCGCTTTGATATTAGCCCCTTTTTCGAGAAGAAACTTGACAGTCCCTAAATTTCCGCTGGAGGCAGCCAGATGCAGTGGAGTCACCCCCTCATTATCAGCCATTGCGATATCAGCATCGTTGCTTATTAGACGCTCCAGTAACTTGATGTTCCCGTTCCTTGCTGAATGGTGAATAGTAGTCTGGCCTTCCTTGCTCTTCGTATCTAATTTGGCATCTTTTTCAATCAGATAGGATATAATGTGGTTATCGCCATTGGCGATGGCAGCATTTACCGCACTTCCATACTCACCCCCCTCTAAATTAACATCAGCTCCTGACTCAACCAATAGCTCGACAATTGGCATCTCGCCCCCAAAACAGGCCACTTGCAAGGCTGTCCCAAATCGCCCAGCAAGAGCGTCGGGATCCTCTCCATGTTCTTTCAAAGAGATTCTGGCAACATCCAGTAACCTGAGCCGGCAAGAATGGTAAAGGGGACCCGCCTCTACCCCTCCGACATGATTCTTCCATCGAATGAAGTTAGGGCTTTTGTGGAAAAAGTGACTGATTTGTCGAGTCAACTGACTGTTCTTCCCAGCGGCAAGCACATGTGTGTCGAAAGAAGTAGCTGCATAATTAAGGAATGACCCGTCATCTACGTCAAAAGTAGGCAAAACACTGCGGTCCCATACCTCAGGATAGGTAAGATAGCGAAGACAAGTTTTGGCAAGTATACTGTGTTGCATAGCTTGGCTGACGGAGCTGGACAACAGCTTGCCTGGACTTGAGATATTCCTGAAGTTTGCAAATTTCAAGAAAAGATATTCTTTAACTGAAGCGTGGACTAAGTGGATTGTCCCGTGGCCCTGAGGGATGTCAGTATTCCACGTCATCATATAGTTTGGAACCTCGATCCGAACTTCAATTAAAGAGCCACAAAGCTCCTTGATTTCACCATTAACATACTCTTCGTCGATCTCTTCGGGAAGTTCGTCCACAGGAAATTCAGGAGGTTCATCATCTTTCAGGTCGTCTACATTGTTCTCTTCCTCTCCCTCTTCTCCCATGTCCTCGTCGTCATCATCGCAAATGGCAAGTGCATGCGCCAACTCCGATAATTTCAGTGGTCTGTACGCAAATGTAGCCCAGCGGAGAATGGATATGGCACGGCGCCTTTCGTTAGCTGGGCGCTTTTGAATGTTTGCCCAATTGCGCTCATATATCTGATGGAGCCCAACTGGCATAGTTGAGACAATATTTCGAAGTTGTTTGTCGTTCTTACCACCACGCAACTGGTCTTGTTGCATCTTGATCCAAAGAAACATTCCCTCACACTTCTCTGCCATTTGAGTGGCTAATTCACGTCGAAGTGAGGCGCCTTTCTTCCCCAGTTTCTTATTGACGACGCTTTCTGAGTAGAGCTGAATCTCAGACTTGGTTTTAGACTTAGAAATTTGACACTCAAGCATAGTGGTCAATTCTTTATTTCCAGGGGAAGGGGAAAGTTCTTGGTTTAAATCAACTTCATCCCGGCTCACAATTAAAACCCGACATTTAACCCCCTTTGCCCGCTCTTTCAGTCCTCGAAGTAGCTGAGCTCGTTCGTCATCATGTATTTCGTATTCATCCAGCCCGTCTAAAACAAAAGTAAAAGGGGTAGTATCGGAGGCGATAGCTTTAAATAGTTTCCAGACTTCAGCTTGAGATGCTCTTCTGCCTGTTTCAACATGGTCCATTGCTTGTTGAACCAGTTCTAAATTCCGTTCATCGTGCCGCGTAGCTTGAGAAACCCACGAGCGTACCACGCCATCCGGATGCCCTCCTGCCTGAACATGGCTAGTAGAGAAGAAGTACGCTAACAGATGGCTTGACTTCTCAGTAAACTGCTGGATGATCTTTGCACATAGGACAGATTTTCCAGAACCTGCTGGACCACATATCCAAAGGAATTTGGCTGTTTCCCGAGGAAAATAGTCTGATTCCCAAGTCTTGTAAGCAGGCTCGGTAGTAATCCAGTTACAAGTACCATCAAGACAAGCTGATAAATGTCTCTCATATTGCTGCTCTGTTTCAGGGGCATCTAGCCACTCTTCAACTCTCTTCTGCGTTTGGATAAGAGTGTTCTTTCGTGTTTCTATAAGCAAGGCTTTAAAATCCTTAACAAGGGAATCTGATCTATCATACCGTTAGCTTTCCTCTTTAACATCCACAGAATAGCAATACCAAGGGCCACGTACCCGTCTTTCTCTTTTGGAAGGAGATTGTGCAGCGCATCAACAAACCCCCCAAACATTGTAACCTGGGAGGTGAAGCTTCCCTTTCCCCTGAGGGCCCAGTCAATTCCACCTCTAATGGAAGGCTTTGAACTATTCTTGCTTGCCCTTCCTTCACTTTCAGCAGGAGATATCACAACTTGAGGTACTCGCAACCGAGATTTTGAACGCTCTATCGAGTCAAAAAGCGTGCTAATTTCTTCAAGAACTAGCTTAACGGCCGACAATATCTCTGGTTCGTCAAGACGAACATGATGACTGTCTTTCAGGACTCCGTTCTCAATGCCAGCGTATGCCGCCCAGTCCTTTAGTCTGACCTTGTTGGCCTCAAAACTCACAACAGTTTGCCGTGACTGAGTCGAGAACTCTCTATAATTTGAAACTCGATCGAGGACATCCATGCAGACGCTGAAAAGGCCTGCAACGCCCATAACAAGGCCGGCAACCTCCATATTGAGAATGGTTTGCAACCGAATTTAATGTGAATGTACTCAAAATCAATCAATATATATTTCGATGATATGATATTAAAAATGCGAACCTTTTAAGAAAGGGTATTTACGGCGGCCCTGTTGGAGGGTAAGGCCCCTAACTGCTAAGCGCTGACATGTCTGCATGCGCAGGCTACCTTGCATGTAGCTTGCTGCCAATCACTAAGCGCTATTAGAGGTGTCCCGCGATGATAAAAATAGACTAGGGACGTCATTGTTAGACAATCTCTTTTGGCTCAAAGCGCTTATAATGATCACATATTCATAATAAAACATGTTCTCCTCGATGCAGCAAGCCCATCCTCGAAATATCAAGTAGGTTGTTAAAAGATGACCGGACGTCGCAGGTTTCCCTTTCTGGTTTAGTGACTAAGCTTCCACGACTGAAAACCTTATTAGATAATCGAAACAACCGCTGCGGATATTCTATTTTCCGCATTGCTTACATAATACAGGACACCTCTGACTCTTTGGCCAAAAACGGCTTAGCGCAAAGGCCTTGTCCTGCTCAGCCTTCTTTTCTCTTCCTGGCGTCTTTTCGCTCTTCTTCTGCTGAGATTTCCAACCTTCAACCTCTCTCGATCTCAACTTCACTCGACCACCCAGGAGAACCAGCTGCATATTCACCATCCTCACATTCACCACGGCAAGAACCTGTGCTCTCGACTGTCCTTTTAGCGACTAAGCTATATCTTCTCTGCTGCCACCCCAGCACTCTCAGTCTGCGACACCAGCAACTGCTCAACGCGCGTCGATAAGCCCACTCGACCTGCTGCGTCCAGTCTGATACTGTCATATTCCAAGTCTCAAAAACCCCCGTTTCAAAGCCAAGTCATCATGTCTGGAAAGCTTGATAAGGCTCTTGATGAGATTGTCAGCTCTCGCCGTCAGGCGCGTCGCAACAGCCAGCGTCGCCCTGCCGCAAAAGCTGCAAAGGCCGCTCCCGTCGGAGGAGTCAGAAAATCTACTAGACAACCCAAGCCAACCTCCAAAGCCACACCTACTGCCCCTGCTGCAGGATCGGGAGACGGAAAAATCATCGTGAGCGGCTTGGTAAGTCATTCATTCTTCCTCTCGGCTTTACTCATTCGAGTGAAAGAAACTTACAGCTACTAACCGCGCGTTCGTCTAGCCCTCCGATGTTAATGAAGCAAATATCAAGGTATGTTGATAGAGACGCTCTTCGGGGTTTCGTTCGCCGTCTCCGTTTCAGCCATTTTGCTTCGAACGTGACGATCGGAAGAGTCGGCTTTCCTACCTTTACTTCCCACGCGAAAAACCTAAGGCGGACTTGATCTCAGTGCGGCTATACTCCGTGGTGAGGGCCTGTTAATAGCACGTGTGAACTACGGCTCCTTGAGCTCTCTTGCTATCAGACGGTCGATCCCTTCCTGTCTTTCGCTCGCCTATGCTGAGGCATGACGCAGAGACTTATGGAAGGTTGTATCCTGTCGCGGCCTTGAAAATAAAGATCAAAGACCCGGTATATGCCTTGTGGGGTGCACTTGAGCGATCAAGCCAACGGGTCATGCATTTTTCAAAATGTGCTAGACTTTCGGCTCTTTCATTGGAAGTGAGGAGAATCAGCGAGCGCAGCAGCGGTTGAACAGCATAGCATAATTATTCATCCGTCTTCAGCTCAATAGTACTCGGTATCTACGGCATGTTGATCGAGTTATCTACTTTGCAATCAACTCTCACCAGCAACGTCTTTGTGAGAACCAGGCTTTCCGTTCTAATTGATGCGCAATATTCACAATCGCGACGTTATCGCTGCCTGTGGTGCTCTGTTTTCAATCAGCTACTTTACAACCCAATAATCTTCTACACCATCTTTTACTGGCTCCAGGACCTTCGCGTGTGGAGGTGTTTATCTTTTCGCTGTCTACTGGAATCTCTGGATACCCCAAATACAAACCTTTTTCTACGCCAGACTGATTTTGCTACTTCAGTCGAAATGCAGGTCAAAGGCAACCCTGGCTCCATCCGATTCGGTCGTGCTAACTACTAACCTGGCTGTTATGCTGTGCTCGCTGGTCTGTTTGGTGTCTGGAACATTATACATTTCGCTCGAAAGCCGATGATCCCGATTGCTCATATTCAATGCTTCGGCTTCTTTTAACAAAACGTACTGTGAAACTACGAACATACTGATGAATCTCGTGTTGCTGATAGGAATACTTCCACAAGTCAGCGGGACCTGTCAAGAAGGTCATGCTGACCTACAATCAGAACGGCACCAGCCGTGGTATCGCTTCTATCATATTCAGCCGCCCTGAAACTGCTATCAAAGCTGCTAAGGAGCTGAATGGACTCCTAATCGACAAACGCCCGATTAAAGTAAGTATATTCAAATCATTTATCGGTTCTCTATGACTCTACTGAAACTAACATGGCCTCAATCTAGATTGAGGTTGTTGTTGATGCATCCCGTGCGCCTCCGGTTCCTACACCCAAGCCACTGACCGAGCGTGTTGCGTAAGTTTCCTCTCACTGTCTATCTGCAGTTGTTTATCTGCAGTTGTTTTCTAGCTCTTTTATCCACTAACAAGCAGTAGTCAACCAAAGTCTCAGCCCAAGCCCGCTTCTGCTGCGAAAGCTGGACGAAAGAGAGATGCTAGGGGTCGAACCCAACGGGGCCGCAACGCGGGTCGCCCAAAGTCCAAGACCCTTGAAGAGCTTGATGCTGAAATGGTAAACTACTTCGCCGAAGCTCCTGCCAGCACTAACGCTCCCGCTCCTGCAGCCAACGGTGCTGCTCCCCAGCCCGCTGGTAATGGCGAAGATCTCGGAATGGTTGATGAGATTTCCGTAAGTAGATGATTTATTCCAGTACTTTAAGTACTATCCCAACGCTAACGTTGTGTTGCAGTAAATTATTTCGCTTTAAGCATTTATCCAAGGGCTCGCTGGCTACTTTGAAGATCCCGGATGCAATTGACTCTTTGAGACTGTCTTCTCTTTTTTCTTCCAGTGTGCAATGTTTTTAATACCTCTTTCTCCTTGTCCAAAGTCAGGCTTCAAAGTGTCTTATTCAAAAAGAAAGAAACAAAAATATGAGCCATCCCCCAACAAGTTACGCTTCTATCCCGAACGAGTTCTGACTCTCACCTCACTTGTTTGTGCCTCTTCTTTCCGTTGTTTGTTTGTAACCCGCCCTGATACCTTTTTCATTTGAGCTTAATTATCATCCCACTTGTCTGCTTGGGCGTTCGTCATATTCTGGGAATGGGGGGTTGGTAGTTCATGTGGTCCATAGTAAATATTCGTGTCTCGCAGACAATTCAAGATTGAACCCATCTACTGAGCACTGAACCTTTATTGATAGTAAATACGTATAGTAATAGTATGGGCATTGAATATGTGCCAATCTGGAGAGGGGTGTTTCAATTGGTTAAGCCGTACATTTTTTAGGAAATGACCGTATGAAAGGCATTGAATATTACTGTGAGCTCAATGTATTTAAATTATCGAAACACTTACAGGTCAGTTTGTGCTATAACTACTTTTTTTTTTATTTTCTATAACTCGCACCTGTCTTGGGCCAGCGTAATCTCAAGAATTCAAAGTGTTATGATTTCTATAGCTTCAGTTCGTATAAAAAATGGCCAACAAAAGCTCCCAGGGCTAACGATGGCAAGTGAGATATAGAGCGAATCCAACTATTATCAACATATATTGTCCAGGTGTCCCTCAGTTTAGGCATTAATTATGAGGCTCTTGATAGTATTTAACACTATTACTACTTGTGATCCTGCAATATTAAATACCGCTCGACCAAGCTAGAGTGCAGGTAGGCGATACGAAGGATATGAGGGCATAATGCCTCGGGAAATTGGAGAAATGGCTATCTATTCAGTTGCCTTTCACGAGAATTCTGGCAAAGTGCTTGTAAGTCCAATCCCGGGATCTAGTCTGCAGCGAGCTTCTTTGAAATGATTCGTTGTTTACCGATCTCTCCAGTCAAACTAGAGTCTTGTCCATGAAGAGCTATCGACTGTGAATGAGTATTACCCCTATTTTCCCTCGCCAGTCGGGTATTTTTGTTGGTTATTAGTTATATCCCTCAAAACCCAACCTCAGAACCTCTATCAAACCAGTTTCCCTTTACAGAGTATGGATATCAACAGCTTCAGGCATCTGGCCGCCCTCCTTTCATGTCTTTGTCTACCGACAAAACAAGTAACCAGGCCTTGAGTGTGAAAGTAGCCAGGCGGCCGGGTCGGTCAACTCTCCCGCCCCTGGCCTTTATTGTTTATTAGTTATACGTTTGTTTGCGTTCAAAACAAGGCCAGCTGAACAAAGAAAGTTGATCGATCGATCGAAACAATGCTGCACTATAACTGATTTACCCTTGGCAGCCTCAGATGCAAAAATCACCCCTCATGACTCTGGTCAAAACTTGCGCCACTTGTGATTCACCGGGCATCGGTTGATCTGCAGGGTACCTGTGGCTCGAGGCCAAAAGAAAGAAATCATCCCTTTGATGAAGCTGTCACTGTGTGCCATACAATGCACTGCCTATTTGCAGTTACATGATCCAAGGAACGTACATAACAAGACAAACAGGCTTTTTCTCGTTTCCAAGATGCGGCTCAGCCAATCAGAAGATCGGCTCGGGCCTATTCGCGATGTGATCTGAACAATTCAGATTCGGTATGCGGGAGGGCGGAGGTGATGAGGGCTTGATGTATCACCGTGAGTGATATAGTATATATATAGAGTCGCCGTTGAATGAAAGCTTTGTCTGTCTGAGGAAGAAGTTACCAGCGATGAGGGTGGACTCTAAAATATGGATGTGTGCCACCCTCTCTTGCCTCTCTCTTTTGCGGGTGATGTGGTCTATCGCAAGTGTGTTTGTTTTGTTTCCTTGGTTAGGTTTTGCCTGTAGATCGAGATTTAGTTTATAAAAACAAGAAAACGAGCGAGAAGATAGAAAGTCTATGTGCCAATGTGATCTATGTGTTTTTCATTCCCATACTCCATACCAAGATCCTAGATTGAGTGACTGGGTTCGAGTCATAGAACTTGAATGTGAAAGCGACTCCAGTACTCGGGGAATATCTTGCATTGTTTGTACCTCGTATAGTTTCCGAGTTTGGGACGTATGTATGGCTTGGATATGGCTTAAGAAGCGACAAGGTAAAGGGAATTTCCTGCTTTTCCAACATAGCTTCACAGGATGGATGTGCGTTTATACGTGTCCTTCCGCAAGGGGGGCGTATGAAGAATAAATGCATGCTAGTCTAGGCTGGGTCGTTGGGAGCCTGGAATCAGGCCCAGCCACAGTCATTTTATCCATCTAGACTGTGGATATTCATGGGGAGAGATTTTCAAACGTGGGAGAGGCACGCACCCGGTCACCGCTCAGTACACTATCTCGAGCCATTACCGCTAGACAACGGGTGGCCTTATAGCACACGACACGACTTCATCTCGTCTTCTGGAATGATCCTTTTTTTCAATAGTTTCCCGCAATCTAGCGACGGAACTCAGTAAACTAGATGGTTTCGGGTGTTGAGGGGAGGATCTCCCATCATGGCTGCCAGGTGGCTGGCGATAGTAGCGGTGAGATTTTCAAGCAGAAAAAGAGCTGAGGTTCGAATAATTCACCGACACGAAAGGGCTGAACTATTGACTTTGCCTTCCGTCCGTCTCGCCATGCTTCTCCTCTAGCCATAAATCGGAGCTGCGAAGTACATGGAAAGTACTCCGTACGGAGTAGGCCAAACAATGTCAATGAGCGGTGATGGAAGGATTGAGATTGAGCTTGAGGATCTCTGCAACTAGCCCTACGGCAGGTAGAGTCGAAAGCAAGCGGTGTGCTAGACAGCAATAATGGCAATTGCTATTTGCATAGATTACTATGACGGGTCCCTGCAGAAAAAGGAGAAATACGATCATGAATCGCAGCTGAGCTGCTCAACACGGAGTTATGTGATGAACAATATCTTGTTCATGCAGACAAGTTTAAGCAGCTGGCTCTGGACCCTGATATTGACATCGAGCCTGTCTCGGCCCGCCCGAGCCCCATGTATCCATCTCATCTCACCATCGGACCCATCTGTAGCTTCATGCTGTGCGATGATATTCTTCAACGCGGGGGTATCGATATGATGTGTCTGTGGCTGGAGCAGGCAGACACGCATCGTTGATATTAGGCAGTTGGCATTCAAACCAGAGCTCTGGTGTATGCTATTGCAAATATAATGTCTGCAAGGGAAAACGAGTATTCGCCTTGTACTCCGCCCACACTTGGCCGTAGCATTTGTCGACTAGTTATCCCGTACTCCGTAGTGTAGTAAGTCTTCATCGTCGCCGTCGCCGTCGCCGTCGCCTCCAGCTTCCCGCCCTCTCTAGACATATCAACTTACATAATAAAATCTCACGTGACAAGTTCCTTATGATTGGCTGGAGAAGTGCGACTCCTGATTGGCGGAAGGAACGTCCAGCTTCCCCTGAACTGAAGAAACGCAAGCAAAAGCAAAGGGAAAGCAAAGAAGGCAGAAGAAGCGAAGAAAAAGAGATCTCAGATCGCTGGTTTCTTCCGTGCCACGTACGGACACACAGGTTGGATAGCAAACACCTCCTCCGGGATATGCCTGACTCACTGAAATGAAATACTGGGCTAGAAATGCCCTCTTGGGCTGCGCGTTTGGAGACACCACCACCAGTGGGCTCCAGTGCCTGGGGATTCCGGGGTATGCTGTCTCTTCTCAGACAGGACGTTAGTGTGCTCACATAACACTGGAAATGTAAAGGAGACGGGATCTACGGGCATCAGAACAGAAGCCAGCCAAAGATGAAGGGCAAGAAAAGCCACACCCTTGGACCTGCGTCTGTATCCTCCATGAGGCGAGGCGACTGGCGCCCGCCACCGTCAGCTCCCCACGAACTCCAGACGCCTCCCCAGACGCCTCCCTTTTGCCTTCCCGTCTATCAAACCTCCCCCCTCATGGACGAGGGAGAAGGAGGGGCGGGTGTGAGGTCTGACCGCGTCTCATTTCACTTCTGGAACAGCAGAGGGTAAATGTGAAGAAAAGTAAGGGGTAAACGCTAGGAGTGGAGGCACCGAGATGCTACGTACGATGCTACTTTGCACTGCCGAATACACGCCTAAACACCGAACAGACGGATTAAAGAAATGAAATGATCACTACAGGGACCAGTCGGTCAAGTCAGCTTTCGACTCCTGTAGACCGTGCGATGGACTGATGGTTAATACGCATTTCGATCGAGCCTGATCTGATTCGATCTGTCCCAAGATATCGCCACCTCGACATAGCACATTGTCCGTGCATTTTGTGTGTAAAGTACGAGTGTGTTCGTGTGTGTACGAGATAGTCCCTGTCGAACTATCAGGTTTTCTAGCGATAGTTCTAGACAGACATGGTAGGACACCAGCTAGTCGGTCCAGGTACAAAGGCACTTGGTCCCATGGACTCGGGATCTGGCTTTGTCCCGTCACGTCGGGAGAGTTTAACCCTTTTCCACCACAGGTCGGACTATCACATTCACATATTCACAAAAGGACGAACGAACGGGCTGGCTTTTCGACCTCGCTCTCTTTTTCGCCGCCCCCTCCTTCGTTTTTAGCAGCTAACTATTGAAGATCATTGGTTTCATTCGAAATTGCCTTTTTCCTTGATTTGTGACGATTGGAGTCTCACTGTGGAGACGCGGAAGGGAGGGAGGCTGGCGGTCCGTCTTCCGCCCCAAGCCTGCCCGCCATTTGAGTGTGTTGAGTGCGAGAAGGAGGAGATCTGAATGATCCAGAATTCGAACTGGGCTGGCAAGGGCAGATTAATTATTTTAATGCTGCATATTTTAAATACACTAACCTCCATGGCATTAGTTACCCAGTTAGTGCGCACTAACTGTCCCATCGTACATATGATGGGTCGTTTGTCCTCGCCGCTTGCTCCTTTCACGCTCCCCGAGTGGTAGACTTGTTCCCAAGCCCAAGCCCCTGCCGGTGGGGGTCCAGGGTTTTGGGACGTCTCTTGAACCATGTGTGGCCTTTTCAATTCCGCCCTGGCAGGGGGAAGACTTCCCTCGATACGACAGCCAGCAGGGGAAAAGCTGGCAACAAAGGCGAGGATGGAAGAGAAGCTGAATGTGAGGAAGCATAAAAGGTATGCAAAATATGAAGTCCTATTATTATGTGGTATACGATGCTTTCTCGTCGAAATCCCAGCTAATAATATATGGAATATTTGGAGGCAAACCCGTCATCAGCCAAGTGATTCGTTCGCACTGTCTGCAGTTGCAGATGCCTACGATGGATGCAGCGTGTCTTCTCCTCTGTGTCTGTCTCGATCGAAGCCATCGCAGAGAGTTGCCCGCCACTTTGGACCTTGGGCCCTTGATGATCCTTCATTTCATTTCCTCTCCATCCAAGTGTGCGCACACGAACAGCATATGTATCCATTCGTAGCCAGCCCCTCATGGGGTGATTCCCGTCGAGTGGGAAGACTAGCTGCTTGGCTAATAACGGTGGAAGGGCAGCTCGAGAGCATCGCTGCAACGTTTAAGGATTTCAAGAGAAGACATGACGCTAGCGGGAGATGACAGCCTCCCTGACTGGTCTGTTTCGATCAGTCGCTCCCAACTAGTCAAGGGTAAACGACGACTCATCTCGACGATGGTTGGCTCATCTGGTTCACCTGTTACTGTCCTGGTTCTCTGGTTCGCCCTCGTCTTTTTACCTGTGATGGGTATGGCTGAATCGAGCGACTCAGTCGAGGAAGACTAGTAAGGCGGATTTTCGATGCATCTGCAGCACCCACACGTGTATGCAAGGGCAGAGAGTCAGTGGTTCGTCCCTTGGTGATGCTTCGTCGATTCGTGAGTTGAAACGTCGACCTGCAAAAATACACAAAATTCAGGATGGCGATGTGGTGTGCTGCTCTGTAGCGTTGGGCTGAGAAGGCTGACCCCCCTTTTGCCAGTCAACCCAAGGGGGTTACGATGAGCGGATACACTATACACTTTCGATGGCAAGCCATGCTGAATCAATGAGCACCAAGGGAAGGGAACCAGGTAGGAGTCTCGATCGGCCTGGTCAGTCGCCGTTTAATCTCCTCGACTTTCCCCTTCCCCAAGATTCGTTGTCTTAACGGTCTCGACTCCCATAACTCCAGAGATCATCAGCTTAGTCTGTCAACGGCGTCTTTCCAGTGGACGTCCAAGCTACCCTATAAGGATGTACAACGCAACAAAGAGGCTCCGTAGCGCTGGAGCATTCAGACCCAAGAGAAGGGATCAAACCGCCAGACCAATCATCCACGACAGGACGGCTTGTGTACGCTTATTCGAGAGTAATGCAAAAGAAGTAAAGGAAAAAAAAAAAAAAAACCTCCATCGGGCTAAGTAGCCGTCTCTATCCTCCACGAGTCAAGCCTTTCCCAGCCAGCAGAGAGGGAAGACTCCCTATTCCTGGTTTTTTTCTTTTTCAAGTCGTCCTTTTTTTGTGTATTTTATTATTTTATTATTCCTACGGAACAAAAATGACACGGCGAGAAAAGAAAAGCGACAGCTAACAAAAACAAAAAGGAAACGGAACGTACCTAACAAGCTATCGCGGGTCCGATACCGACAAGTCGCTGCCTCACGTTCCCCGGACCAGGGTTGTGTCTGTGTACGATGCAGAGGCACACGCACACAAAGAGTGACCGGCAGGCGTCTACGGGATAGATCGCAAGCGGCGGCAGTTGGATGGTCGGTCTGATGAGACGCTGGTGGGCGGTCAGGTTGACTCTCCCACGGGCCTTTCTTTTGCTTCTGCCTCGCCGGCTCTCTACCACGGAACCAGCGAGAGAAAGAGAAAGTGTGTGGGTGTGGGTGTGCGAGAAAAGCCTGGTCCTGACCGTCTATCTACTCTGCGTATCCGGGGATTTCTGATGCCTCTCCGACTGGACTTTTGACAAAGACAATGGCAGCTGTCCCGCCGGCCCGGCACATTCATCCCCCAAGCGACACAGACGGAACAGCATATAGATATAGAAAGCAGCACATACAAAGAGGGAGCACAAAGCAGAGCACAAACGCGAAGCGAGAGGAGAAAGAACTGAAGACCCGGCGCTGCGGAATAAAGGGAAATAAATGCAAATTAAAGAGGAAAAAAAAAAAGGCTCATAACAATCTAGTCAATCAGAGCGATTGTTATTACGATTATTATGGGTGAGCCGGCGAATGGCGGCTGGCTGACTGGGATAATATGATTTATTTTTATCCTCCGGATGGGCTTCTCTTCCCCGGCGGCCCCCCTTCTCCCCGCCCCCTGCAGTGGCCCTCCTGCACTCCGCCAACGGCTTTTTTTGTTATGGAGCCAGCCAGTCGAAGAGACTGAAAACTGAGAACGACGGAGATGAGATATGGAGCGTTGAGCACGGAGGACTGTAGAAGGCCTACGTACATTTTTGCGCACGGCGTACTTACATGGCTGCCTGTGACCCTGATGCTGCCCGTAACCGGCCCTTGCGTCACTCAACGGCATCGACTCGACCTGAACTCGACCAGCAGTCCCGGCCGGAGCAGGTGGCCGTCACTTCTGCCGTGGCGCGACAAGCCCAGGGACAACAGTGTCCAGTCCGTCCCTATACGAGCCGTCGTGTCGCCTCAACAGACATATACATAATATATCGGTGTGAAGGACCTTTGAACATCGTGCAGGCACAGGTCCGGAACCGGGGAGTTTTTTCATACTTTTCGTTAATTTACGTGCGCCGACCGCTGTTCCTGCTGCTGGCTGGCTGGCTGCCCAAGCCCGGAGCGACTACCCGCGCCCAAAAAAAAAGGGGGGGGGGGGGGGGGGGGGTAGCAAGATGAAGCAGAAGCAGAAGATGCAGTGTCAGAAAATGTACTCCATACGGAGTTATGTTGTTGGTAGCTATATTGCTTCCGGCCAGGGCAGGGCACAGCGCAGCAACTGCAGGCCGAGTTCGAAATCGCACTTAATAATTTAATGAAAAGTGCTATCTGGAGTATCCGAAAAACAGGACTTGTTCGACTCGGTGCACCGGCGAGATCTGTAGTAGTTGATCCCGAAAAACAGGATCTCTCTGGGGTACGTCAACCTTCCTGTCTGCCGGCCTGGTTTCCACAAGATGTTTCCAGGGCAGAGCGCACACTCAAAAAAGATCATACACACATGGTAATATGATTTCACCCCATGAGGAGAAGAGGACGAAGCAAGGGAAAAAGGAATAAAAAAGCAGGATAGCATCGATTCCAACAAAAAAAAGGAAAAAAAGGGAAACAGGCGCCGTCTCCCGATATCTTGTTTACTTGTGTGTAACGGCGGCAGTCAGTTGGGGAGGTCTCACACTACGACGACTCTCTTGCCTGCCGCCATCCCTCCCGTCCGCGTCCATAATCTCCGGGGAGCAAAAGCAAGGGAGAGAGCTTAGAGGTTACAAGGAAATAAGGAAGTGTTGCTGTTGGTCATCCTTCCCCAGGGAGTCATTGCCGTGCTGTGACGAGACCGCCTGTCCAGGCCACGATACAACAAACAACAAACGAGCGAGACCAGGCAGGCATCCTCATCCGTCCCTACTTACGGTGAGGCCACGAAGGGGGTGGTGGTGGTTGTCTTCATCATCGTCATCCAGCAGCGACGACGACGACCCAACAACCAAGCCGTGAGGATGATGCAGTTAGTCACCGCCCGTTGCGCCAGGATGTCTTCCTGCCGCGATGATTAGTCGAAGGGCTGACCAGACCGCCAGTTAAGGCATGGGAACTTGGAATCAACCACACCATCACGACGGAAGTATACGCGGAGTCACTCTCCTGTGTCGAGTTGGAAAGGGTGGTTTGAACTCTTCACGTCTTTGGCTCAAACGGTTCCCGCCCCCTTCTTCTCTCGAGACAGCCTTGGACCTCCCTCTGGTCGGTGAAAAGAGTGTAAATAAAAGCATATACATAAGGAGTCGCCAGGCAGCAGCACCAACAGCAGCAGCAACAGCAGGATGATGAATATGAAAAAAGAGAGTTCTAGGGGAGTCAGGCTCAGGCGTATTTTTCAATACAGACTGTGTAAGTGGACAGCTCTTCGAACCCTCTTGTCCGGCTCAGCGGACCGTTCCATGGGATCTCTAACTACCTGGGGTAACTCCTGCGGCGTATCGTCTGGCCTGCTGCTGGCGAGCAGGCGAGCACGACGAGAGAGACAAGAACGGCCGGAGACGGAGGTTAGGCTTCGCCTTGCTCCCTTCGATGCTCTTCTGCTACTGTGCCTCTTGTCTCCTGGGCTCGTCTCCTGCTACGCTGCCCACTCCCCTACGTATGCTCCCTTTCACCCTTGAGCATGGCTGGGCGTGCGTGTGCGAGGCCACTACTGTTGTATGAGAAGTGGCCTTCATACGCCTCACCCTACGCTAACGACTGGTGTATTATTTATTTGCTTTTGGACCGGGGCACCGGTGTGTGCAAATCCGCTCCACCGCCCACAGTTATTCATATAATAATAATAATTTCATATTTCATTTTTGCAATTTGTGTTTGGTACCATGTTTTATTTTTCGGCTTTCAGTTTTTGCATATGATATAACATTCTTTTTTCCTCCCTTGTCTCTCGTCTCCCTTTTCATTGCTTTTTCCCTGTTCTCCTTGCTTTTCTTTTTGCAAAGATGGCTAATTTTTGCTTTTTTCGCCCTTTTGGCCCTTCGCCCTGGAGTATACCTTGACCTTGCACGAGCTATCATATCGAATAAATATAAGCAAGATGCTCGGCTTCATCCTTTTTGATATATATATCTCTACTGCTCGTCCTCCTCCACAACCAGCCTGACCACGGATCTGAATTGTATTCATATCAACACTAATATAATATACAACGACAGAGAGTTTCTTCTTTATGGCTTGCACGGCTATACAACCACCATCACTCTCATCGTCACTGTCGACCCTGCTATCAGCAGCATCATATACCAGCAGCATCAGCAACAGCAACAACCAACAGAACCTCGACTCACGGAGCTACCAGACCAAGATGTGGCGAGGCTACGGCTTTGGCAGCAGTGCTGCATCCTCTCCAGTCTCACCACCATCGTCTTTCCCACAGCCAGCTCCTCCACCACCATCGCCATGCGACGGGTTGCTCGACATCTACCCTCGCAAGACATCCTTCTCAACCATCTCGGGAAGCAACACCTCCTGTGCCTTCCCCTCGTGGCCCAACCGATCATCTCTCTACTCTGGCTCCGAGGACGACAGCCACGGCTCTGCCTCGGCCTATCTCTCTGACGAGGACCTGTTCCCGATCTCATCTACTTCCTCTTCATCCAACCCGATGCTGGCAGCCATGGAGACCCCCTTCGGAAGCGATAGCTTCGACGACAACGAAAACGCCATCATCGGAAACCCCGAGCTGACCACCGAGGAGCAGATCCGACACATGAACGAAACCGAGGACTGGCGCATGAGACAGTACGTCCAGGCCCAGGCTCAGGCTCGCGCTCTCCAGGCTCTCCGGGCCGCTCAGCTGGCAGCCGTGGAGCATGCGCAGGCTAGCAGACAGCGCAAGAAGCGCGCATCGGGATCGAGCAGCAAGAAGCGACGAGCTCACCGTGGATCTGCCGCGGTTGCCGCTACCAGTGGCGGAAGCAGCTCTTCCTCAACCTCGGCTTCTTCCAAGCATTAGGATCACCGCCTATTATTATTATCGTTATCTACCTTCTCCTTTGTCAGCTCATATGATACCAACGAGTCTACGAAAGCACATGCACAACAACAGCAGCAGCAGCTCTCATCACCAGCAACATCACCGTCACCGTCACCATCCCACCGGCAGCCAACAAAAAAAAAACAGACTTCCAGATGAGTCACTCCCCCAGGGCTTCGGAGCGATGGTGGATGCCCAAGGCTCAGCGAGTTAGGCGCGTTCGGTGGTTTTCTTTTCTTTTGCCTTACACACTTTCGACCTTTTGTGTCTATTTTTTTTTTTACCTTCGACTGTTGGGCATGGTATGGAAGTGCACATCCTGGTGATTGGCCGGCAGGGAGGTTTCACCGCTTCACCTTCACCCGACGAGGCCCGATCATGACCACTCCAGGGCTGCTGTCACCGTCACCTTCGCCGCCAAAAGGCCAACAAACTTCTTCAGAGCGGCTTCGAGTCATCGTCATCGGATCCCTCAGCAGCCTCCGTCATCCCCAGCATCGCCCGCTTCTTCGTCTTCTTCGTCTGCTGCGTCGCTTCCCGTCAGCCGCGATAAAAATAGCCCATGAGGTCCCGAGGCTGACTTGGGAGGGGACTTGCTTATGTCATCAGCCTCTCTCGTCGGCTGCTGTCTGCACGTGGTCCAGGTCACGGGGTTGCCTTGCTTAGTCACCCCCTCACCGCCTCCTTCCTCTTCCTCTTTCCTTCTTTCCGCGCGCAGCCTTGTTTATCCCCTTTTGGCGCCCTTTTTTGATACCCAAAGCCTGTTTTTCTTCATACGAGATACCCGGACTTTTATTTTTTGATATTTTGACCATTAGCCATTCAAGCCCTTTTTAATGTGTGTGTATTTTGTGGTTTACTTTTTTATTTCCTTTGTTGGATTCCCTTTGTCATAGCGATATATACCCTTGAGCGTTGAGCGATACCATCATCATCATCATAGTTAGCAAGCAAATCTAGTCTTTAGCTCCCCTTTAGTTATTAGTAATTCAAAACAAGTCATAAGTCATACAAAACACCGGTCAGCTTCCTCTTCCAGCTCCCTTATTCCTCCTTCTCCATGCATCTCCGGCCTTGATTGTTGTGTAAGCCTGGGAAGCGAGAGCGCATGGCCAGGGTTGTACCATGGATCGGATCTTCCGGACGGCGGTGAGATGGGGGGAGGAAAGTCCTCCGTACATACTCCATACTTACCTTACTCCTTACATACACACTTTCCGATCATTATATGATTAACTTCAAGATTAATAATGACAAGATCGTAAGGGTGCATGGCACTTGATCGGTGAAGCAAAAGTCTTGTCCTTTCTTCTTGACGCCTGCTCTGGTCCCCAAACATCGGTGAAACTCGCATGAGATCAGTGAGAGACCAGGAAAACTAGCCAAAGTAACTCTCCAAATCGAGTCGACGAACCAGTCACGAACTAGCAGGGTTGTCGGACGGCGGCGGGCGGCGGGCGGACGGGCGGGCGGCATGCGTCGCTCATAGATAGATAGATCATCCATATATTCCAAAAGACGTGATGTAATCTTGGTCAACTTGCGACTCGATGTTGGAACCGGAGTCAATGTATTTCGCGTTCATCGAGTATGCAGTTTCCTGTCTTACTCCGGCCGGGGAAGCGCAGCAGCGGCATGAGATGAGGCTGGTGATGTCAGGCTGGGTCGGTGTGACAGATATCTGTCATACAACGCCCATAGTATGTACTCCGTCTGCTCCTCCTACACTGACTTTCCTTGCTCGTGGGAGATGACAAGCATGGGCTGCTGGAGTCGACGATGGGGGGGTGTGCCCCATGCCATGCCCACCCGCCAGCCAGCCAGCCAGCCAGCCAGCCAGCCCACCAAACCAGCCCCTGCCAGAGAAGTTAGAAGTTGGAGACACATAGATGTAATCATCGACGAAACTGGAGATTGATGGAGATGAAGCCAGTGGGCTGTCGGGTCCGTAAGGTAACAAACAGTAAGAGATCGTATTGGGCCGAATTTTGCAAAACGCACACCGTTCAGGGCTGAGACGGAGCCAGACACCGACACCAACAGGTAAAGTGAAGTAAAGTAATGACAGGGTCCGCTATGATATCCCCATGCATAAGTCCGGTTGCTCGTTCGGAGTTGTCGTTCAGAGGGCGTCCGTCGGAGTCGCAGCCAGAGTCGTCGTTTTGGCGGTGATGGATGATGATGGGCTGGCGATGGATGGACCCGAGTACGATGAGCCACACACAACGGTCCCATCTATATAACTTAGACCAAGACATCAGCTACGACGGCGAGGTGCTACCCTGATGGGCTCACCGTTTAATTAGCCAGCTGTACTCCTATTATTAACACACAAAGTACACCGTAAGCAAGTCAGCAAGAGTTCAAGTAAAATAACCATCTCGTACTTTCTCGTTCCTCGCCCTTTTTACCCCGTTGAGAAGACGTTGTCTTCGCTTCTTCTTCAACCGCCCCCGTGTTCGTGTCCTGGAGGAGAATGTGAAACGCCCAGCAGTGATTTAACTTCTATCCGCCGTTTCTGCGCGGTTTGGACGGGAGATTGCCATCCTGCACTCCCTAGCCGTTCGCGGAGGAGCTAGCTGGGTAGTTTGCTTCCTTAGGGGGAAGTTCCTTAATTACTAGTCAGTAACTCGTCCTAAGATCACCAGTTCGCTTGCTCCGAGCAGGGCCCCCTTCTTCATCCTCAGCAATAATGCTAACGGATATACGGGGTACGCGCATTCACATGGAGTTTCCGAGGAGCTCCTAGCTGCGTTTGGTAGGAGAGTCAACCGGCTAGACTAGAGTCTTTATGTAGTTTGTGTCTTGTCTGGCCTCGGTTGGCCGGATAAGGCTGGCAGTGCGCTTTCTCCTCGCCTTCTCCCGTCTTCCTTTTTTGTTCCTTCGTGCTTCCTTCTCTTCCTTTCCCTGCTGCATACCCTTGCCACGTGTGGGGAGCTGCTGGAGGAGTTCGTTGATCGTTGCGCATCTTCTTCAGGGTCCATACAGCCGAGATGTAACCTGTTTGATATTACTTACTGCTAGGTGGCCTCTTCAGACAGAAAGAGTAGGAGACGAAACAGCTTCCCAGTCCTCCTAATGCAACGTTGACTCAGTTGGTACTAGTTGTCTCGCTCGTCCTCGGGGGGGGGGGGGGGGGGGGGGGGGATTTCTGTTCGTCTATTTGTATGTCTGTATTTCAAGTTGTAACGAACGGGTGTAATCTTACACACAGGCAGTCAAATGGCTCTCTCTGGACAAAACACATGCTGCCTGCCTGCCTGTCTGTCTCACGTCTGGTCTAGCCGAGCATCATCTATATTAATAGATTTTATGCTGCATAACCATACATAACTTCACGAGACTTCATCAGCACCCCAAGCCGTCCTCGATTGAGTTGATCTCAGGATCCTGCCACGTGCCGCTGACATTTGAATATGGCCGTGCATCAGCGGTCCCTTCTCTTTGGACACCCATGGGTCCCCTGCGTGCTTCGTTCCCGTCGTCGATAGGCAAAGTCTGGGTGGGAGTGCATGATGCACGTTGACCGGCTATGGTATCTCTCCGTCTGCAAATATGACGGTATCATGTTGATACTGTGGTTTCCAAGATGTGTGCCATGAGTATTGGTGCTAAGTATGGCGAGCCGAATGTTCAGGTGCTGCTCCCGTCGGTGGAAGGAGTAATATGAAATATTTTCAAATGGATACGGCGCTCCTCTGGCGGGAGGTCAAGAGCAGATTCACAGCCTTACATATACAGCATGTGGCAGATATATTGGTTGTGTCAATCATACTTGTCAGGCTGCCTCCCAAGGCTATATATATAGCCCTTTTTTTAATTGACCATTTTTCGTACCATCCACATATTGGTATTTTTGCATTCTCACAGTACAGGACCAACGAGATGAAACTTCACTCCATCGTTCCTGCTTTGCCAAAATGAGATATGAAAATGGAAGGAGAGAAGAGGAGCATCGTTCTTGCCTCCCGTCTTTTCTGTTTGTTTGTTTATTTTCTCCTCTTTCCGTCACTTCTTTGCTTGTTACTTGCACTTTCTTCTTTCGGGCCAGTTAGCCATGGATTCCGCGGTCGAGACGGCATAAAACCTAAAACGGTTCGAGCTAGCTTATATTCTATCCTTTCATCAGCGTGTATAATCTTCTGTCAGCGACTTCCAGCACCCGTAGTCATGCTTACAACGTATATCTATGATATATGCTATGATGACAACCTGATTTGCACCAGGAAAACGAACAGGGAGAAAAAACCGGAAACCTGGATAGTAAATTCAGTCAACTTACAGTCGGATGTATATATGCTGACTGGAACTATGGATTCTTCGAGTAGAAATAACAAAGGAACGAATGCTGTGCTCCTCGATTGTAACCCCATTTCCCTCTAGCTGAAGCAACAGAAAGGGTAAAATAGGATGGCATGAGTAAGATTGGATCTTGAATGTCATATCCATGGATGTAGAAACTCTTAGTTAAAGCTTGTAACTGATGTCAACATGTATGCTTGCTGATAAATAAGCACCAGAAAGCAAGCCGTTGGCCCTCCGTCGACAAAACTGCTGGCAGGGTGACTCTGCAGGATATCTGATACGCTCAAGACAAAGGCAAAAAGAGCCAAGTTCCTGGAGACCCCAGACAAACGCCCTGAAAAAAGGGGGTAAAAGGGCGATGTCTGGACTGCGGTTGTGGCTCGGGAAGACGGTTGAGCTTCCTTTCGGGGTCCCACCCTGAACCACAGAACCGGAAAACTCAGCAACTCAACTTCAACGTCTATCTTCATCATCATCTCATCTTCACCATTCATCTCCCCGCGTCTTCATTCTTCTCAACAGCTTGATGCCTATCTTCCCGGAGTACTACTCCTAAGGGGCCCTCAATCAGACATTCTGTGAGAGCAATGTCATGCAGTTTGGGGGCCGAGTAGCTAGCAGTATGCAGCGTGAGGCAATACCCCCAAGGATGAAGATCCTGAATCATACATTAGTTAATCAGTTGACCTGCTAACAGACGTTTCATCACTGCCTGTAGCAACGCCATCGACCTTTGTTCGTCCAGATACCGTCTCGTTATGGACCTGATGCTGCCTGTTGAGAGGAAATGCGCCCGGCGCTGCGGCTCAAACTCCACCGCAAGGCCAGTTGTGTTTACAAGCATCTGAGACCCCGCCTGAGGTCCATTCAAATAATGGGGTATTTGAAGACACCTGATATCGCGGCTAAGGGCTAAAAATATCCCAGATAGCTAGGAAAGGAGGCGGCCGGGTATACAGGCATCCGTGGCGCAGCGACATCAGGGTTGACATATTATTCACGCTGTATATGCGGTTTCAAGCAAGGACCTGGCTTCCCTGAACCCTCCTTGGCCCTCCTCCAAATGAACACAAGCGACTGTGTCGGAAATCAGCTGTGATAATGACCCTTTATGAAGGGGAAACGGGACTTGTTTGGTCGTCGATGATGAAGAATTGGATTTTTTCCCTTTCTGTGTGCAGTAAAGCTTGACCAATCAGTTCGCAGCTTACATGGGTAGACAACGAGAAAGCTACGCCTTTCGTACGACTCGGAGACTATTTCTTCCTCCATAATAGGCCTCTTGGCCATTCAGGCACCAAACGTCTATCGTACGTCCATCCTGACGTTGGAATGTGGTCATCCTCGTCAGAGGCCGCGAGGCCGCAGTGGCTAGCGAGCGAAGCCTTAATTCCCCATATGCACGGCATCAGCTCACCAAGACACACTTGGGCGATGCTGGCTAAGTCTATCTAGTCAACTAGCTACACGTCACGCACGGGGCGGATTGGTGGGCTTAAATCTCGAGAAAGAAACGATTGCTCCCTTTTCCCTCGTCTTTCGTTACGAGCTGGCCCTCTCTGGATGGCGTTGTTCGCCTTGGGGGCAAGAAGCGTCGCTCCTGAGCACCAGCGAGTGCTCATGCAACACATGCGATGATGTGTGGAGCCGGGCCATCACCTTTAGTCGAGATGTGATTGGGTTGTTGCTGTGATGCGGGCTGCAGCGTGAAGAACTCTCTGCAATCCCTCGAACCAATCCCGTTGCCGAAGAACCTGAGAGCGACGGACACTAACTGTGATCCTTGTCTCTTGGCTACTTTCATCACTTCCGGCCCCACGCTCTTCACAACCCGGCGAGTATTGAAGCCCTGACGAGGCGTCTCATGCCTGCAGACGGCAGTCGAGGAGGACACGCTGTCTAGCCTGGATGCTCAACGAGAACCGCTTTCGAGGTCAGGCGAAGGTCGGCTAGCATGATGTACCAAACATATTGGTTTGCGATGCTATTGTCCTTTACAGATTAACAATGACATTTCGCTTTCGCATTTTGCATGAAGTAGGCGCCCTCACTGATAGAGATCGACTCTACTTGCTTTTTTTCCTTCCTCCCCTCCCGCACGGTTATCTGCATTCTTATCCATCCGGCGGTCCTTATCTCGAGCTTGACGGCGAGCCTGGCATATTATATTACTGCATATACTGGCTTTTAACACAAGGATTTGCCAGTTAACAACGAGAAAGTCAGCGGCCAACGGAGCACAATCAGTTACGCTCCACCAAGAGATGGGCGACGTTAACTGGTGAATAATGGAAGGTTCATCCACGGCCCTTCGAGAAGTCCAAGTGGTTTCATAACTCTGGCCGCCAACCTCAGAAGGCTCTCTTTAATGGTCAACCTGCACCATTCCATACTAATATTGGTTCAGTGAAAAGTAGACCCATGCCGGCGCTTATTGGTGCCCACAGCGAGCTCTACCCTTGATTAACCAGCCACCCTCCTTGAAGCACAGCAAGCTCGAAGGGAAAACTGCTCGCCCCCAGCAGCGCTAGGTCTTAGCCCCCGTCCACCCCATTCGTACCAGCCGTCTCCATTTAAGGTCAGGTCAACACGATACCAAGCACAAATAGGAACTGCGAGACCTGACCTCATTGCCCGGTTGGACTATCATCTATATTTACTCATTTTCTTTAAGGTTCTGGGGGTCATCGATGTTCTCTTTCCGGCAAGCGTTTCACTCTTCCATCGACTAACCCCTTCAGAGGCCCTCTTCCTCGCATCCCTTTTCTCTCCAGCTTCGGATGACTGATGTTGATGGCAGATGTCTCTTCCTAAAGAGTCTCTTCCTCTGTGCTCTTCTACTCTCCATCTCTCTCTCTCCCTCCCTTATCTTAAACCTTCGACATCCGTTTATATTGAGGATTTAGCCTGTTAGATCTTCGACTCCGTGCATATCTTTCTTTTACGTTGACTTTCCCGTTGGACTCCAAGCGCCTAACTACTCTCTGCCCCGCGGCGCCTATTTCATTTTGCGACCTTGTTTTCGATCTTCCAGTTTCATCTCATCTTCGAATAATAACGCCTTGCAGTCTTGTTCCATAACCGCTGTGAAAGAGTTTAGCCGCTGAGTCTCTTACTATTGTTCATGCAAGGTTAAGGCGCTGAAGGCGCCTACGGATCCCTCCGCAAAGTCAGTCAGGTCTCCAAGCGCCCTCCTCTTTTCTCCTGCCGTCTTATCATAAACATTCTCCTTTGCCTCTTCTTCTACTGTCGCCGCTTTCATTCCTTTTCGTCCTGTTCTTCTTTACCGGCTGACTCAATGCGCAGTCCTCCTAACTAACGCCTCCAACAGACTCCTTTCCCGTGAAAATGTCTTCCGAGCACTATGGAGTGCGGATGTCGACATCTTCAGGCTCGCGCTCAGCTTCGGGCGCCTTACTATCAAGCCCTCCTATCGAGTTAAATAATGATCTCAGCCCTTGCGCCGCTACCGCATCATTGTTTCTATTCTCACAAGGCCCGACTGTCATCGCTCTGCATCATGACAGCTTGGCCGTGGACCGGAGGTTTCACCGTCATCGCGACGATGTTCAGATAATAGCCGTTGATAATGTTAGTGAAAGAGGGGCTGGACGTTTGGTGGTTAGTTATGACATTGGCCACACTGCGATAATATGGGATCTTTTCACCGGTCAAGAAATTACCCGGTTTGTCTCATTTGAACCTATCAGAGTTGCTACATGGCTTCGAAATGGACATGTTGCATTTGGTTAGTTGTGCTTTTTATTTGGACCCGGAGGTAATTCGCTGTCCAGAGCTAATGAGTGGATTGCAGGAAACATCAAAGGTGAAATCATATTGTTTGAGCCGTCAACTTCGGAACACATATCTGCCCGCACGATATTTGATCCAATCACTGCTTTGGCTCCAACAATGGATTGTAACACCTTTGCCATAGGGTAATTGCAAGATCGACCCCCGAGCCATTCATGCTCCTACTGACTTTGAATTGATTAGATATCTCAACGGCTCCATCCTAATTGCTACCCTTCTTCCAACATTTACCATTTTGCACACCCTCACAACCACTAGGGGCCCATCACCTGTCATTTCTCTTTCCTGGCATGCTTCTTCGACCAAGCAGAAAACCGATATGTTGGCATCCCAAACTATAGATGGTGATTTATTTGTTTGGAGTGTAGCCAAGCAGCCATCCACGGAATCACCTCGAGTTATAAGAGCTTTGAAGAAATCGGAATCAAATAACACCAGTCCCAAATGGTTGGCTTGGTCGAAGAACGGCCGCATTGTTCAGCATAACGATGGGTTAGCGACAATCCTCAGAGACCATACCCAATTACTCTTGAAGCTGCTAACGCTTAATATAGGGAGAGTTTGGCGTGGGATGTCAGAACCAAAAATGTTTCGTATGAAACAATACCAACCATCCAAGGTGTTCAAGGTATAGCAAACTATGGGCCTACTGCTACACTTTTCACGATGGGCCCGAATCATACTATACAACAGTATGATGTAGCAAACGCCGTAATGGTTGCAAATGCACAGCACGTTCCGCAGAAACCAGATCTACCTGTCGAGCAGCCCCCAGCTGCCGAGAGTGCCCTCACAGTCGAGACTTTGGCAAAACACACTGCATCTGAACAGAAACACAAAAGCCGTCCATCACAAGGGTCTTTGCCTGGCGTTGAGTCTAAACTTGACTTGGTTCGTGCTGAGGCTTCAAAGAGTCCGGGATCAGGATACAGTGTGCCTATTTCGAATGGCTCTAGGCCCCGGAACCGCACACCGTATGCTCCTCGCCCTCCTGGCTCCAATTATAGTGGTTCAGCAACCACCTTCTCCCTTGGGTCTCCTAAGATTGCAGATATACGAAGATCACACATGACGATGGCCAGTGGCGTGGATGAGCAGATAGATCAGATCTCGCGCTCAGCGCACTGTTTCTATTCCTGGAATTTGGGATGACCCGGTTACCGACCTCTTCCCCTACATACGCGTTCGATTAAATAGCGTATCAATAAATCCTTCTCGCAGATTTGATGACCCAAACCTTGGACCGGATGAACTACGAAGGCAGATGTTGACAGTGATATTTGGATGGGAGGGAAACATTGAAGACCTGATACGGAGTGAATGTAAGAGATTACCTGGATGTTCCTATATTCCTTCTTTCATCACCAGCTAACGATGTTTATTAGTCAAACAACATACCTATGGCTCACAACACTCTGCTATCCTAGCAAGGTGGCTACTTCCATCTGAGTCTGATATAATGGCGCCTATGGTTGAAGCATCAACCTCTTCGTATGTCAATTGGATGATCATGGCCCTTAGCTTATTGACCAAGAAAGAAGCCTCAAAGGAGCCTGGCCAGGCACTTGCGAAAAAACTCATAGCTTCCAATGACCCCCACGCAGCCGCAGCGGTCTTGATGGGTATTGGGGAAGGAGAACTTGCTGTTGAGCTTTATGTGTCCAGGAACCAGTTTATGGAAGCCGTGCTTCTAAGTTGTTTGTTGACACCAGCTGCATGGTCCAGGCAATCGTACCTTGTTCGCAAATGGGGAGAACACGCGGCTATCAACTCACAGCAGCACTTAGCACTGCGTTGTTTCTCCTGTACTGAAACGGCAAATCCCGTATCTTGGAAAGGCCCTACAAGTCATCCCTCTGGCTCCAACCCACCCTCAGAGAAAAACCAAGTGGCCCCAATGAACGGCCCACCTTTGAATAACTTATCACCAACTTCTCGTCTCAAGAATCAATCTCTGAAGCTCATAACTTCATTTGGTTCAAATAATAACTCTACCTTCCAGTTCCCTGGTCTTGCCTCTGCCGATAGAACCCCTACCAATATGCCCGGGGTTACCCCAATCGATGCTGGGCTAGGAGACCAAATGTTTTCTCCCGGAGGTCACAATAGTAGCCTTCGCCCAGGTGGTCACCGAGGTCAAGGAACCACTCCAGTTTCTCGTACCCATCCTGCAAGCTTTGGAAGGGAACGTCTTCCGTCCATCGGAGAGTCACCAAACGATCCTACCCCAACTGTATCAGCACCCAGGAGCCGCCTTCCAGTTGACCAGTCATCCGAATCCGACAAAGAAATAAGAGTGATTGACGTGCCGCTTGTACCTCCACCAGCGTCAAACTTGAACCAAACTACTACGGAGACCCTTGAGTATTTAACGCCAGCCAGATACACCCCACTAAATGAGTCCATGAAGGAGAAGGAAACGCCCATGACAGCCGTACCACCGGATAGGACCCTGAGCTCCTCTTCGGGCCGGGAAAACAAGCTGGAGACTGCATTAGGACAGAATCAGCGTAGTAGCAACGGCTCACAATCCCGGAAACCTGATGGGCTGCAGATTCAGTGGCCTCCTGTGGACGATCAGTCATCAGAGGACCCGCCATCGGAGGAGATGTATTATCAACAGCCGTCCTCTAACCGCCGAAATGGCGAGAGGGGGGATGGTGTGATGAGTCCGACTGCCTCTACCAGAAGCGCAAGGTCAGGTACAAGTGTACCATTAAGTGCAAAAAGTCTCGACAAGTATATCAGCAGCCTTGATGGAGCCAGTTATCATGCTCAGAGACAAAAGCCACACAGGAAATCTGGCTCAAGAGCAAGCTCGAAGGACCCTAATGGACGTGGGAGAAGCAAACAGAGATATATCCAGCCAGCTAAGAGGTCACCATCATCACCCATTCCTATGTCACCAGAGGACATTGCTCTCTACTCGTCCTCTTCTAAAGACTACGTTGGAGTTCGGCCGCCGTCGCGAAACGGAAGGAAGAGTAGTCGAATGCGCAGCAACAGTCCTGGAGTTAGAAGCCGGGTATCAGGACGAAGCACAAGCAGACGCCGAGATTTCGATCGCTCAATAAGGTCACCAACCTCCCCTGTGCCCATGTCTCCCGCCGAAAGCAGTGGAGATATCGACCACAGGTTCAGACTATTGAATGCTGAGCGGAAACAGCGTTATAAATCCAGAGAGCGGAGTGCAAATAGACGTCACGATCGTAGTAGAAGTGCGCCTCGATACTCTTCATCCGAACAGAGGAATGGAACCGGAAAAGATAGTGATACCAGTGGAGAAACTGGCAATCGTTCTGATCCAGTCTACCCGGCATATAACTCTGATGAGCAATCCCAACCACAGCTGCCCGGTCATAACCAAACTGACAATCAGCTTGATGAACACGGCAGGAAACGGTCTGCTGCGGCAGAGCTTGAGGCTCGCCGTCAATCTCTAGCTCGTCGGCCTTCTGCTCCTCCCATTCCTCTCCCTGGAGAGGCAAGCCTCAACCAAATTCTCTCTGGTCGTCCTTCTCCTTCTCCCGGCCTCCAGACTCATGGTAGATCCAATAGCTCTTTTAGCCAAAGGGCCATGTCTAAAAGCACAGGGCCTACTCCATCTAGCCTAAATGAGCGCGTTCCGTTTACCATGCCAATTGGACTTCCTGCTACCCCTAGGGCTATGAGACATCCTAAATACAGCACCGGATACAACGACTCTGAGGCACCTGAAGTACCTGAAGTACCACCCCCGGATGCATTCTATAGCTATGAGAGAAGACCATCTTTCAATATCCCCCGCTCCATGTCTGCTCCAATTCCAGCGGAAGATGGTATGCCAACTCATCCTCATTTCCAGCGTCAACTTCCTAGTAGCCGGACAAACCGAACTCCAGGTCACAAACGTGAGCCGTCAAACGAGGGTATGACGCTGGAAAATTCCCGAGTAGAGAACCTACGAGCTGAGCATACCCGTATACCCTCCGGTCCACCGCCTCCTCTCCTCCCTGAGTTGCAACATCTACATGCCACTGCTACTCCTCCGCCGCCGCCACCTCCACCGGCGCCTCCATCACGCCAACCACCGCCGCCAGCTGCATCTGTGCAAAATGATGGTCCAATGCATGACGAAGGGCGAAACTCCCTCATCTCTGGAGTCGGTACGATAAACATTGCGATCGACGATTCTCACAGCCCCGGGCTTTTTGGTCCCCCTAACCCGAACCCCAACTTCCGCGCAGCATCATTGCCCGCACATCAGCAATCGCTGCACCAGCTAGAAGGCAACATGAGAGCATCTGCTGATCCCCACAAACGAGGCAGGAGTGTCAACGATAATGTACAATTCAAGTTTCGCAACCTTACTGACCGCATGAGGAGCTCAAGTCGACCCCGTAATGGACGTTCCCCTGCTTCAGACCGACAGGATGTGTGTTCTCCATACGAAAGCCTGGCGATAAACGGTCCGATTGAAAACAGAATCTAGTTTAATTAATTCCTTTTTTCTATTTCGCATCTGAGTTGTTGAAGTGAGTTTGAGTGTGGGTGCTTGTTTAGATACCGATACCCATTTTACTACTCAATTCCTTGTTACTATTTCTATTCATTTTCCAATTTTCTTTGGACCACTTTGGTAATTATCTTACGACCTGATCATATGTCTATCTCTCGAGCGATGTTTTCTGGTTTATGTTGATGTCTTAGTGGTATTCACGGGCTTGGCTAATCTTCGCCCTATTTGATCCTACCTAAATTCTTACGGTTATTCTTATTAATGACCCATTTATCTTTATCACCGGTCACTTTTAGCTATCCGCCGCTGTCTATCTAAACGGGCCGAAATATATTCGCTATATTGTAGATATTAATCAATTGAATCAGGAGCTTGATAATAACGTTTTATCCACAAACTCCAGTTATAGAATCATGCTAGATTTTGCATTGTTATGCCTATTGTTACATAGAGAATTGGTATATTGATTAAAATTTTACAAGTACGTTATTATAGTAATAAGGTGCGACTCGCTGCCATTAATCTGGCGACTCTACCATCCCGATGAGGAAGTGTTATTACTCCCACTGTTTGAAGAGGAATCACCCATGGATTGCTGGCGAATACGCGCCCAGGCACTTCCGGAGCGTGGGGTAGGGGATGATGATAAGTCAGTGGTAGATGTGAGCTCTGGGCTTACAGGGCTTGCATCGTCATCCCAGAAACTCTTCCCCTCTGTACTAGAAGTAGAGTTGTCGCGAGCGGGAGGGTATGTCTGCTGTTGTCTCCATTCTCTCGAATAATCATTTGTGCCAGGATATGAAGATGAAGTGGAATACTCCGAAGTTTCTCCCTGTCGATAGGTCTCTCTGAGGATTTTCGAATCCCCCATGGTTGACTGGTTGCTATATCCTGCCTGTATGTCAGGCTGGTAATAGGAAGATTCAGTGGTTCCTTGCTGACCATATGTGTTCGTAGGACTGGTATCATTGGCAGCATAATATTCCGAACGTTGAGGCTGAGGGGCAGGATGCACATTGTTACGTTGGCGACGAGCCGCTGCTAATCTTTCTGCATTGTGCCGCCTAATACGAGCCATAACCTCCTTCTGGTCTAATTGTCCAACCTCCTTTAAAAGAGGAACTAATCTGGGGTCTGTGGACATACTGATTTTGGAAAATGCCTCACCGACGACCTCACCGATGGCGAGACCAACAAATCCAAATATCGGCAATATAAATGAAGCTCTTATGAGTCTGCCTTTCAGTTCACCTGGGTTCAGCTTGAGTAGAGGTCGACTCTGATTTGGAGTAAAGTGTTCGCTGGCTGACTTTTTGGAGACTGCCTCTTCTGCAGCATTTTTCGATTTTGCAATAAACGATCCTACAGCTAGGCCCGCAACCCCTCCGTAACAAGGCATGTTCTGCATAGTCGAAGCTTGCGAAACTAACGCATCCGTCTCTTCTTGGGTTGGGAACCGATTGGTGATCACGCGGATGAAGTCCAAGCGGTCTTCGATTAGGCGGCCAATGCTTCGTTGGTAGTTGGCCTCGGTCCAGTAAAATATCCGCTTGATGAGGCTAAATGGCGGCAATTCAACTCGTGTGGGATATTTGGCAAACCGAGAAAGCTGTCCGCCTTCTGAATACTCGGAGCTTGAGAAGTATGAATCGCTATCCGACGGTGGCGAGTCGTCCGAAAAGCCTGTTTGTTGCGGGTTCAACACCATGATTCTTTCACCGGAGATATATTGGCTGAATCGAGAGGTATATCTTCGGAAGTCGTGGAGAGGAGGCTGTGATATCCCGTCACAGTTGGAGTTGTTCAGCTGTTTGTTGCTCGACGTTGATATTTCCAAGTTTGTCTCGGTGTTTATTGATTCTGCTTAGTCAACAATCATGTGATACTATCTTTATCACGTGATAGCTATCACTTATGTAATGGGACGTTTTGTTACATAAGCATATTATTATTTTGTTTTTATTTTCTTGTCGTTTCTTTTTCCGGCCTTCAACCACGTCCAGATCCCAATGTTTTTGCATCCAACAAACACGGAGAAAGCAGGCGGTTGGTTCGCCTCGCGCGCCTAACCCGCAATGAAGGAGCCTGCTTGCATGCTCGCACCAAATTGCGTTGCTTGACGGAGTGCGAGCTCTGATGTTGGACAGCGCGGGGGCCAGCAATGATGGAGGAGGACCTAGTGATGTTTCTGCCACGCAGGCAGCCTTCGGTTTGTCCTGACCGCGTGACATGGACGTCGCCCCGTGAGGAGAGATGCAAGTTGAAGTACTCGCTGCCCTTGTCCTTGAGCAGTATAATAGCTCTCTTGTGTCTCTAAAAAGCCAATAAGTGATGAGTGTTATATCCTCTCAAGCAATGGAGTAGCTCTGTGGCAGGCGGCTGTCCACCCATGCTGCAGTGGACCACGCCTGGATTTTTGAGACCACCCCAGAATACAAGTCCGGTCCGAAGACAGAACTAGTTAACTAGCCAACTACCTATTGCATACCAAGCCGCTGATGTAACGCGGATATGCCCTCCAGCTGACGATGTGTAGCCAGTAATATCAAATGGCTTTGCTTCACTAGCAAGCAGCCGATTGCTACTTGGTCTGACCATCAAGTAGACCGTTCCCCCGCTCGAGGCCTCAAATTTGGGGCTTTGTGAAAGAGAACTTATAAATGGGACTGTCGTTCCAGAATGCCCGGGTCCCTTCCATGTTTCCCAAGGAGAGGGTGCATAATTTGGAGTGTCGAATGTACTCTTGAGACCTCGCCTTCTCTTGTCATTGTCTCCCTTTTAGGTTGTCACTAGCTGGAAATATACTCAGTCAACATGAGGCTCAATTTCGTGTTTCTCGCACCTTGTCTTGGGATACCTATCATCCATGGAAAACCTATTGAACAAGGGCAGAAAGAACCTGCTTGCCGAAAGACGAAAGTCGCAATCCTTTATGTTTCACTGACAATTTTTGTCATTTTATTTGCTGGTATACTTACAGAATACAGAGGTGCAGGTGTTGCTGGGATTACTACTGCGGTAGGCTCTCATTGCCTCAGTGCTACATAGTAATGAATTTTGAGGAATTAACCGAAGATACCCTGATCAATTTAGCAAACACTTGCAAACCGATCGATGACAGATTTTATCATTGTTGAATACCAAGATAGAATTGGCGGGCGTTTACATAATGTCAAGTTTGGGAAGAAGAGAGACGGATCCCCATATACCGTTGAGGCTGGTGCAAACTGGGTAGGCCCTTTATTGAGATAAACCCCAGATTATACCAGAGCAAAACTAGGTTAACTATCACTTCATATACAGGTTGAAGGGCTAGGCGGAGGCAACCGCCCGGAAAATCCGATATTCACACTGGTATGTAAAGCTTAACACAAGCAAATTACAGTTTTTTGTTGAACTGGCCTGACTAATGCTACTTCAAGGCTGAAAAATACAAACTTCAAGCCCTGTAAGTTGTTAGCAATATGACATTCCACTAAAGTTGCTTATCGCGTCCATACAGGGCGACAGACTATGACAACAAAACAACATACGATAGGACCGGCAAGAATGATTTTTCCAAGATAATAGCAAATGCAGCATCTGCTATGGAAAAGGTGGTTACTCATGCCGGGTCAATGTTAAAGAATAATATTCAAGACAAAACTGTCCGTGCGGCCCTTCGATTTATGGGATGGAATCCAGCTGCGAATAATGCACATGCACAGTTTGCAGACTGGTTCAGCAGTGACTTCGAATCTAGCTTCACTCCAGAGGAGAATTCTGCAGTTTTCTCCTCTGTTGCCGACAACGCCACTTTCAAACACTTTTCCGATGACAACCTTTTCGTCTATGACCAAAGGGGCTACAGTAAGTAACCCCCCCTATTCTTTCGGCTTTCGCTTTTGACAAGTTGGCTATTTGAAACTACTAGGTACCTTTATAAGAGGCGAGGCTGCCACATTCCTTCAGCCCAATGATCCTAGACTGCTCCTGAATACCGTTGTTCAGGTTGTCAACTACACGGACAACGGTGTGACTGTCGTAACCAACGACGGTGGCTGCATCCAAGCTGATTATGCAGTTGCAACATTTTCACTGGGAGTTTTGCAGCGTGACGTGGTACAATTCTACCCTCCATTCCCTAGCTGGAAAAAATCTGCCATCTCAAGTTTTGAGATAGGCACATATACTAAGATATTCCTTCAATTCGACAAAGCATTCTGGCCAAACAGTCAGTATCTTATGTACGCTGACCCCCGTGAGAGAGGTTACTACCCCCTTTTCCAACCGCTAGACCTTCCGGGTGCTCTCCGAGGCTCTGGAATCCTTGTAGGCACCGTTGTGGGTAAACAGGCACGCAGAGTCGAAGCCCAAACAAACCAGGAGACCCAGGATGAAATTATGAAAGTGCTTCGGATGATGTTTGGAGAAAACATCCCTGACCCAACTGCTATTTGGTATCCACGGTGGAATCAGGAGCCCTGGTACGTAGGCAGTCTTGGATTATTATAGATTATTTGCTAACTATGCACAGGGCCTATGGTTCCTACTCAAACTGGCCTCCATCAACCAGTCTGCAGGCACACCAAAATCTCCGTGCAAACGTTGGCCGACTCTTTTTTGCTGGTGAGGCGACAAGCCAGGAGTTTTACGGCTACTTGCACGGCGCTTTATTTGAAGGCCGTGCAGTAGGACAGATGCTGGCCACTTGCATTAATGATCCAGTGCGGTGTACGGATAAGTATGGGCAACCACGGTACCCGATACTCACTGGAGTCACTCCTTATGATCTATATAATGAGAAAAATGGATGGTTTGTGAGTACGATAGCTTGACACTACGTTTTAGATTAGAGGAATGTTAACAATTTTTTGTTTGGGAGTATTCAATGTTAGTTCCAGTAGCTTAGGAGGGAGGCAGGTTGACAATTTTCCGTATACACCATCAATTATGAAAAAGGCTTGAAGAAAGGCTGAGAAGCTAAGTTAAGTAAGTTACCATTTCTCTACGTACGGACGTAGATCAATCTCATGTGTGAATGCCGTTCTTGGCTGGGAATGTAGGTGCCAGTATGTTTCGGCAATCTAGTTTGATAAATTAGCACCTCGAGCAGTGCTGGCTGCAGGGAAGACTCAGTATCAGACACCTGGATACTTACAGCATCAGGGTTTAGCTTTGAATCAGGAGAGCCAAATTGGATATGGCTTGTCCGTTCAATGTCGATAACTCCATCAACAATGGCATGACAGACGTGTATGCCCTTGGGACCAAACTCTCTAGCCAATGACTGCGCCACAGCTCGCAAAGCAAACTTGCCTGACGCAAACGATGAGAATTTTGCTGACGCCTTGAGACTTGCAGTGGCACCTAATGATCTAATATCAATATGTAATGTATACTAATCAGATGTTCGGGTACCAATAGTTACCGGTAAATATCAATGTAGGAGGAAGCTCCAGCTCAGTAGCCTTTTGGAGCCGTGGGATGGCAGCCTGAGAGAAATGGAAGCCTCCCAATCTTTGATAATGAAATAGTTAGCCTAAGGTATCAATTGATAGCTATGACCACTGCTCGGGGTTAAAGGAACAGATACCCATTAGTTTTGAATCCCTGAGTGAACTCATCCTCGCTCAGCTCCAGGAAGGGCTTTACAGAAAGGCCTCCGCCAACATTGTATACAGCAGCAGCGAGCAGACTGCCAGGAAAAGCCTTGTCGATCTCCGCAAATGCACGGTTAATGCTGCTTGCATCTGATACATCTGCACTAAACCCGACGGCTTCTCCACCACCTTTAATGATATCATCGACAACTCCCTCGTAGTTCTTTGGGTTGCGAGCCAGGAGAGCTACTGGGTAGTTTTGAGAAAAGCGGCGAGCAATAGAAGCTCCCTGGTAGTGAAAGATCAGCATTATTAACACTATGAAGTGGATACATAGGGCGTGCATGGAACCCAACATACCGTCCCCGGGCCGACGCCTGCGATAACAGCCACTGTCTTTACTGCCATAGTGTTTGTTATAGGCAGCTTGACAAGATATTTGATGACGACACTTGCTAGGTGTTGTTATGGCAAGCTGAAGTTGGGGTGGCTAAGGATGCAACACGTACGTAATTGCAGTCTGTTATAGAGATATTCAAGAAATCCAACTCCTACAACCGCTGTGCTTCTTCATCTTACTGCAAAGAAGGTATGGAAAAGGCTCAGGGTTTGTGGTTAATCAGCTATGCGGAGTATTAGTGAGCACGGAATTGCCCAAAGCCTTAACTCCGGGCTTACGTCCGTGTGTAACCTATACACGGTTGAGCCCCTCACAGAGCTCTTTATTAATACCAACCCTGGGGGCATTTTTCATGACAGCAAGCCTTGCTTGACTCCATTACCAACCATGGCCGAGAGGTACTTAGCGAACCCGCAGCCTCTTTGCCATGGCTGGATGATCAGTTCACCACCTACCTGTTACTCAGTAGTTGCGGCCCGAGGGCACGGGGCGCCTTGTTTCCGTTCACTAAAACAAAAGACGCTCGCGATTTTTGATAGCTGCTGATGACGTCTCATCTTCATTGTTACCATTTATCAGAACCAGAAACTCCAGAGCTACTTTAACCATGCCGTAGATCTGTGGGTAAATGAATTCCTTAAATCAAAATGTTTACGGACTTTTTGTAACCTGCTTGGAAGTTCTGGGCCTCGGCAGTTCCAACTTTGGAATGGTGGGAAACCTTAATTCACGGATCAAAGTTAATCCATAAGCTTTAGAAGTTCCACGTGACATTATCGAAGTGGGTCCTCGATTCTTATTTGGTTTCTTCAAGTTCTGGAACGACAACAACCAACATCAACGACAGCTTCGTTTAGTTGGCGAATCCATGGGGATAGGGAGTCTTCCATCTTGCCGGAGCGTTCGTTGGCGTCCGAGACCTTGGATCAGCTCTTTATCTGGGCTTTTAATGGTGGAAGTTTTTCCCCGAAATGACTACGTCTGGTTCTGGTCTCCTACACTATGACCTAAAAGTGGTGTCCATGTTGATGGCCAATTCTCCACTGCGTCATCCACTCATGCGTTTCTCATCACTGGTCAACAGGTTCTGTCGTTAGTTGAAAGTACATAGGACATATTCACCACTGGCTGATACTATGTCCGGTTATTCTATAGGGACCATTTTGATTTGGATACATATCTTGTGGGTGATAGCCAACAAACAGATGAAGATGACTCTAATCCCCGATGAAGCCGCTGGCAGAGACGAGTGTTGGGACAGATCTTTGATCGTGTGGAGAAATATCCACTATCTACCAACTAGCTATGAGGCCTGTGAGATCACGTACCCTGTTTTTCTGCTTAATTTCTGGATAGTTAGATGTCGTGTTTTACTCATGGAGGATGGTATACTCTTGTCTCGGGCGTGGGGATGCCATGGCATTACAGAATCAATTGGTGTTATGTTTTCTTTGGAAGGATCCGGCCTGTTCCGGTTCATAGTTCGGGTGAAGTAATGGTGCGGAGTGACCCTTGTGTTGTAGGTTAACTCGACCGGCACTAGGCCAATTCACTACCGTCAAGATTTTTTGCAGTGGTTAATATGCCTGAAGGCGATCTGCTAGTGGTTGAATATGCTCCTTGTTTCGCAACCTGTGATGTAATGTTGACGTTTGTTTATATTGCTCAATCGGGGAAAAAGAGGGAAACCAACTGACAGGAAGGCTAAAGATGATGACGCATGAATAAAAGATGGAACGGTTTATTTTTATTTTTAACTGCTTTTAACTATGGGTTCTTGGGCCGAGAGTCATGCTAGTGTATGTGAAATGCGCATCTTGATGATCTAACGATCTGGTGGTGCATAGAAGAGGACACGCTAGATAACGAGCAATCCGTGCCTCAAAAAAAAAAAAAAAAAAAAAAAAGATAGATATCCAAACCAACTCGTTGAAAACAGGAACAGATTTAGGTGCTATATCTGAACAGAGGGTTACGATCACCCATCTCCTGTACCTCCTCGTGGGTCATGCCCTCGATCTTGTAGTCTTCCTTACCCTCTGCACGAGCCCTGTTGATGCGTGAATAATGGAACCACATGAAACCATAGATCAAGACGGAAAGGCCAGCGAGCGCCAGAGTGACGGCATGGCCCATGACATAGCGAGGAGCGGTATGGTGAGGGTACAAGAACGGGGTGACGATGCCGGATGTGTTTCCCAGAGTGAGCTGCAGGCCGGTAGCGAATGCACGCTTGCCGAATCGTGGAAGGTTTGTTGGCAACCAGGCGGTAGGAAGTCCGACAGCAACATAGACACCACAGGCAACGAGGAAGCAGCCAAAGTAGTGTACGCCCGAGGAGGTGTCAGAGATCAACAAGCCATATCCCAGTATGGTAACGCAGGTGAAGGCTATGGTGAAGACGGCTCTCTTCTGCCATCGATCACTGAACCAAGCAATGATGAGATATGTGATTGCACCCAGAGCATAGCATGGAATGGTCAACGCCTGCACCTGGGGCCCAGTCCAGTCTCCGAAGGCTTGGATGATGGTTGGCAAGAAGGTACTGTACCCGTATAGCACGGCGTCAGTGCCGAATTGGCCAAGGCAGAATAGATAGATGGTCCAGTCCTTTGCGCCCTCCTTGGCATCGGCAACATGGAACAGCTGCGCGGAGTCCGTCTGGCCGATCTCACGTCTTCGACGGGCTCTCCCAATCTCCTTTTCTTCTTCAGTAAGGTAGTAAGCCGTATCTGGGTCATCTGCGAGCCCAAACCATGTGGCTATTCCTATCAAGAACGACGGGATACCTTCGAGGATCATGATCCACCGCCATCCCTTGAGGCCAGCAGTGCCATCCAGAAACCCGATGGCGTAGGCTAGAAGGCCACCGCACGCACCGGCGGCGGCAGCGGCACTGAAGAGATATCCTACTCGTAGGGCGATCTCCCTTTTCCCGTAGAAGAGCGTCATGTAAGCGATCAGACCGGGGAACAGGCCAGCCTCAACAGCTCCCAGGATGAACCGGCAGACCACCATGCCGGCGAAGTTCTGGGTGACTCCCGACAGAGTGGCCACGAGACCCCATATCGTCGTTATGACTGAGATGTACCGGGAGGCAGTGAATCGTCGGATCAACAGGTTCGAGGGGACTTCGAGGAGCTGTCCTTGCTGTTAGCGGGTGGCCGTCTCTTTCCTGTCACGAACGGGATACCACTCACGCAGTATGGGATGAAGAGGATGGAGACAGCAATCTGATACTGATTTCCTTTCAGCCCCAGATCCTCCTCGAGGCCGTAGAGCCTGGCATTTCCAATGTTCACTGGAGACGTCAACTTGTCAGCTGTGGTGGCTTCTTTTTACTAGTAAAGTCGCGCGACAGACAAAAGGCAGAACAAACCTCGATCAAGGAAGCTGAACAGATACAGGCCAACGAGAAACGGGACGATGTGCCTGTCAATCTTTGCAATCAATGCTTTCTCTCTCTTCTCGTCGATGACAACGGTCTGCTCAGGCCCCGGCTTCCCCTCGAGCTCGATGACTTCGTCTGCCATTTCGAGATCTCTCTCTCTCTCTGTGCGCCGGCTTTCCGAGCTGGCTGGTTGGCTAACAACGAACTGCCTGCACCGATACGAAGGCAGGATCTGACAGGGATAGCTGTTGCTTTACGAGACGAAGAGCGATCAGAGCGAGGCTTCTGGCTAAATACCTCTCTATCAGAGCAGGTCGGGCTTTAATAGAGAAGAGACGGCTGGGCTAGGCTGGGCTGGGCTTGCACAGAAGACGAAGAAGAAGAAGAAGCTCCTGTCGTCCGTTCCGCCCAGCGGGTTAACTACTCGACGGCTACAGATGCACATAACAGCAGCTGATCTGGCATCCACGACGGAATAGAGGGCGAAAGACGGCAAAGAGGGAACTTTCCCGGAGCATTTCCGGCGCAAGTGGAGGCAAACGAGATGGGAAGAAACTTCGGTTAAGCCTGAGGGCTGCCGTGGATTCTTGCTGGAGCAGGACGCCGTCTATCACTCAGCACGGCAGGCCAACCAGAGGCGCCTCTGCTCGGGGTTAAAAATTTTTCTCTACACGGGAATGGAACAGGAACCATTCGTTTCCCGCTCGCGGCCTGCTTAGGCAGCGAAAACAAGCCTTGCCACGGCGTTCTGGTTGTTTTCTAGAAGGCGGCTCCTGGTGGTACTTGATCGGAGTCTTCCCCGGATTTCAATATCTGCGGCTCTTGGGGGCTTGAAATGAGGAGAGGATGGCGACTTTATACGGAGCACAACTACGTGATAATAACGATGGGGGATATAAGACCCCCAGGCCTGTTACACCTACCCTGCAAAGACTGACGGCGTCCCTCTAAGCCATTTGGCGGTCGGAGGAACTACGTTCAGTTCGCCTATCGCTATCGTACCTACCGCGGAGAAGATGTTCATATCGGGGAAATCCGTCAACCATAACGCTGGCTAGACCTCTACATAGCAGCAGAAGTGTGCACAACTGGAAGAGGAAGACATAGCCATCTTGTCGAGTCGACGGCGGAGAGGCTGGCCCTGAAGCAGAGTCTGTGACTGTCGTTGCCTTGAGATAAAATCTGTTCCACAACATCCCCGGAGAGATGGAAAACGACAGCTTTCCCCGGAAAGCCGAAACGCTAGCTCCTCGTGTCCCCATAACAAGAGGGGAACCGGAGGAGTTGCTGACACTAGACCAGTCTGATATAAACTACTACTTCGTACGGCGGCCGCTCCTTATAAACACTAGCTGCTTCACGGGGCCGGCCTTAAACATCAACTATCGATCTCTGGTCGAAAAATGCAAGTATATACTCTTCACGGTAAAGCGGAATAAAACGAAAGATATTGCCGTATTTGCTGATCTTTCTTCCTCATTGGCCAAGATGTTTTTTTTCTTTTAGCGTGGGATAGGACCAGAGACGGATACCCAAAGGGGATGAGAGAAGTATCTTCTCACACAGACCCTTTAGCTGGCCCCTTTTCTGTATCCCTTTCTAAAGAATCCGAGCGTGGCGAAATCAGAAAAGTATCAAGGCCCCGGCATCGCCATCGGTCTTGTTACTTGAGATGATGGCTAATGCCTTTGGGCTGGCCTCCTTGCAAGCGAAGGTTGTTTACCCAAGTACGGAACCTCCGGCCTCTAAGGGATGACTGCAGATGAGGTCTGTCTTTTTTTACAGATATCTCTTTCCAAGAGCAAGGTTTGGCAGTATCACCGGAAGGAGGTCCGGATGGTCATATTCTTTCGGAAGAGAAACTGAGAATGTCAAGGAAAGGAAACTTCTCCTGGGGGAGGACTTTCGTGCATGACGCATCATAGGCGAAGTCCTGTCAGCCTGCTGCCTGACCGAGCTGTCTTCGGAAGCATGTTCTAGTGCATCTTCCTTGCATACTCTGTGTTCGAAGCAGAGTATGGATGTACGTAAGAGGCTGCTTCGAGGCTGCAGATATTGGTAGTGATCCTGCAGACGAGCTCAGGTCGCTTAATGATCGACTCACATCCGGATCTACTGAGCAAACCATATATAACAGCCACTTATAACTGCAAAACCAGTAGATTGCAGAAGAGAAGGTCTCTCGCCAAAATTTAGCGAGCTGACAGGGTCAAAAAGGACGATATGGTCCGGTATCTCCCGCTAATTACTCTGGTCCTTACTGATAAATGAACGCAACTCGTAGTTAGAATGATAAAAAAATTCAAACGTTTTTTTTTTTTTTTTTTTTTAAAAAAAAAAAAAGAATCAAAATAAAAAACAAGACCCTATAATATGGTTGCTCACCGTGGGAAGGGGGTCTCGGGTGGTCAAAATAAAAATCTGTTCGGCTAATCCACTGATATTTGGGCTTCACTTCCCTGGTCTCGTGTTGTAGTTTTTATATCAGTCTCTCGGAGGACAGGGGCCACTCTCCCAGATTGGGAAAACTTGAGAAGCCCCGAATCTGGGAGAGTGTCTACAGCCCTGGCTGAGAGAGACGAGCCGAGAGCCTCGCTTTAGCCATCAAATTGACTACTCTTTTGTATTTCCCGGGAGGCCCGACCCTGATACGTACGCTTCCTCAATTAATGCGAGTGCGACTACACAAGAGAGTACGAGCGTTAAGCTTACCAACGAGTCTCCTCAGGCCTAGTTATCAAAATCAATCCATGCAACTCGGTCATCAATTCCATTGGCTGTCCCTCCAGGAATGATCAAAACGTTCTTTGGGCATTACTGGTGGTTATGTGCTACTCGCACTTGGTATTTGACTTCAAAACCCTGTGAGTAGCCATTCGGTCGATAACTAGTTCGTTTTCTTCCATAACAGCTAACTTATATGACTAGGAAGATGTTTGAGCCGCCTGATGATGCATATTGTGGATATTTAATGAGCTCCTGCCTCTGCTGGACCAAATTAGGTCATCTATAATCCGCTGTTGATAGGCGCAAAAGGGGAAGGAACGACTCGAGGGTGTTATGCCGTCTTCTAACTAGGAAGGCGCGTTTGCATCGCGCTTATTTCTCGACTCAGCAAGCGCGATCCCTTCTGTAAACGGCAACCGCCACAGAGCCGCAACTGGGTAGACTAGCAGGCAGTGAGTTGGTTACCTGCAAAGAGATCCTGCTTTCTTCCTGGATAACTGTCAGATGTGAACTTCCTGCTACTATTGGCGGATAAAGCCCCTCGGGACCAAACTATTGTGTTACGTCTAGACAATCATATGAATATCACAAAATTGAATATCTTTATGGGAAGTCACAAAGCGTGAATTTACCGGGAACTGGCAATGGAATACTCTTGCAGAAAATAATCGTTGGTATGAGGGAATTATCTTGCCTGCGTTTAAAAACTGTAAGGAGGCACGTCTTATGCGCGGAGAGACTGTTGATATGTCATATTTGCTGGGTATATTGCCTGGCACATCAAGTGAAGACAACAAGTACGAACCCCGGATAAGAGTTACGCAACTCGTGTTTGAATCGATGGCGAAGTCGAAGAATCCAATGCAGTGGACGATTCGTCTAAATAGCTGCTTGGCTGGCACTGACGAGGATCGTGGTATATGGAATTGTAAAACCACCGGATTCAGTGACTCTTTGACCGCCTATCAGGGAATACCTGTTCATACTGGAATTCAGCATCCCTAACCGTGGTGAGCACCTTAAACTGATTTCCTGGAAGAATGAAGGCGTGACCTTTGAGAATGCAGTTTGCAGACTCCATTGACATAATAAAAGGTAAATATCACGTTATTGTTGCAAATGACACCTCCATTGGATAACCTCTCGCAGCTCCAAGGGTGGTTGATATAAGGAATTTTGAAAAGTAAGTAGGGATCAGATCCAACGATGTGGTAGATTCCCGGGAACAGAATGCCGGGATGGTTACCGAACAGACATCCTTGAGCGGGAGAGCTCGCGTAAGTACTCTATAGCCCAGGGATATATCATTATACTTTCCATGGAGGAATATCGCAATATTTGCAACAGAGGGAATGCACTTTTAGGCTACTCACATTTGGATTGAAGACATGACTCAAAAAGTTGCATATCATCCTGCTTCCCCAAGAGAGCCAGGATTATCCCTGACGATGCACAAGACATGGGTTCAGACGATTGACTTTGCAAAGAAAGGGGCACCAGGGGCAGAAGTACCGGTACCTCACGGACAACTTTTTTGCAGCAAAAAACGAAGATGCAGGCAATCGAGGGTCCTGGTCAACTTTAGTTTTGAGGTGAGGATTTTTCTCGCCCTGCTCAACCTTTATAGCAAGGCGGACGGGACGAGTCAAGACGAGGGTGGTCTGTCCAGTCCATGAGATTCCAAGACTCTGGTTGTGGTGCAACCTGCCAGGCTGATCCTCAAAGGCTTGTTTCGACTGATCGTTAGATCCGCGATTGACGGGAAGTCGGCAGACAACTTCGCCGTGGTCTCAGATTCTCTACTGTCGACCTTGGAGGTCGTTGTGTGTTTCTGATATCAAGTTAGGACACACATCCCACGCGCGCCACAGATCAGCACCGCCCGTCTGCAAAAGACTCGATCTCAATGCAGCCTGGAAGCAAAGAAGAAGAAAAAAAAAACTGCAAGGAAGAATTCAAGTAGCGAGGCATGCGGTGCAACACCGAGATAAGCGATGGTCTTCGGTCTGTTGATCCCTGGACGGTCTCGACGGGGGGTGAGGCCTTGCTTTGGGCAGCCAGCGATAAGATCCTTGGATTACAAAAAAGGGAGATGCGAAAGACAAGGAGTCGAAGGAATTGAAGAGGCTATCTATCTGCCTTGTCCTTGTCCCTGTCTCTTCCACTCTCCCTGCCCTTGTGCGTTAAGGAGTGACTTTGGGACTTTGCTATGTTTCTTTCTCGGTAGTTAAGACGCCGTTTTTTACCATGTCGGCTCAGCAAAAATTTATCAACTTTCGTACACTCCCTCAGCTTGTCGAGACGGTGGAGCCGAACAAGCCAGCCCATCCTTGACGCAGCTTCAGCTGAATAGTTATTTGTTGTCAAACAAGCGTCTAGTTTGTTAGGACTCCTCCACCCGAAGCTATCTGGCCAGAATAACCCTAACACTACAAGTTTCCTGTGGGAGATGGATTGCTGCTCACAGGAAGTGTTAGGAGTCTACATGTTATCTATTTAACTGCCCATAACGCTTTAATTTTGTTCAAACTAATATTCCTTTTGCTAGTTATGCTATGCTTCTCACCATAATCTTCGCTGCATCTTAGACGGAGATACCCCGCGGTATCCATTTAAGGACCCCGATTCAATATCAGTTCTCACAGACCACTCCAAGGATATCATATGTCTCTTACGGAGCTCACTCTCCGACATAGACTTTTGCCCTTTGAAGTGAGGCTCGCCGGGGTAATACAGGAAATATACCGTTCGTTGCGATGGTTACTACCTAGCCCAAAAAGGCCTCAATTGCGAGACAAGGTCGGTGGCACTGCAATTATCTCAAGTACACGCAGACTCCGCATGGGTGCATGCTTCGGATCCTTCAGACTGGATCTGGCCTGTTGTTATAATACCTGGCTATAGCTGGAGAGCAAACACAGATATGTCGATTGCGACATAACTATGTACAGACTAGTTATCGGGAGATCAACATCCAGCCCGTCCGCCTTAACGGATAGTTATTCAAATAAGGGGATCGGAGCAGTTCTCTAGACTGATCCACTTACCTTCTCGCCGGAAGATATGTCGATTTGACTAGCTAACTAGTTTGGATGGTTAATTAATGGAGGTCTCATATATGTGATATGAAGTGCTGCACGTTCTAGGTCTAAGCTCTATATCAGCCATCTTATACCTAGGTACTATAGATAGCAGCGAGCCGGCCAGCCTATCAACTCATGCTCGTGCCCGCAGCCCGCTCAATCTGCGGACGGATGTATGTCTGAGAAATCTCCGGTTCACGACTTGGGCTGCATGGAGCTGCAGATACTTACATAGAGTGCTGTATGTATGTTTGATTTGATGGGCGGGAGCTAAGGTGGAGGACAGTGGTTTTTAAAGGTATTACAATGTTTATGATTTTCTATTAAAGGGCTTGTTTATGTACAAGAGAGAAAGAGAAGCGGGTTTACGGGCTAGGAGTTAGGAGTTAGGATGTCGGTAGGTAGGCAAGGGATAAGGAGGTCGGGCATGGTAGGTAGTAGAAGGCAGAGAGAGGTAGGCGGTTATACTAGGTAGGTAAATGGTAAAATAGATTAGGAAAAGTAGACATAGATAGAAGAGAAATAGAAAAGGCTTGAACGATAACAGAAGTGGTATCTCAAATCAGTCAAGGAGAAGAAGAAAAAAAATGAAGAAACTAGACAGTAGACGACAGACAGTAAAGATAGCGAGCAGTAAGGACAGGAGCAGCAGCAGCGGGAAAGCAAGACGATGTATCAAAGACAAGATTGGATCAGGCAAGGAAAGGAAACAAAGAAAAAGTAAGACAGATGATGTAGGCGGTTGACAGATAGATGGGAAGGCGTAGATATGGAAAGGGTATCTGAACCAAACAAGACCAGCCTGCCTGAAACCAGAACCAACCCCCGACCAACCCACTCCAACTGAAGCTAGAAACGACAGCAAGAATTAGACGAGTGGAAAACAGGAGAAAAAAAAAAAAAAAAAAAAAAAAACGCACATACAAAAGGAAAATGACGCAAGGAAATGAGAACGCCAGACAGACAGACCTGAAGGCAGAAGTAAGCAGTAGCAGTAAGCAGTTAAGTACTAAACAGTAGTAAGCAGAGCAGAGCAGAGCAAAGAGAATATATCCCGTTAAAACTCGCGAGCGCCAGAACCGTGTAAGTAAGTAGGTCGGTAGATAGATGATGGTGGATTATAGGCGGTTATTGGTGTTGAAAAAAAGGTATTGGGTATTGGGTATTGGGTATAGGAAGGGTATGTCTTTTATGCCTGTGGAGGCGATGAAATGTATCTTATAGCCATGCAAATCAACAAGTTAAAAACGCAACACGCAAACAGCATCCGAGAAAGAAGCAGAACGTGGTTGTAGTTTTTTTTTTTTTTTTGGTTTTTTGGTTTTTGTTCGTTTTGGTAGTTGGGATGGGGTTTTCGGTGTTTTTTGAGGCTTTTTAATTTGGGCCTTTGGGGGAGACTTTTTGGTAGGTTGGTTATGGTAAAATAATGGAGGAGAAAAAGTCCGATCCGCGTCCATGTAAATGCATCCATGCAAATGCCGTCCAGAACGCAACGCAATCCAGTAAGTAAGGGTATCTCAAAAGGAAATCCTGTAATAGTAGATGTAAATGTTGGTAAAAGCGTAGTATAAGATAGTAGTGTTGGGTAGAACTGTGGTGTGTGTGTGTGTGGTTTGGTCGTTTTGTATGGTTTTGTTTTTTTCTGTTTGTTTTTGGGTATTGTTGTTTTTGTTTACTTTGAGACCTCTCGCAGGAGTTCACCACAGTTGGCGTCGAAGCGCATGTTCCAGAGTCTGACACTGTTCATGAGCTTCTCGGTGTTCTCGAGCTCTCTGTCGCGACCGAAGATGGAGTCCACAAACTCGCATCCGGCATTACGGCCCATGGTGATGGTGGCAGGGGAGCCTCCGCGAGCGGCGTGTTCACGCTTAGCGGCCTTCCACATGAAATGCTCGCAGGCCTTGAGCAATCTCTTGAAGCGAGCCCAGAGCCGCTCGCCGGACTCGAGGAAATCTTCGACCATTTCGCGGGCCTCGGTGGATCGGATGAGCGGGGCACACTCGTCGGCACGCTTGACTTTGCCCGCGAGCTTGATGAGGAGCAGCCAGAGATCACCGGCGACGTCTGCCATGGGGGCGGTGGCGCCATGGTGGAAGGCAGTCCAGTCGTAGATCCATTTGCCCAGGGAGTTTGCGTCAAAGACCGAGCCGAGCAGCAGGATGGGGGCCTCCTTGGGGTTCCAGTTCTTGATGCTGTAGCCTGGCGGGATGTGGTGTGGATGGGCGTCTGCCTCA